TATTGAAAGTTTGTGATAAAGAGGTTGTTAGAAAAGAATTGTTTAAGTTTCTGAAGAAATCTGGGTTGGAAGGTAGGATTTAAGGCTAGGATCTAGTTGTTGTCTGTGGGGGCCATCCTGGCCCACACTCCACTCCGGAAGGTGGCAGTAATGCACCAAAAGTTGTTTGCCAACTGCCATAAAACAACACGAGAAGAAGAAGAAGAAGGAGGAGGAGTGTGGGAGTGTTTGGAGAGCGAGCTGCTGTAGCAGGGCGATGATAGCGTAGCATTGAGACGGATCAGCGATCTAGTTTAGCGATAGTATAGCAAGAGTGATGGCGAAAAAGAATAGTTATAAGCAGTGTACACTGCTTCAGAGATTGACTCGCGGATCAGTGAGTGAGGTCGAGAGGGGAGAGTGGAGACCCCGGTGGAGGTCCGTCTCTGCAGCCCAGAGCCCGGAGCAGGGACACACCTTCCGCCTCTCGCAGCGTATCAGCTGCTGTTGTTACTGATGCCTCGGATTCGTTCAGAGAACCTGATCATGATTTATCGGATGAGTGGTTGCAGTCTCAAACCAGCAGAGCATCCTCTCCAGAAGCTCCACAAAGAGTCGAAGGTAAGAACTTGCTAAATTGCCTTGAATATGCTAACTTGAGAGGAGGGAAAGGCGCGGAAACTTGCTCTGATCTTTTAAGTAACACAACGCTCAAATCCTACTGTTTCTTTAGTAAATGCCAGTTATGTGTTTTATCATTGTTGTATTTATTATTTTTATGTGTAGTTATTTCATACTTGAACATCTTGTTGTAGTGTCATAGCTCTGACTAAATGAAATGTGTTCATTCACAGATTCTGATAAAAGAGCCCTCCCCCATTGGGGTTGACAGGGCATGGAGGTAAAGATAATGCCTCCTCATACTATTGTACATATTATTGTATATATTCTCCTGGTATAGTGATTTACAAATTTATATTATTTACAGGTGGTGCATCGAGAGGCAGTTGCTGTGCACATAAAAGGTAAAAGGACTACTATTTCTATTCTTATACATCCCATGGCAATATAATATAATAATAATAATATAGTATACTTGTTTCGTCCAAAAGCAGTCAGTCAATAATGTGGGAGGAAGGCCTTCATTGTATTTTATGTATTGATTTATTGTAACAAATTCACTGTATAATATAGTTATTGTGTGTATCAAATTTTCAGCACGTTCGTCACCCAGAAGCTCTGGGGAAGATGGCTGACAGGAGGATCAGTGGGAGCCGAGTCAGTTGTCCTTCACAGGAGCTCCTGGACCTCAGAGGCTGCGGACAGAGGCTACGAAGCTGGATTCATCTGATCCAGCTGACTTTCTGGAGCTGGATTCATCTGATCCAGCTGACTTTCTGGAGCTGGATTCATCTGATCCAGACTTTCTGGAGCTCTTCTTCACAGAGGGAGAACTACAAATGGTACACAGCGTGTCGTGTTCCGTTGCACACAGTGTTTCAACCTCTACAACTCAAAGCTGAACCACTGGGAGGACTGAAAAAGCAGATAAACTCACTCATACACACACTCACGAACACTCACACGCACACAGACACACACACAGACACTCACTCACACAGACACTCACTCGCACACTGACATTCACACACACAGACACTCACTCACACAGACACTCACTCGCACACTGACATTCACACACACACACTCAAATTCACATGCTTCATTCTATTTTATACAGCTATAGTTTTATTGATCTTTGTGTTGTTGTTGTTTGACGTTTTGGTTGATGGAATAGAAGAAAGTAAAATTTTCTATCTGTGAATAAATTGCCAACAATTTGCCATCAAAAGTATTATTTCAGAGTCATGTTTTTATAATTTTTGTAATGGAACAAGTGTGAAGATGTTTTGAGTTGTCACTAAAGCAGCAAAAATGCATCTAAAAGTCTCTTTTCTGCTTGATATGTTCCTGTTTACATACAGCTCGTTTTCTCTGTTTTCTTGCTCAGACCAGGTGTTGTGGGTGAAAGTATGCTTTGTTCTATGGCGAATAGCTCAAGAACGGTAAGAGGTAGAAACAAACTGTTTTTTTCAGAGTAAAGCAGAGAGGTTAATCTTTAATAAAAAAATGAAATGAATATTCTGTGGCACTTCAAAGTTGGGTCAAATCACCTGAAATTGCTGGCAGAACGCACTTCTCAAATCTGAAAATGCCTGGCAGTCTGAGTTAAGTTAAAGTTTAAAATATGATATTGTTTTTCATATTTCAAACTATTTTTAACACATTAAAATTCTTAGGTTAGACTGTCCAACAAACTATGTGTTAAAAAAGGTTAAGATTCTTGAGTTTTAAAATAATAATTCAATTCCAAAATGTAAAGTTACTGTATATTTCACAATGGTTTATAAACTGCAAAAAGACAACAGAACAGGGAGATCAGCTTTAATATTTGGGACACTCCCATCATTTAGACACCTGTGATGTCATCAGTTGGAGTTGAGTTCAGGTGTGGGACCATGTGGGACCATAGGAGCACACAGATGTTACCTGCTGCCGAAAGAGAGTTTAATGTTCATGTATTGCTTTGTTTAATAAATGGATTTAATGTCTTCCCATTAAATCTTCAATGTCAGAGACTTTCACTTCTTCTCACTGTGGCTGTTTAAATGAGCCACTACAGTTGTTATTTTTGTTATTGTTAGCTGCAAATATTAAATATCCATTCATCTGCTGGTAGCAAGCTAACTAGCGCTTGCAACTCTATTCAATTTCTTACTTTTTCTTATAAACTTTAAAACCAGCCATATATTAATTAAAATACATTTACCTTTGCTAATGCAGTCAATAATTGTGAAATCCATAGAGTATAATTTCATGATTGTTGCAATAACTAATGTTCTGTGTGTATTCCTAATGTGTCATGTGTGTTTGAGTCTTACAGGTGTCAGACTGTGTTGAAGGTGTTCAAAGGTAAGAATCACACTCTCACACATTGATTGTTCTTCTGTATTATTATGTTGTTTTGAGAATAAACCATTATTTGGTGTATTCTCTTTGAAAACATCTATCTTTTTCTCAGATTGTTCAGCAACTCACTCAAGATGAGGGAAAAGAGCAACAAGGGGAAGATGCCCCCTCGGAAATGCAACATGTGTAGAGTAATACAGGGTAAGTAGCTTTCAGGGCTCATGTGTCCATGTGCAAAACAAATGCACATTTGCAATTGTTTTTACATGGAATTACTCCAATGACCAAAGCCTTATCCCAAGTTTCTCAGACAGAGTGTCTTCCAGTGTCTCGAGCTAGTGCAGTGCCAAGGTTTGTATCACATGGTGACGGATCGAGTGGTTTGAGGCATTAATAGAAAGTTATGTGTTGTTATATCACTTTGCCACATTATGTTGAAACTAAACATGTTCCACATTTTCAGGTGCTGTGCTTGGACCTTATGAGACTGAAGACCAAGAGAGGACACATGTTGGAACATCAACATTCAATAAATGCATTCTTCTGCCTTTCAGATTGTGTTTTTACATCTGGGGAACCTAGAGTGTAGCTTGTGCCTGTTTTAATACTGATCCAAACATAGGCGCTACAATCATGTTTTTTTACTTTGGCATGAACTGTTCAGTACAGTAGTGCTCATAACACTGTGCCCTGTGTGCTTTAACTTGTACTTTGATGTAGAGAAACATGATTTTTAATGCAGCTCCATTTGCAATAATGACTGATATCCTTCTACTACAGTTGTTCTAATGATTTTTGAATGCTGTGTTTATCGTTTATTGCCCAGAGTCAGAACTAAACATGATATAGCTGCATTTCAGATTCACAAGGCTAAAATCTGGAACGGTCTTCCTGGAAATGTGAGACAGGCTTCTTCTTTGACAATGTTAAAATCCAGGTTTAAAACACTTCTGTTTCTGCTTCAACTGAGAGATTTTTTGAGAGATTTTATTTGTATCTTTTTAATTTTACTGTCAATATTTATAATTGTAATGCCTTGTTTGATTGTTTCTATCTTTTGTTCAGTGCTTTGAGTTTCCTTTTGTTTTGACTGTGCTATACAAATAAACTTGCCTTGCCTATTGGAAAAAGTATGTCTCGACCAGTGAGTGATTCTGCAGAGGTTAAGTAGGTCAATAGGACTGTAAATGGACGTCATATAAACGTCAATATTTTGGTCATATAAGACGTTGATAGGACGTCAGACCCGACCGGTTCCGTACCACATTCAAACCTTGAATTGACGTGCCATCAACGTAACATTTGGAGGTTGAGGTGACGTCGGGAAACGACGTCGAGAAAACTTTCATTCTGCACCCACCAGTGACCTATATTCTACGTCGGACAACGACGTTCAAATTACGTTGATTCAACGTCGGCTTGCTTAGTGGGTTGTGTTGTCCTGTGTAGGAAAAGTGCACTGCAAAATAAATAATATAACATTTTAAAAGTGCTACAAAAAATCTAAAAGTAATAAAAAAAAAAAAAACACACACAATTTCAAAACATGAGGTTGAGTTTCAGTCTCCTATAATAAACGTTTTGAAACTTAATACACCATTGCTGTTTAACACCCTCTATGTGGATAACCAAACTCAATATACAAAGTAATATTTATTTGCCATTATGATTTCTGCTGCTAAAAAGACCTTCACAAGGCATAGTTGCTCCCTGAACCCCCCCACCAAAAACAAGCTTTTATAAAATGTTGGTCTAAACGGGTAAAATACATAGAGCTGCTACGACCATATTTTCATGGAGGTCCACAATTTTGTCTGGATTGTATTTTTATCTGTCAGCAACACCTTCTTTTCTATCTCTTAAGTAAATGTATACCTAAATATAAATGTGATAAATGTTGCAATGCAGTGCTGTGTAACAGTAATCCACTGACAGAAAAGGAAATTAAAGAATATTCAAAAATATCTTATAGGCAAATAATGCAGCTGTCTTAAACTATTGCTATCCTGTGTTTATACAATACATATTTAATAAAACCACGTACATCAGTTTTACACTTGTCTTTGACTTCCAGAGTCCCTTGGAGTGGTATGCACCGGAATCAGCACTATGTCTTTCAGAACTGCACAGACACATTTTAGATTAGGTCAGATTAAACTTTATTGTCATCTCAATGTAAGAGCAATGCAATGAAGTATAGTTAAGCATCTAAAAAGTATTGCAATAGTGAAAGTATAGGATAATATTTACAACACAGATAATATACAAGACTGTATGAAGCTGCTATACATTAGTTACATTATTAATTATAATAATTATAAAAAAATATTTATAATAATAATCAGTTTTCAGGACAACCACTTCACATTTCATTATTCTTTCACACACAGTGGTGATAAACTACTACTGTAGCCACAGCTGCCCTGTGGCACACTGACAGAAGCGAGGGACCCAGTATGTGTCATTGGGTGCCCCACTGTGGCAGCTGGTGTTCCTAGAGGTCTCCCATCACAGTACTAACCAGGCCTTGGCCTTGTTCAGAGGTTTGACAGAGTACAGTATAATGTACTTTAACGAGGACACGTTTACAAGTCTGGTCACGTCAACCCTCTGTGTGTGAAAACAAACACCAAACATTGATCTTGACAAATTTTCCGTTCAGTTGCCACTTGCCAGACTATATTAAGCTCAAATACTTTCACGCTACATAATGAGCATGAGTCACACAGGAGAGAAGTTGTATGTCTTTGTGCACCCCACCTACAGTATGCTACACACCCCAAGTGCATTAAGGTTCAGACTTTACTCTCTCAATACACAACCAAGTTGGGTACTGTAAGGTTTTTCTATTGTGTGTCTGAATAATGGGAGAGGTTTTTTTCTTCATAATCCAATACCTGCTCGGCCTTTTGAGTAAGATCAGTAAAGTATCTGTTCTTTAGTTCTGTAGTTTAATATATGATACCTCCCTTCCATGGGGGACCATGTCCTGAATTGATTTTTGGAACTGGGAGATTTTTACATTGATTCAATTTTAATAATTGGTGGTCATTATAAGTGTAATACAGCATAACAAAAGCTAACTAATGCTAACTTCTGACACTAAGTTGAATGGTATAAACAGCACTTGATATTCTCCAGTCCAAAACTAAAAGATTGTCTGTTGTGAGAGTTCTCTGCGTCAAAGTGTGAGGCCTTATTATTATTACTATTACTATCATCATTATCATTTTTTTTATCATTATTATTGACAGTTGTGACCTCCCTGGTATTAGTCTGAGGATGTAGATTCAAGTTTTGTCTATGGATAGAGGAGGGACTCTAAGGAGCATGGGGCTGTCCTTCTGCTGGTGCCCAGAGTCAGGACTAGTAAGTAAGTAAGTAAGTAATCTTTATTTATATACCGGGGAGAACATGCAAACTGTGGGCGGCACGGTGGCTGAGTGGATAGCACTCTCGCCTCTCAGCAAGAAGGTCCTGGATTCGAATCCCGGTTGGACCAGGGCCTTTCTGAGTGGAGTTTGCATGTTCTCCCCGTGTCTGCGTAGGTTTCCTCCGGGTGCTCCGGTTTCCCCTACCACTAAAAATATGTACAATAAGTCTGGCATGTGCCTCCTGTACTGGCACCCCCACTCCCAAAAATCATAATTGTAAACCGCTTTGAGACTCCGATGTGCAGTGAAAAGGCGGTATATAAATAAAGATTACTTACTTACTTACTTACATGGACTACACATGGGAGGCAGCGTTCCAGCATAACCTAAAGTCTGGAACAATCTTCCTGAAGGTGTGAGACAGGCCGCTACCCTAGCTCTATTCAAGTCCAGGCTGAAAACAGTCATTTTTAGCCGTGCCATGACTGAAGATCCTCCCGGCAGCGGATAATCCTTTTTTGTATGATTGTTATTGTTTAACTTGGTTTTAAATGTCTTTCTTTATGATCTGTGCTATAGAAACAAAAGTTGATTGATTGATTGAAGAAGCTGAAAGAAACAGACCGGTGCTGTGTGGGTTGAAGTGCAGGATGTAAGGTTCTCGGGAAAAAACATCCACTTTGTTGACTTGATTATCCTCATACTGGTAACTGTCGATCAACGTCATGACGTCATCTCTTCAAACAGAGACAACACACAGTCACATGGGTGTGAAAGAACAACATGAAGAAAAAACATGAGAACTCAAGTGTAAAGAAAGAGAAACTGCTCTTTGTAGCGCAACCTCCCCAGACGAGCACTCAGTTGGCTCGTGTAGTGATGTGAAGTGCAGACACTGAGAAAAAATAAAAAATCAATAATTAAAAGTCTTATAAAACTCACCAACATCAAAGTTTGATTATCATTATTATTATGTTGTTGGTGAATCAGCAACTTTGTTATGTCCGAGACTGTGATTCAGGGTTATACAGTGGTACAGTACGAGCAATAGCAGTAGCCGTAGTAATAGTAGTAGCAGTGGTAGTATCAGTAGTAGTTTTAGTACAACTAATACTACTACAATTCAACTAAAACATATTAGATTGATATATTTAAGATTTTACTCAAAAAGCAAGTTTTTTAAAGTAATTTTCTACGTTTCTTACAGGTTGGACTGAGTCGCAGATGTGACAATGTAAATAAGTAGAACTATGATCTCTGCAGTTTAAATGTATGCTTTATCTGTGAGATGATGGATTTTTTTGTTAACATTAATTCACTTTGCATTTGACAAGATAGCTGGAGGTTCTCACGTGTTACTATCTGGGTTTTTAACAACATTTTTGTCAACTTTTTGTCACCTAACTGATGTAAAACTATTACAGCTATTTCACCAGGGGCTCTGGTCTGTCCCACGAAAATCATCAGTCATCACTAACACTTTTTCAACTTTTATCAGTAGCAAAGTATTTGTCACCAGAATGGGACAGATTACCTGTTCAACTTCTCAATAAACACTTTGATGGAGGTGCCGCTCACATCCACCACCTCCAGAATCAAAATAATATTATAGCGAGACACTATCTATAGAAAAAAAGGTAAATAGTTAAATCAAAAGAGTGTGAAAACATCTATTCCTTCCTCACCTTCACAAGAGTTGAAAGAGCGTCAGGATCCGAAACCTTAGCCACACCAAATTTCTGTACGTTGAATGCAGCAATCTTCATACCTGCTTTTTATATACTTTTATACATACAGACTGGATTCTACGTTCTCTCTGTGACCTAGGATGTATCAGGTTTGAATGAAGCTAATGTTGATGCTTGACTTGGCAGAAAAGCCCACGCCTGTTTGTGGGAGTATAAACAGAATAGTGTTGTTTTAGTTGTATCTTTCCGATCTCCGGGGAACAAAAAAGGAGCACATGAAGAATGTGACAGAGCAACAAACCAGTTTGTGGCTTTGGAGCTGTCACCTGTGCAGCCGTCAGATCATGTGGAATATTAATCATTTACAGAGAACTTCCAAATTATTAAAGATTCTATCGCAGTTTAATAAGAAATTTGACTTTCCTGACAACCAGTCAAAGTAATTTATTGATCAGATGTTGTATATTGTTGTTTTGCGTTCGCCAAGTCCACTTCTGATTCCCCCAGAAACAAGGAAACCTGTTTTAGTCTCAGTCTGGAAATTTCAATTTGCAGCATTTTACTCAGTCCGTCTTAAGAAATACCAAATATTTATTATAAGCTGGAACAGTGAATGTGAGTGGTTTTGTTTACTCTAACAAAAATTGTGTGAGTAATTAACTAATAATTTTCATTTCAAACGATTAGAAAATAAACAGTTGCGTATTGTATGTTATGTCATGTTATGTTTTTATCATGTATTCAGAACATTTAACTATGTGGAGTACAAATAAAAATAAATAATAAACTAAAGAGAATAAAGAACAATAAAAACATTAAAATTAGAAAAAAACGTTTGAAAAACAGGTTTCTATCTGGACAAAGCAGGCTCTTCTTTGGCTCCAACCCCTCTCACTCAATCAACACACACACACACACACACACACACACACACACACACACACACACACACACTCACGCACACAAAAGCACAACCCACACATGCACACACACAAAAGCACAACACACACGGACACACAAGCACAACACACACAGACACACACACACACACACACACACACACACGTGACACAGGCCCGAACACTTTCTGACCCCATAATGACTAACACCTGCTGGTGCTCGGGCGAGATGCCTGGGAGAATTAAAATAAATTACTATTGCAACAACAACACATCGGGTAAAACCTTGTCACAGTTAAATACATAAATACACTATTAAATCATTATCTGAATAATCCATTAAAAATAGTTAAATTAAGTTACTAAATTAAGTTACTAAATATTTTGAAATAATTTAATAATTAAATAAACACATCAGCGGCTATAAATACTTTAAATACTTTACTAGATAAATATGTGTGTTAAGAAATAATTTTAAGAAACATCCATCCATTTTCTTCCCCTTAATCCATTTCTGGGTCAGGGGGGTGGCAGTCAGAGCTGCTCCCAGTACACAGAGCACCAGCCCCTCATTGATCCTCCTGCAGGTGGTGAGTCCACAGGAGCCATTTTAAGAAACATATACAGTATATTACGTTATTTTAGCTCTGATTGCCAACCCCCTGACCCAGACATGGATTAATAAAGGGGAAGAAAAATGAAATGACATGACGTTATTTTAGGATTTAATTTAGTTGTTTAACTGGTCAAACTGGGAAGGCGGGCTTCCTGTGCCCTGGGCCAGTCCATTTCCCAAGAGGGTGATGGTTAAGTTTTACAAAGAAGCCTTCCGGATCTGCATCATTAGGACATACTCTACAGCCCATAAAAGCAGATAAAGTAAAAAAGCTAATGGGGATTTAAAAAATTCTCTTAGATTCACACCTCACACTTTTAAATGTCTCAGCTTTGGGCGTTTCACTGACTAAGCTAAAAATCACTTCTCATCATCTAAAGAAGTGCAGCATCAAAAGATAGCTGCAGAATTGCGGTCAGTTTAACGGTGTCCAAGTGGTGGAACCGCACATTTCAGTTATTTCCGTGACGACGTTTTAAAGTTCTCATGTTATTCAATGGAGACACAAGCGCGTATTCATGGTAATCTTTCCTCCGCGAAAGCTTTTCAAATCATCCTTGGGGAGATTCAGGACAGCAGAGTCCGAGTCTGTGCAGCCTGTGAGGTACGTTTGATGCCACTTGCGGTTTTAATTTGTTTAAATTCACTCAATGGGCAATTTTGTAATGTGGGAATCAGGAATACATTGATCCCCCCACAAACTACAGCTAACAGGTGACCAACATGACCAGTTTTCTTAGTATTCACCTGGTTTTATACAAGGCAAAAATACAGCCATGGAATTTATTTCTGCAGTGCAATTTTGTTTGTTTCTGCTTGTTTTGTTTGTTTTTGTCTTGTTTAGTGTGTGTGCGTGTATGGACATGTGTAGATTATGAAAATGTGAGTAACGGCGCAGCTAGTGTATATAAAAAGACCTATATGCAAATTTTCAATATAACTTTATTCAAACAGTTTCCCTAAGTATCTGCACATTGTCAATAGATATAATAGTTTTGACCTTCAGATAACCGTACCATCCGGCGTTTTGATAAAATTGCATCAAAAGATCCTGTCACGTGGGTAAAATGAAATGAGCTCAAAACGCAGAACTGCAAAATAAAGAATTTAATGAATGAATTTTCAATAAAAATGCAGAGAAGACACAGGGACCGAGGACAGAACTGAAACAGACGTGGGAATGACAACGACGGAACAGGGACTGAACTCAGACAGGAAGTACATCTAAAGACACAGGGATGTAAACAAGTTACAAAATAAAATGGGAAATCAATCTAAACCCTGACAGATCCAGTTCTCCTTGCTGCCATCTGGGAGGCGCTCTCATCATCTCAAAGTATAAACTGGATCAGAAGGAGCTTGTTTGCCAAAGCCATAAGACTGCTGAAGCAAGCCTCACTCTGCGTATCTGTTTTTGTTATGTGTCGGGTGCATTATATGAACGAAACATCTGCAGCAATTTGTATGAGTAAAAGTTTCCACGTTCTGGATTAATATCAGTCAGGAAATAGACTCATTACAATCAAGTAGAAAAGTTGCTCAGATTTTGGCTTAACTGCTATCATTGAACCAATACCAATGCATCTGCATCTGCATAATTTCATCTCTAATTATCAGTCTTTACATCCAAAGAACTTATCAAAGTAATCTTCAGCAATCTCTAAGGTACACACATAGAGCACATAGAGCCCTGTGAGTAGAGCAGAGATAGACAATTATTTTCTTTGGAAGCCACATTGAGATATTGCCCTATTGTGGAGGGCCAGACCCAATTTCATGTGGTTATTTTTTTTTTTTATTTAGCCAATAAAATCCACTTTAATATTTAACATTTAAACATTTGTGTGTTTTGTCATATATGTTACATCTTGTGTTTAGTTTATATTTAACACACATTAATATATAGATCCAGTGTTTACAGGTGCAGTAAGCGACTTTGTTAGCTTAGCCGTAGCACCAACTCAAACCCACCCCTCCCCTCGCCTCTTCACCAAACCAAACATCCAGCCTTTTCTTTTCTTTGTCACAACAGGGAGAGTGGGTGGAAAACGTGAAATTGGCATTTTCTGTTCAGCCGTTTTAGGTTTTAGAAAATCCGATATCTCAGGTTCACTCGCGAGAAACAGGAAGAGGGTGAAGGGGGCAAACGCATCCCATTGGTTTATTTTTATTGGTCCGCTCCAAAATATTTTTCATAAATTTTTGGAGACTATAGGCATCTGGTCAAATCCATTACTATTTGAAAACACATGATAACTTGACTACTTTTACGGTTTAGGAACGTTTTCCCACTATATTTTAAAAAATGTGTCGGGAAAAAATCACTGACTGCATCTTTAATTTGGCTTTTTTCATTTTTGGTTTTACAATTATTACCAAAAAAATGTTGTTCATTAATGAGAACAGAATGAATGTATAGCAGGCCATGGTAACACAAGAGTCGGCGGCCGCATAGAAATGTGTTTTACAAATACCTCCCTGAAACTGAGTCATTTGCATTTTAACAACTGCCGAGTCCTGAGTTTCTACCAACATGCATCACACATGGAGAAATCGTGGACACACTGTCACAGTTTAATTGATGTCTTGGCATCTTTGACATCGTAAGAACAGCTGTCTTGCACAGTTTAAATTCCTATTAAAACAATCCAGTTTTTACAGTAGACATTAGTCCTTTGTGCAATTCCTCCAGCTGTAACAACATTTGTAATCAATAATCTAAGAAATGAGCCAATGTATCTTCTAGTGCAATTTGTGTATCTTCTCTTGCAATGTGTTAAATGAAAGTTATATTAAGTGAAAGATGACATTTGATTCAATACACTTAAATTTCCTGCTGCAGATGACATTCCTTGGAGGAAAGAATGCAGATTTAAGTTGTGGGTAGGTGGGAAAACCAGTGGTATGCGTTGAACTGGTTTACCTGCATCTCTTCACGGCTACACCCAGTTTTAGACCTATAAACCTGGTCTCTACTGATAAGAGATGCACAAGCGGGCACAATCTTAGTGCGGACTGACTTCACCTGTCTATAAGCATCACCAAGGTAAGAACTTTTGTACTACTTTGTATACTACAGAAATTCCAGCCAATATTTTTCTTTGCTTTTGGGGATATCACCTTGCTTCTGCTGTTTCTTCCACTTCAACATGCACTTACAATTTGCAATATTTTCAACCAACTCCTCTGTCCTTGTCTCTCTTCAGAACCAGACCTCAACAATGAGTCTCAGAAGCAAACGCAGCGGATCTCGCCCAGGACTTTATGCGTCCTCTGGCTTCAGCAGCATGTCCATGGGCTCCTACAACATCCCAAATATGAGCAACGGGGTGAACATGGGGCCCCCTATTACAGCAGTGACCATCAACCAGAGCCTCCTCGCCCCAGTCAACATCTCCATCGACCCCACGGTGCAGGCAGTCCGCACTCAGGAAAAAGAACACATTAAGACTCTCAACAACCGCTTTGCCTCCTTCATTGATAAGGTAAGGAGTGGCTGAATAACTGGTTGTAGTCTACAGTGTCTGCATTGATTAGTCTGCTAAAACGGGGATGACAAAAGCTTTAAAACAAGATTACATTCATTATTATTACTGTATGTTTATTTGATAAGGACAGATCGAAAAAAAAATTGTTACAGGTAATTGATGCCATGTTCATAGGCTGTATAGCTAATAATTTGCAGACATAGAAATACATCACATTAACAAAGATCATTATAAAAACAGCAACCTTAATTAACTATTCATGCACAATGACTTTGGATTAACAGTTTTATCGTCGTCTTCCAAAACAAGTACTAAATATTCAGCTCATTTGTTCCACACCTTATAATTTCCCCAGTTTTCTTATTTATATGCTTGAATATTAAATTGTTGATAAAACTATAGAAAAGCAAACTAAGAAACCACATATACTGGATTCCAAAGTTTCCAAGTTGCAGACTGTGATATGGATCCTCTCAAAATGCAATAATTAGTTCCATGTCTCATTTCCTGAAATCTGACCTTAGGTTTTGGAGATTTCAGATGTGAACAAACCAACAGATAGAGAGTCAAACCCGGCTGATTATATTACTCCTTGGCAGATGCAATAAATAGTTGACTAAGATGTTACTGACAGAATATGCCATTTAAAAACGAGAGACCTAAATATTTCCTAGCATGTAATCGAAGTGGTTTGAATAATATTGCAGGTGTTTTGTGTTTAAATGTTTTTATTGTCTATTGTGCTCACTATTTTTGCACAAATATTCCAAAGTGGTTTTTAACTAAACAAATAAACTGGGTCTGGATCTACTCCCAGGTGCGAAACTTGGAGCAGGAGAACAAGATGCTGGAGACCAAGTGGAGCATGTTGGACGGTCAGACCAAGGCCGTGTCGCAGACGGAGCCCATGCTGAAGGCCTACATCGCGTCTCTGCAGCGACAGCTCGAGCACCTGAACAACGATAAATCTCGCCTGGAAATGGAGAATGCAGTCATGCACAAGAACGTGGGCGACTACAAGTCAAAGCAAGTCTCGTAAAACTAGTAACGATGCCTATATAGATGTAGTACAGAACTGGGGTATTTCAGATTCAAAAATATGATAAAAGGCAATTTCAGTTTTCACATTTTATTATACACTTTTTGTTGTTCTGATCAATTACAGGACATTAAATCTGCATTTTTAATTACTGGTCAATTAACCCACTTTCTGCTAAATTTAGAACTACAAAAGTGTCATAATAGATCCAAACTTCTTTCATGATTAGACAGAATTATTATTGTAGTTAGGTATAGTGTAGTTTAAAAAATACTACAAAGAATAATCAATTGGTGGACTGCTTTAGGTATGAAGACGAAATCTCCAGGAGGAATGACGCAGAGAATGACTTTGTTCTGCTCAAAAAGGTAATAGGGACGCACTTTACAAGAGTGGTAACAGTAAATACTAGTGGTATAAAAAGTATTTGTTTGGTATTTTCTGAAGGATGTTGATTCGGGGTATTTAAGCAAAGTGGAACTGCACGACAAAGTGATTTCAATCGATGAGGAGGTGAACTTCCTCAAGGCTGTCTATGACGCTGTAAGTTAAATTTTCATAAGCACAAAAGTGTATTTCTTCTCACTTGTATAAATTTTGCTCAAACTTGCGCTGTTCTACGACACAGGAGATCCGTGAGCTGCAGGAAAGCATGAAGGAAACGTCGGTGGTGGTGCAAATGGACAACTCCCGTGGCCTCAACATGGAGAAGACCCTCGCTGATGTGAAGAACCAGTACGAGGAAATCGCCGGTCGCAGCCGAGTGGAGGCAGAGAACTGGTACAAGACGAAGGTAAAGGAAGACTCTAGTTTAATATATTACAGTGTTTCAGAACTTTAGCAGGTATAATCAACATCAGCCCAATCTTATAATCCAGGGCCACTCATTATACACATACACACTCATTATACATACATACACACTCATTACATACATACAGACATACTCATTGTCTGCTATATTGATATATGTAAAAATGTGTATTGTGCATGGTTCGAAATAAATAAATAAATAAAAAAAATTACATACATACATACATACTCATAATTAAGACTTGTGGTCCACACAGAGGGAAAAAAGTAGATATTTGTTGCCTGACTCAGTGGCTGTACGAGTGGTCAGCATAGGGCCTTTACCTCTCATAACAGCGGTCTCTAGGATGTGATAAGATCAGCTGTTTGGAAGGTTTTCTCTGCTGTGGGACCCCTGCACCAGGAAACCTGCAATTTTTTTTAATCCAGGAGCACTGTAGACACAAGCCTAATCCAAAGAAAAGGCACCATGATGTCCTCTGGGTCAACACACAAAAGTCTATCTTATCTAAGATAAGATAGACTTTATTGTCACACAGGTGAAATGTACATCACTCAAGATTGTGCAAAAGAAAGAAGTGTGCAAACATGTTAAATGCAGGATATATTATGTACAAAAAAAGTGGTAATAAAAGAAACAGTGACAATAGTGCAGGTGTTTTAGTCCTCGTGCAAGTAACTTAAAGTGACTTATTGTGACTAATATACACTTTTTTCCAAATACAAGGTTGCATAAGGCACCTTTAACAGATAGATTGATTTGGGGATTATCACATACAATGTAAACAACACGCGGTTCATAACAAGTGAGATCTTGAAAACCTGTCATTAATCATTTTGGTTTGAGGAATTCAGAATCATAACAACGTGATGTTTTCCTGGTCGTGTAGTGGTTGTAAAGTACCTGTACTTGCGTTGTCTTGTTTGATTCTCTAATGTGGTAAATTGACCATTTTGTAATACAAGCCCAGTGAAACGGTGTATAAAAATGTGTGAGTTGGAGAAACAGAGATAGAAAGAGAGATAGAGAGAGAAGTTAAGTCCTAGGTGACGACTGCTGTTGGGATTTAAGGTTCTAGACAAATGAATTGAATTGGATTGACAATAAATGCATCCTTTGGGTCCACACAAATTTGGAAAGAGGGCCGCATTTAGCCATCAGGGCCATAGTTTACAGACCTTCATAGCTTTAAATAGGTGGATTATATTTGGCCTTGGGGCATGATATAAAAAGGCTGGAAATGTAACAATTGCTAGAAAAACATGATGACAACATTGTGATGGCTGAACAACAAAACTGCAGCTGAAAGAGGCAGGTCGATATATTCAAATATTTGACTGGTGCAAAGAGAAACATCACTCACTGGCCTCATACGTTCCACTGTCATTACACCTATACAATTATCATACATTCTTTTTTATCCTTATTTTCCCCAGTTTGACAAAATGGCTGAGGAGGCTGACCAGTACGGGAGCGAGCTAAAAAACAGCAAGAGCGAAATTTCTGAGCTGACAAGAATGATCGGCCGTCTGAGGAACGAGATCGAGGCCGTAAAGGCTCAGGTGAGAGAGGGTCAAGAATGCAAGACACAATCAAAAGTACACAGACCAGTGGAAGGACTGGTTTGAAGTTGGCCTTGTCTGCACAACATTGTCTTCTGTATGAGGAAGTTATAGTAAAAACAAAAACATGACAGTTGAGGTTGCAAGGAAATAGACTATTAAAATGTATGCTCATGTGCAGTGTTACACAATTTGAGTATGTTGTGGTTCAGACATAGTTGTAGTGATATGAGTGTAATGAAGCTGCAAAGTACCCGCCCACCTTATGGTTAATGATGAAAAACCTATGCATTTTCCCCATAACGATTCCAGTAATATATAATAATCAACGAGTATGTGATGGAGAATGACCTCGAAGCCTAAAATTGCACTTAAAATATTCAGAAATTACAAAGTTATTTTAACATTTCACTGAATTTGAAAAATACCTTCAATTCACAATGTGGCCCCACCTGCACTCAAAAGCCAGATCCCTTCAGACAGACCTCTGAAGCTAAGCAGAGCAGGGCCTGTGTGTGTGTGTGTGTGTGTGTGTGTGTCTGTGTGTGTGTGTGTGTGTGTGTGTGTGTGTGTGTGTGAATGGTTGGTGGTGATGGGAGGGGCTGATAGCACATACTGATTGCTTCTGTCACTGTGCCCCAGGGCAGCTGTGGCTATAGCAGTAATTTTCACCAGTAATGACATGTGAAGAGTCTTTAAGTGTGCAGAAAATCAATGCATTATTATCATAACTTCAAAACTCCTGTGAGGAAAATGAATGGCTATTTTACTTTGAGCAGGACTTCACAGCTCCAAGTCCAGCTTTAACTATAGACAATGGGGATCTTTGTCTAGCTTCTAGCCACATTTATACAAGTCATACAATCTTGCCCACCAATTAAAACCTTACGTGGAATAGTCTTATCTCAAGTTGTAACATTTGGCATGAGTATAATTATACCTTGTTGACTGGCACGACAGCCTTGTCATGTCTCTTATCTCTGTACACTGTTGTCTCCAGGTGTGAGACACATACCGCAGTTGAAACAGAAAAATAGAAAATATTTGCCCTTTCAACTTGTAATCACAGCAAAAGAACACCTGTACAAAACCACAATAACTTCACATTCAAAATATCAAAACATTCCATTTGAAACTACTAAAGCTGGGATACTTGATTTTACAATGGCATATTTTAAACCATGCAAAGATTAAGGTTCGTTTTTTTGCTCTTACAATTTCTAAACACCTAAAGAAGAAGAGCCTAGTGAGTCACTGTTTGACGCTTTGGGATGAGAGCTGAGAGCTTTTTGATTTTTCTGACAAAAAAGCTTATCTGAAGATGCGATATAGGCCTACAATGGATGTGAAAACTAGAGATACAAAATAACGTTTTTTTGTAGTGAAGAGGCAGTAGAAATTTAGGCACACCAGCTTTAAGTTAATTACCTCAGCTTTCACGGCTACTGTATAAACCCACCTGTGTTTCTTTGCAGCGTGCCGCACTGGAAGCTCAGATCAGGGAGGCAGAGGAGCGCGGTGACCTGGCCATCAGAGACGCCAACGCTCGCATCCACGACCTGGAGCTGGCTCTGCAGAGGGCCAAGCAGGACATGGCCCGACAGCTCAGGGAATACCAGGAGCTCATGAACGTCAAACTGGGCCTGGACATCGAGATCTCCACATACAGGAAACTGCTGGAAGGAGAGGAACAGAGGTGGGTTAGAACCGCGAGGAAGATCAATCATTCAGACATTTCTTAACTGCAGAACTTATTTCTAAAATCGTAAATACTAAATTCAATTCAATTTATTCTTGTTTAGCCCTAGATCACAACAGTAGTTATCTTGGAGGACTTTACAAAACCGTTGAATTTGCCAACACAGATCAGAGAATCAAACACTTCAAGCACAAGAAATAAAACAGAAATCACATTGGTATTGGTCCATGAGGGGCAGATGACCAATGTCCATAAATGTTGTTCTGGATTATCACCACTGTCCTTAGTTAGACTGCATTGGCAAGGAAACACTCTACACTAAAAATGATCAGCTTATGTACATTTCTGGTCTTCCTTTCCTTGTGACTTTTTCTGTATCTGTATGTAGTTTATTTATATGAAATTAATGTTGTGAATATTTTATGTTTTTAAAATATTCTACCTTTAAATCCCAGATCAGTCATTTTGACGGCTCTATTCCTTCAAAAGTAAAATTCAAACAGCCATAATAACCGCTTGGTAACCAACATTCTATTGCAATTAAAGCCCCATTTCTGCAATATGCTTGAATATGGACTGGTTCTTCACTGGTCCTGTATTGGTTTTGGAATCTTTCCAGAAGTTTCTAAATTCCGGTAGTTGTAGTGTTAGTTGAGCTAATATAACACAGAACATACATTCTCTGTCCTGTTTGATATTATGTGACAATTTGGCCACTCATTATTAGTCATTTCTGAGTTTGTTCATTGTGTTGTTTTCTTTCCCAGGCTTGGACAAGAAACAATCTTTAACATTCAGACAGTGCCCAACAGAAGTAAGTTTTAGGTACAGAAGACACAGTTACAGTATTACACTGAATGCCAATGATATAAGTTGACCTAGTGTAGTCTAAAGTGTGTGTTCTTGCTGTTTAAGGCTACTCCAAGAACAAGCTTCAGAGAAGAACATCAGGTCCCCTTGTCATCAAGACCGTGGAAACCAACGATGTGACATACAACAACGACTTGTAATAAATGTAACTTCTAAATGAAAAAATGTCTTTGTAAACATGTGAAGTTGCTGCAACATGAGCCATAGCTGTGTTTGTCCTCTTTTATACATGTGAAATGTTACTGAAATAAATGGTGCTTTGATCAGTCCTCAGTTTGTTTCAATATGGTACTTTATTGTATTTACTGAGAGATGTGACAGAGCCTTCACTAAATGCACATAACCAGTAACAATTATGCCATAGACACAGAGTACTTTAAAGCCAGCTATAGAGTACCTAACCTTGTACTTCAAATGTTGTGAATTCAGCGTCCCCATCAATCTGCAATGTAATGTCTTTGCCGTGAAAGCTGAGGTACCTAATTTTTCATGCAGTAAGTAAGTAAGTAAGTAAGTAAGTAATGTTTATTTATATACATATACATAAAAGTAACTACATTTATTTATTCATGGATTCCTTCTCCAAATTCCTAACTCTCAGAACAGTTTGAATGCTATTTTGTATTTTGGGCTTTTTCAGACAGAAAAGGGACTTCTCCGTACCACTGTTACTCAGCCAATCATTTATCAAAAGTGTCAAATATCACACTCTAGGGCTCTTTCTTCTATGAAACCCTAAAATTCTCTCTAATAATATATAAGGACATAATATTATGGTTCTGATTTCTTCTCAACATTACCCGAGGGCGCCACCTGTATGTAAGAGCCTGGTCTCGGAGTTTCCGAAGCTAAGCAGAGCAGGGCTTGTTTAGTAGTGTGATGGGAGACCTCTGTGAACACCAGATGCCACAGTAAAGAAAAGTGTCTTTGTGTCTTTGAGCAAGACGCTTCACCAACATTACCTGGTTACAGATGTTAAAAAGGTATTTAACAAACAGCTTTGAGAGTGAGAATCTAAATAGTTAGATTAATGGCAGTACAGTTAGTTCATTGTGATTTGAAATGTAGGTACATCGGCTTTAAGCGAAGGTTTAGTTACACAAAGTTCTGCTTGACCGTTTCATAAACATATATCACCCACGTAAACAACAAACACGCGTCTTCCATGTGCGCGAGGGAATGAGATGACAAAAAAATACTGTACAACATACACCTGAAACCCCTCTTTTACTAAGCTAGAATGGCTTGGTAATAGAGATTTTACTACAGTTTAATCCATTACACATCAATAACAATGTACATATACACACACGCACACGATCTAATAAATACACAAATAAAACATCGATCGATTGCATATTTGTAACGGTTACTCCTTCGCCTGCAAGACAGTGCTCAGGAATTAAAATCACATTGTTTTATTTCCTGCTTTCAAGTCAGCGTGGCTCGGGCGTGGTAAAAGTTTTGCAACAACTGCCAGAAATATCCATGCAATACTTGTAAATGTTGCATTTGTCCTCATCTTGTTTTAAGTAAGTATCGTGCTAACATGGGCTGGTATTTTAGATAGCGCTTGATACACGTCACTGACATACTTCTTTACGCGATGTAGATTTAACTAATATAATCTAATCTTAAACTAATATACAATCTGTCTGTGTTTTGTTCAACAGGTAACATTCTATCAACCACAGCGCCATGTCGACACTTCTTGGCGGCGAGTTGTCTGTGAATCTGATGATTAAAAACACATACGTACCAGTTTTATCTCGTTACAATGACAAAGAAATGCCACTTGACGATGCCATCCGATCTGCGTTATGTGAGGCTAAGACCGTATTTGTGGTTGGTCCCGAAGGTTCTGGAAAAACAACCACCTTAGAAATGCTTTTTATGAATGGAGGAAAGGATCAAGAACTGCAGAAATTTAACATTTTCTATTTCAGAGGTGCAGACATCCATTCTCTTAAAGGTCCCATTTCATTGAAGGAGTTTTTGCAGTGGAGCCTTCTTCCCCAAACCCCTATAACAAACTCTGAAAATACTTTGTTTATTTTTGATGATATGGACAAATGTAACCTCAATTTAAATCTACCAACTTATGATCAATGCTCTGACCAAACCCAGACCACCACTGTCTCCTGTTTAGTTTCTAGCCTAATCTGTGGATCTCTCATCCCAGGTGCAAGCTGTTTAGTAACTACCAAAACTAACCTGAATCTTGACCATTTGAGTGGGGTCAATCTAGATATTTTGGGATTTCTGAAGCCACAGAGAGACGCTTTCTTCCACAAGTTCTTTTCAGATCCAGCAGTTGCCAAAAACAGCCTGCAACACTTTGAAAAAACTTTAGGCATTTACGAGTTCTCAAGCTCTCCCCGTTTTTGCTGGACACTTTGTTCTACCTACAACTTTCTCATAGAGTTTGGGACAAAGCTTCCTACTACTATCACTCAAATTTTTGTCCACATTTTGGCTCACTTGCTTGACAAAATACCACAAAAAGAAACAATGCAAAGTCTAGTGTTGGCTCTTGGAAAGCTGGCCTCTCATAGTGTGCTAGGGATGCATAGAAATGTTCAAACAGACACACTTTATGCGTTTGGCCTTCATTCACCCCCCAATGATTTTTTACGCGCAGATGGCGAGACTGAAAACGCTGTCTATCAATGGCTTTCACAGCTAATGCAAGAATTTATTATAGCTGCGTCTTTCTTTTATGACCCAACTTCAGAAAGTGTGCAGGTTTTTTTGGAGAAGCACACCAAACATACACAATTTCTAGATGTTTTTATGGCTGGTCTTTGTGAGCCATTCTCTCGAAAACCTCTTGAAGATCGTCTTGGCTCGTTCAACCCAGGGCATATCTTAGATTTTGAAAAGTGGCTCAAAAAGTTATGTGAAAAAGCACTCCCAGGATGCAACAAACAAGACCATTGCCGCTGCTTTCAATTACTGTATCAACTGCAAACGGAAAGTGTGGTGAAAGAAGTTATGTCTGCTCCTGCGAGATTGGGGATCAGTTACGGGAACCTCAGCCTGGCGGACTATGTGGCGCTAAACTACATGGTGATGCATCTGGGAGTGCTGGAGAAGTTCAACATGTACGGGACCAGATGTTTGACCAATGAGGAGGCAGAAATATTGGCTCCAACAATGGTCGTATCACAACAAATAACGTAAGTTTTTAGTCCAACGTATGCTGTTGATCCTTTACATTCACTGCACAATCAGTTGTGAGATTTCATAACACTTTTAGGCAACTTTTGTTAAAGTTAAACTCATCATTCTATCAATGTGCAGAAGCCAGTACTTTTCCCTTGTTTTGTCTATCTGAAGGCCAAGCTACAAGCACACCGTGGCAGCTGCTGATTGGAGGTCTCCATGCCTCCGCTCTGTATAATACACTTGCATTCTTTTGTATCTGTTGATCGTGCTGTCTCTACCATCAACAATAAAACATGTCTTCTGTCTGAATTTAAGACGCGATCCCAGACTTGGCTCATCTTCTTCAGGTGGTGGAAGGATGCGGGCCTTGTCTGTAACATCTAGAGAACAGAAGACTACTTTTTTTTTTTACACAAAAAGTGTTTTTTTTTTTTAAGCCAAAACTGAGAAACCTCAAGAGAAACCATGCATCTGGATCAGCACACTTGGACTATCTGCACAGCCCCTGATTCCAGTCAGGCTGTGAGCTGCTGAGACATGGACAATACCATTGTCCTCTTTTGCATCATCATTTGGAAAAATTGGGTTACACAATTTGGACATGATTTGGAACAATCTGGATTTCTGAATTTGGACATAATTTGGACTGAATTGAATTGCTGAATCTGGACACTGAAGCTGAAACGTGTGATTGAAAGACACGTCACAGAAGAATTCATGGCTTGACACAAATGCAGCCTGAAGAAACCAACACGGAGAAGTGGGAGAGACTGTTTTCAAAGCAATATCTGGAACCACCATCGACTGATGAAGTTTGGTATTTTACTGAAGATTGTTGACAAGTTTTATGAAAGATCTGAAAATGTTTTGAGTTTTTGAAGTATTCCGAGTTCTGAGTTTTTTATTGAGTTATGATGTTATGTTGCTGTTTATCGATCCTGATGGTCACACGTGAATGTATGACCAGAGGGGGGAATGTGAAATTTCATAACACTTTTAGGCAACTTTTGTTAAAGTTAAACTCATCATTCTATCAATGTGCAGAAGCCAGTACTTTTCCCTTGTTTTGTCTATCTGAAGGCCAAGCTACAAGCACACCGTGGCAGCTGCTGATTGGAGGTCTCCATGCCTCCGCTCTGTATAATACACTTGCATTCTTTTGTATCTGTTGATCGTGCTGTCTCTACCATCAACAATAAAACATGTCTTCTGTCTGAATTTAAGACGCGATCCCAGACTTGGCTCATCTTCTTCACAGTAAAAGAATTATACAATCTATAATCTTTGTTCCAACTCAAATACTAATCTCCTTCTCATGATCCTGCTGCTTTCCTTTGAAATGTTGGCTTCTGGCTGGAACCTTGTAACATTAAAGCTGGTGTGCCCGACTTTTTTTTGTTTATTTCATTTATAAATATTGTTTGTGTCCACAGTAATAGTTTTTTTATGTAATGGTAAAAAGTAGCGATAGTTAGCTAGTTGCTACCACTATACAGGGGCAGAAGCAATTTATACTTGGATTGTGTAAAAATGAAAAGTGGAAATATGAGATGACACCTTTATCTTGTTGAATATTACTAAATTGAATTTCTTTCCCACAAATTGTCTTTTTAATATAACCTCTCACTCACTTTAGTTTTGCTTCCCCCTGTTGTTTTCCCTTTGACACAGCAGCTCAGCCACAGATGGTTCTTATCACTGCTCAACTTTGACTACAATTAATGTTTTTTATGCTAAATTGTTTCTTCCCAGGTTTTCACAGTGCTCGTTTGAGAATGGTGCGGTGTCTGTTTTGGCCTCTGCTCTCTGCAAAGGAACCTGTAAGAACCTGGATCTCTCAAACTGCCGCCTCAACGTCGGACAGATTCAAAGTCTGTGTACAGGACTGCACAGCTGCAAACTTAAATCACTTAAGTAAGTAACAATAAATGTACTGCAGTGTGCTGTTATATATTCAAAGGAGCCGCTGAAGACGAGAGTGATGTAAATTTCTCCTATGTGAGATAAATAAAGCAAATCTTATCTCAGCAAGAGTGATGGGAGAGTGTAGGGTCAGAGAGCTTGGACCTGTGGCTCGTCTTTGTGTGAGTTTTGCGTTGGGTCGTATGATTGAGAGTTGTCGGAACACGCGTCTTTTCAAACTGTACTTTGTGATCATCACTCTTGCTTCTCTGGGGTTAGATCAGAGACAGAGATCTGAGTGGGGTTTGCATGTTCTTCCAGTGTCAGCGTAGATTTTCTCTGCGTGCTCTGTTTCCCTCCTGGTGTTCTAAAACATGTATAGCTCTCCTGATTTTTTTCAACCAGTGGGTTTAGTCTTAAGTCACATACAAATCTCTAAACCAAGATAATCACAAAATCAACAGTTTTTTTGGTGAATAGTTGTTAAAGTTTTTACTTGCTAGTTTGAAATTGTGACCATGTAAATACAACCAAACCATACATTGGTGCTAACAAAGACCAAATATGCTTTTTCTCCGAAGCCTTTCCAATACTGGGCTGACAGCGACATCGTGTGCAGAGTTGGAACCTGCTTTGTGCTCCGTGACCTCCCAGCTGAACGTTCTAGAACTCTATGGAAATAAAATCGGGGACGAAGGTTTGAAGAAGATTTGTGAGGCGCTGCAGAGTCCACACTGCGCCATAGAGTCACTGCTGTAAGTGATCCACACAAGCTCAGTGTTCTTACAAAAATGTAGTTGCTTCACATACTCGGCCCAAACTAAAGATATATTAAAGACGACATTTAATGAAACTAAACAAGTAGAGAGAGAGAGCCCTGGCAGGCCTCAGGAGGTGAGGATGGACTCGATGATGGCCGTGTAGAACTGCACCAACATCTGTGCAGGCAGCTTGGCTTTCCTGAGCTACCGCAGGAAGTACATCCTCTGCTGGGCCTTCTTGATGAGGGAGCTGATGGTCGGCTCCCACTTGAGGTCCTGGGTGATGGTGGTGCCCAGGAAACGAAATGACTCCATAGAGTTGAAGGGGGAGTCCATCAGGGAGGGTGGGGGCGGGGGGACAGTGCTCTTCCCTAAGCAGTTGTTGTAATTCCATGGGGAGGGGCTGAAATATATTTATTGTGAAAATACTTAATTTTAAGTTTACTACAGTGAACACATGCGGTCCCATATTCCTATTTAAAAAAACACTGATAGAAAATAATATCCATTATTAATGTTTGTATGAAAAGAACCTTATTTTTTATGATGTGATAAATAACGCCCAAATGAGTCAAACTAATATAATAATAATAATAATAAATCTTTATTTATAAAGCACTTTTCAAAAACAATGTTTACAAAGTGCTGCACAGCATAATAAACAATACATCAGTCATAATACAAAGTTAAAACAATAAGAATGAATGCAAGAAGACAAGACAAACAGAGGAAACACAAGACCACAAAACAGACAGGACAGACAGTAAAATACAACATTATAAGTTTAAAGCTGACAATTAAAAGCTGTTTTATAAAAGTGGGTTTTAAGAAGAGATTTAAAAGAGGATACTGATGGTGCTAGCCTTATCTCCTCGGGCAGGTCGTTCCAAAGCCGAGGAGCCCGGACAGAAAAGGCTCGATCACCTTTCGTCCGGAGCCTCGACCTTGGAATGGTCAGCAAGGACCTGCCCGAGGATCTAAGGCTGCGGGGGGGCTCGTAGGGGGTTAAAAGTTCATAAATATAGCTTGGTGCCAGACCTAAACGAGCTTTAAAAGTAATCAGTAAAATCTTGAAATCAATTCTAAATCGCACAGGGAGCCAGTGGAGGGACGCTAAAACAGGGGTGATGTGCTCCCTTCTGTTAAAACCAGTGAGAAGTCTGGCTGCTGCGTTCTGAACCAGTTGGAGGCGGGAGAGGGATTTAGCATCAAGACCGGAGAGGAGGGAGTTACAGTAATCGAGGCGGGAGAAGATGAGGGCGTTGACGACTTTATGGAGATCGGGAGGAGTGAGAATGTTTTTAATCTTAGAGATGGTGCGGAGGTGATAGAAGCAGGTTTGGGTGGTTTTATTGATGTGGGAGCGGAAGGTGAGGTGAGAATCAAAAATGACACCGAGGTTACGGGCGGAGGGAGTGATGTTTGAGGACAGGGGGCCGAGGTGGGTTTGGATGTGGGATATGGATGGAGGCGGGTTGATGAGGAGGACTTCTGATTTGGAGGTGTTGAGTTGAAGGAAGTTATGGGCCATCCAACGGTTCACATCATTAAAACAGTCGACCACAGCAGCCAGACTTCCAGGGTCGTTTGGTCTCAGCGGGAGGTAGATCTGTGTGTCGTCCGCATAGCAGTGGAAGGACACGTTATGACGGGCCATAACGTGTCCTAGGGGGAGCATATAAATAGAGAATAAAATGGGGCCTAAAATAGAACCTTGCGGCACACCACAGGTGATGGGGGCTGTTGAGGAGGTAAAATCACCCATGGTGACCGCAAAGGTTCTTTCTAAAAGATAAGAATGACTATACTATAAGAATATAGTAGTGTGTTTATGTTTGTGGTGGTTCTGGTTTGTCAGTGGCATTAGTCTCTTTCTGAGGACTTTTCTTCCGTCAGCGCTGATTTATAAAAGGAGACTTAACTCTTGAGGTCCTGTGTCTCCTTCGGCAGCAGGTCCAGTTTGGTCTGAGTCTTCATGGCAATAATAACTTTTTGTTTTCTCTCTTGAGTGAAGCTTAGACTCTTGTGGTCTGACCGCAGCATCAATGGACCATCTGTCAACGGCAATGTGTTCTGGTCACTCACGGCTTCAAACCCTCAACCTGTCAAGAAATGAAGTTCGAGATGAAGGGGTCGAAGTCCTGGCTAAAGCTTTACAGCATCCACTGTGCAAACTGGAAAGTCTTCGGTTGGTATTATTATTATTATTTGTTAAGAGAACCTTTATTTGTCCCACAGTGATGAAACTTCAGTGTTGCATCACCAGTTACAGAAAAGTAGGAATGAGGAGCACACATCACAAATAATATTTACTAAAATATTTTTTTTTTCTCTAAATTTAGCATTATAATAAAGCAATTATAAAATCTCTAGCTTTAGTGTAATGAGGGTTAGTGTGGGATTCAGGTCAAAAATCTCTTAAGCATAATAAAGTTAGTAAGTTGCAAAGTTTGTAGGTGATTCATATGTATGTGTGTGCTTTTACAGCCTTTATGATTGTTGGCTGTCTGAAGGCTGCTGTCCTCATCTGATGGAGAGTTTGATGTCTCCGCATTGTTCTCTGGTAGAAATTGATTTGTCAGTGAATGAATTTGGCCAGGAGGGGGCGCTGATGCTGTGTCAAGCCCTCAAAAGACCCGGTTGCCCAATAGAAAAACTCAGGTATGAAATTTGATAAATTTGGTAATCAGAAATGTTTAATCTGTCATTATTATTAGTAAAACAATGTTTGTTTTTGTTGTCTAAATGTACGTCTACAGCTTGGTGAGGTGTGAGTTAACAGAAGTGGTGTTTGTTGAACTGGCTGCGATGTTGAAGAAAGGGTCTCCTCCTCTCAAGTACTTGGCTGTGGGTCTGAATAAAGTTGGGGATGAGGGAGTTCGCCATCTCTTGGTCGCTTTGAGACATCCGTCCTGCGAGCTGGAGGAATTGGAGTGAGTGTAAATAGACTGGTCCATAGTTATCCGGAACGTATGGATAGTAGAAACATCACAATACATATATACTACACTCACTTCAGTTTGCTGTACAACATGTGCATTTTTCCGTAAAGCTGCCATACACTGCAAAAAAACTAGGACAAAAATTCTCAAATTTGGTCAAACGTGTCTTCCTATGAGCTCATTTTGACTGCCTTGATTTGCACACATTTGCAAACAAGATTTGCCAATGTGATTTAGACAGAAACAGAAAACAACTCCCTTGATACGAAAGTAAAGTAACAGTTCTTGAAATAAGACTAAATGGCTTTGTGCCATTGGCAAATTATGTTTTGAGACAGTCAGAATGTACTCGGATGAAGATGAAAACGCCTTGATTCAAGCAACTATTACCTCATATCTTATACATTTTTTACAGTAAGAAAAAGAACTTAACAATGTTGGCCCTGGTCCATGTTTTCTTATATGCTTTTGTTTGTATATATAAACTTAGTTACTTATAAAGTAATTCTTCAATGCTTTTTGTTCAGTTTACAAAAAAAAATCAACACTGATTTATTCTTTAATTTCTCCGACTCAAATCTGAATGTATTTTGAAAAAACACCCAAAGAGGTAGCTCTATCGGACTATTATCAATGTTTTAAAACGTGTCATTGCACCAGGAAAAAGTAAAAGCATTCTATACTATGTCTGTTTTCAGTGTGGAAATGACAGAGTTGACGGATGCTTGTATCGAAGACCTGTGTGCTGCAGTAAAAGACTCAAAGACACTGAAAAAACTTCAACTCCAAAATAACTCTCTCACCGATGTGTCCGTCCCGGCTCTCGTCAGCGTCGCGAAGGCCAGTCCCAACATGGAACAACTCAAGTAGGTTCAGTTTGAATCCCGCAGCCGCACAATCAAATATCCCTCTAAACGACCATGTCTTCTTGGTTTCTTTCAGCGTCAAGTACAACGACTTTAGCGAGGACATGTTTGAGATTTTTGAAACCTGTTCAAAAGTCCGATATTAAAATCATTGAGTTAAACTGAATCACAGTTTCCCAGCCGTAAGTAAGTATTTGTGTGGACATTAAAGCCAGCATCAATATGACAGATGTGTGTGTGTGTAAGTGTGTGTGCGTGCATGCGTGCCTGCGTGTGTGTGCAAGTTGTTGAAGACTGAGAGAGATATTATTGTTTTCAATGTCTGGTCTATGTAAGGCCATTTCTTATGAATGTTTAACACCTGCCTGCCCAGGGACTACAGGTACAATCCATCTCTTCCTGTGACATGTATATTTTTTGTACTTGTCAATGGTTTTATAAATAAATAACTCAACTTTAATATACAAATAACAAGCTCTCCATTGTGATATATTTAAAGTTTGTGTTGTTGTTTTGCTATTTTAACTAGTAATTGTCCTTTTTGGGTTCCTATTATTTGATCATATTTGTCAGATATGATGACGGATTCAGAAATACAGAAACACGTGGGTGTTTTTTTGTTTTTTCATTTTCTTCAAGTGAAGCCAGAATCAGGATCGTAGCCAACAGCTGTTGAAGGAGATTACCAAGTGACTTTGAATCCTACATTATGCTGATTTTATGCAAACAGTGTCCTCTTACAAACGCAGAGAGAGAGAGAGTTTTATTACGTCACATCATTACATCACTTGTTCGGAATGACTTGCATAATTGCATCCTTTGCAAATGATATTTGTGACTAAAGTCAAATTATGACTGCGTTTGCGTTTACTCTTGCCGCTTTGCTTCCCAACCAGAGGTACCAGTCTCACTTATCTGGGGCTTGTACATCTGAGGACTGTGTTTTATTATATTTCACTGAACATTTTAATGGATAGTAATAAAGAAATATGTCCTGCAATGATTCAAGTTTTTCAGTTGGTCCATTAGGGTTAACCAGATGTTCCAAATTAAAAGCTGTGACACACCCAGACAGGTTGAATAGTAGATTGTGCCACTGTCTTCAAGTTCACACACACCTACATCTGTGCATCTCTGTACCACTCAGAGTTGCACTCATGTTTCAAACGTGTTTTGTAAAGCTCTTTGGATTGCCTTGTCTTACAGCCCATATTTATTTGCTATATATATCAAAGATGCATTATTCATTCCCTCTGTACACATCGGTGATGAACTAGAACAAGCCACAGCTGCCCTGGGATAGACTTGCAGAAAACGAGACAACTGATCTGTGACATTGGCCCCTCTGATCACCAACCATTTGGCACATACCAGAATAAATCTTGGGAAATGTAGGTGAAGTGTCTTGCCTAAGGACACAACAACGTTACAGCCGCCTCACTGTGGCACCTGGTGTTCCCAGAGGTCTCCCATCACATTGGCCACTGGTCCACGTTCTGTAGCTAGCTTAGGTCCTAGATCATTAGCGGATCCCTTTCTCATATGGGTCTCCCTCCCTGTGGGTTTCCCTAGTTCTCCCCAAGGTTTCTCACTTTTTCCCACTGGATTTTTTAAGAGTTTTTCCTTGTCGATGTAGGAGGGTCTTGTTGGACAGTTAGTGTCCAACAGAAAGGATTGGTGATGATCAGGACACTTTAGCATTCTACAACATGTATGGACATTTTCTTCTGTGTGTGCTTTATATTTTTCATGTGTTTTAACTGTTGATTCTCTGATCTGTGTTGGTGATTTCAATGGTTTTGTTAAGTCCTCTGAGATGACTTCTGTTGTGACCTAGGGCTATACAAGAATAAATTGTATTGTATTGTATTGTATATTACTAACCATGCCCTGCCCTGCTTAGCTTTATAGGTTTGATGAACAATATTCCCTGTTTAAACGCCCATCATTGTGTTTGTTCAAAAGTTTATTTAACAATATATTAAAAAAAACATTCAAAATATATCCTCCACATTCAGCCAGGACTGAGGTCTCACATCTGTGTGAAAGCTTCTGAGGTCTTTTACATTTTACACATGTATTCATTGCATTCATATTTAACAGTTTACACATGTATTCCACACTCAGATTAACCCTAAATACTTCATACAGATTTTTTATTGCAGTTGGAGTTAATTTCTTCATCTTCCGAGCTGCTTTCGATGTCGCTCCGGTCATCTTTGGACACCTGCAAACACAAATAATCATCAGAAAAAGTCCCATAACGTTGAATACGTACATGTTCTCGTCTAATCACGCACCCTTCCTTTGAATATAGACTTGACAGCGATGCGAGTGATGAGATAAAACCAGTAAATGTGAAGGACTTGTAGGACCAGGAGCAGGGAGTTGAGAAGCCACCAAGCCTGATATGGGCCAACGATCTCCCAGCTCTCAATCAGCACGCTGTGTATCACCCTGCAAATACACGGACAGGTTAAACAGGTAGAATGGCTCTAATTGTGCACACACACTATAAAGACTAGAAACACAACAGTCAAAATTAAATCACAGGGAACATTAGGATGTCTCAAAGTGCATGGTTTGTGCTGCAGTGAATGTGAAAAGTGGTTCAAAGTAGCCCCTATGCAGAAAAAGTGGTAGATTTCTTTTTATTTTCTTAACGGTTGGATGTATTGTATAGATTTTGTCTTAGTTATATGGTTGACACAAAACAAAAAACAGAATTGTAATGTAAGAAAACATTTGTGAATGAATTATAGTAGTTATGTGTAGTTTTGCACAAATTAGGAAACATTTTGTGAAGAAAAGTCAGTGTTCACAAGACCAGCGTTTATATTCAAACTTGATTGAAGCTTATTAAAGAAAAGGTATGAACTAAAAACGATCCTAGTCAATCACAGATAACTTTAAACTGATGTGTTTGTGGTATAGGTTGCCATGGGAACAGATATTGTTTTTGCTCCAGCATTGACTCTGACCTCCTGAACATGGTCGATAAAGTGTTGCTAAAAATGTAATTCCTTAAATAAATGCAGCTGTGAGTAGTCATTAAATCATAGATAGAAAAACCCAAATAGTTTGAGGACACGACAGAGGCAGTTGCCTCTGTCGTGTCCTCAAACTATTTGGGTTTTTCTTAATCCTATGGAGATTTTCAATGTAAATTTTCAAGAGGTAATGACCTGAAATGGTCTTCAACAGTTTTGAAAGAGTTCCCAGGGATGCTTAGCACTTGTTGGCCCTTTCGCCTTCAATCTGTGGTCCAGCTCACCCCAAAAACCATCTGGATTGGGTTCAGGTCCGGTGACTGTGGAGGCCAGGTCATCTGACCCAGCACCCATTACTCTCCTTATTGGTCAAATAGGCCTTACACAGCCTGGTGTGAATCTACAGTCAATAGTCAATAGTCATGAAAAGAAAGGACGCTCACTGAATGAGAAAGTGTGTCCAAACTTTTGGTCTGTACTATACATTTTTGGTCTTCATAACTTTGTGACTTGTTAGTTTTTTATGAATATGTCTTTAACTTTTGAGAGTTGTCCTACGTCTACCCATAACTAGACCTTTACCTCCCAGAGCAGAGCCAGTACTAGTTACCATAGCGTCATAATGTAGCCTTTCCAGAAATGCTGTATTTTAAGTTATATTCACCAGTTTTAGCACTTAGTAAAAGTGAGTAAAGGTTAAACAAATGTAATACATCGTTCAAAAACTATTTTTTTGTGGCAACTTCTCAGAATTGCACAGTTTTGAGAGAAATCCTAAATATATTGTTTTTTTGTTTGTTATTTCAATTTAAGGAAAAATGGGTTAGGGTTAGGAGAATGAGAGAGAAGGAATAAGGAATATAATAATGATAAGTACAAACAAATGAATAATAAACATATATATATATATCATATATATAAATTGTTGTGAATGGAATAGTGTCTCACCAAAAAGGGAAGATGATGAGTCGTGTGATGAAAAACACCAGGGTGAACAGGACAAACAGAATGTCACACAGACGCTGGTACTTGGCGTAGTTGGCCAGTTTAGCCGCCTGAGGAGCGCAAGAAAGTCACATTATAGACATGCATGTAACACTAGGACTCCCAGAGCAGTCAATGTTTAGTTCAGCACTTTGCTTTGCCTTCCATTGTGCTGTACAAATAAACTTGCCTTGCCTTTTTCAGTTCATGGACATATTTGATCTTAGCTTTGTGACTTTTCTATGTCATTATGTTTTATTTAATAGCCTTTTACTTTTGAAATGTGAGGAGTTCTAATAATGATACAAATACAATACAACAAACAATAACATCAAAAATACATAAAAAACAAGTTCTAACTTTAAATCCTGTTGCAAATCACCATAGCAACCCACTGTTTACTTGGAACAGTTAGCATTTAGCGGCTAAGATAACAAAATCGCTTACTGCATCTCTGAGAACATTTTGTTATATTTGAAATTATATTCACCAGTTTTAGTACGAAGTTAAAAAAAAGAGTAGGTAAAACCCTTATAATTGACTTACTTTTAATAAATCTGGTGAAAATTTAAAAAAAGATATCTGACTGGGAGCAGTCATAATGTCTGCGTTCTCTCAGGTGCTCCACTTTCCCCTACCACCCAAACATGTACTATTGCCCCCCCCGCTCTCTGGGGAAAGGACTCCCTAAAAAAGTGATTCTGAAATCTCATGGGAAGTTCCTGGTTACACAAAAAAAGTAGTTTTAAAAACTTCCCAACTTTATGTTCAAGAATCCAGATAAAGATTCATATTGTCTCACTGTTTTAGACATTTAATAGGCACAATGTTTGGGTCAACTGACTTTCATTAGATCATAAAGACGGCCCTTTCCGCTCTCTCTTTTATCAGATGCAAGTCACGTCTCAGTAATCAATTGAAAAAAATTATATGTAAAAAGTCTGGTGCTGGGCTCCGATTTTTCATCAAAGATTAAATGCTGTCTTAATCTGATTTGTTCACAAAATATAACTTTTACAAAAATCTTTCTGTTGGCCCAAAAAACATGAATTATTTATGTGAAACAGTTACCCAGCTTTAAATCACAAAAACACGGCATTCTAAAGTGCTTGTTTGTCGATAACATATCTACACAGTATATCTAATTACTGCCCTCACAGTAGGGCAGTAATTAGTATAGTATTTCCCATTGAGTTTTGTTTGTGTGTTCACCTAGTGACTTTCATGTCTGTCACTTAAAAAACAATACAAAAATCTAAAATCCATGGTGCCACCGCAATATGATATCATAATATGCAAATCTTTGGGCAATCCCTAATATATCTCTAATTTACAGAAAGCCCCTGTCTCTTATCACATTAAGTTAAAGCCCTAGAAAGTCAAAATCAAGTGTTTGAGGAAAAAAACGCTTAAAGGGTTAAGTATTGTTGTTGTTATCAATACTACAATGAGAAAACTATTATTGCTATTCATCTGCATCATGTTTTCTCACCAAAGGTATTTTCTCTTGTTCCTCCAACACACATATTTTTCCGCCCACAGCGAGTTTCCTAATTTACCTCTAGAAAAATGTCAGAGGCGTCGTGCACACACATCACCAGCGCTCCCGCTCGCAGCATGTTGTTGCCGTAGGAAAACGTGATGAGGAGAAGAGTGGCAAAGTGGTGGATGAACATAATGAGGAAATCCTACAGTAACAGACAGAAAAACATTTTTATTATGTTTTGTGGAATAAATGTGTAAAAGCGGCGGCCGACTTACCTTTCGTTTTATGTCAATGAACTGAGAAAACATCAGAGACCAATAGAACGCAAACTCAGCGAAGTAGTGGATGTACTGGCCCTGAATCATGGGCTGTAGAGAAACAAGAGAAAGTCGCATGAAATTCACACATTTGCAAATCATTGAAGAATACTTAAAGCTGTAGCTCATTTTATTGTTTAGAAATACAACTTTTTGCGTGTCCTAAAAGAAAGAGTTTTGTGAAAGTGAATCAGAATGCAGTCTAAAAAACATCATGTTATATTGTAAGTGAGGGTGGTCTTTTCTGTTTCCAGTTTTTGCGGTGAAAGGTTAGGTTGCCCAGATTTAAAGTGCAGTTTGAGTGAGAGATGATTAATGCTAAAAGCTCAATACAGAATTTATCTATCAATCTAGAAATTCCATTTGGCTGGGGTAGTCCTGCACAGTTTTTCCCAATCTGGTTTTACTGCAAATGACAAATACATTCTTTCTTTTTTGGCCATTAAAAATTACAATGAGACTGTTGTATTAAAGCTGGGGCACCTAACTTTTTCCATTCATTTCTACCCTTTTAGTCCATTTTTGGGTCAGGGGAGTGACAATCAGAGCTGCCACCCAATGCTCAAAGCAACAAGTCCCTCGCTGATCCTCTGCAGGTGGTGGGTCCACAGGAAGATGGCTGCTACATTAGTGGTGCCACAGCCTTGGTGTTTCAGCGCGAGCTCCAGGCAATGTGGGGTTAAGTGTCTTGCCCAAGGACACAACGACAGAAGACATTAGTGGGAGCAGTTGGAGTAGGTCTCGAGTAGGGCTTGAACCCACGACCTTCCAGCCCAAAGCTCTACCAACTGAGCTACTGTCGTCCCCACCTAACTTTACCTAACTTTTCCCCTTCAAAAATAATATGTAGTGTTTGCCCCGACCGGAAAAATCTTGTAAAAGTAACATGTTTGTTTGCAGCCAGTGACCAGCAGAACATATTTCACTACATAGTTACATGTTTAGTGGTTTGAAAGGTAGGTACCCCAGCTTTAAGAACACACATTAAAACAGCAACCATAGTACCGCAATGGTTCAGGTATTTGTCATTACCTGGAATGGATAATTAGTCCAGCAATGTCTAGTGTTCCACATCCACGGTGACTAAGACAGAAGACACTTGTTACTCACATTGATGAACACGTGTTTGGACTGGTGTAAATAACTGACTTACATCCCACATGTAGTAGACGGTATAAACAAATATTCCTCCATAAAATGTGAATCGCCACCTGAAATTGAACAAAACATCTGTATAAACAAAATATAGACACATTACAGTTAATTGCAGAATGCTTAAACGGCTGCTTATGTGGCTGCAGTGAAAAAATAAAAACAGCTGGATTTCACCAACAAAACTGGCAACTCACTCTGCTCTGAGCGTAATAGGTTTAATATCAGTATACGATAAGATAACCTTTATTTGTCTCACAGTGGAGACATTTCAGTATTGTTGGCGTCAGACTTTAAAATAATTTTGGTGACATTTTGTTTCTTGTTTTGTGGAAATCTGACTTAACATTTCTTTTTGTCCTTTTGTCAGTGTCTCTCTCTGGTCGCTCTCTGGTCTCTCTCTGGTCTCTCTCTGGTCTCTCTCTGGTCTCTCTCTGGTCTCTCTCTGGTCTCTCTCTGGTCTCTCTCTCTCTCTGGTCTCTCTCTCTCTCTGGTCTCTCTCTCTCTGGTCTCTCTCTGGTCTCTCTCTGGTCTCTCTCTCTCTGGTCTCTCTCTCTCTGGTCTCTCTCTGGTCTCTCTCTGGTCTCTCTCTGGTCTCTCTCTGGTCTCTCTCTGGTCTCTCTCTGGTCTCTCTCTGGTCTCTCTCTGGTCTCTCTCTGGTCTCTCTCTGGTCTCTCTCTGGTCTCTCTCTGGTCTCTCTCTGGTCTCTCTCTGGTCCTCTCTCCGGTCTCTCTCCAGTCTGTCTCTCCAGTCTGTCTCTCCAGTCTGTCTCTCCAGTCTGTCTTTCCTGTCTGTCTCTCCAGTCTCTCTCCAATAAAAGATGGAAATACCAGGTCCAATAAACCCTTAAATACGTCAAGCACATACTTTACATGTATTTCATTGGCTGTGTTCCACTTTACGTACATGCTCTCACAGAACTTTGTCTCTGTCGTGGGTCGGTTTTGGTCTCTGCGTAGTCGGAACCATCTCTGGACTCTGCGGACTTCCCACTTCAGCTCTGTGGCCAGCTGCTCCAGGTGACTGTGGTCTGGACTCTGTTATCAAAGCATGAGAAATAATAACCACTTCAGTCTCAGGTTATCATCAGACAGAGTAATGTAGGCAGAGCTGTAAATGTACTTCTTATTCATTGATTCATATGGTTACAAGGTGAGATGGCTATTCTATTTCATGTTTTAAATGGCGTATTTTTATGACCATGGAAACTGTGCTAATATGTACAGTATTTTTTCAAAAATAATATAATTTATAACATCTCTCTCGTTGGCATAAACCCTAATACTCAATAACTTCTAGAGGACCAGTTTGGTCTTTCCCCTTGGTATGATTATGGCCGGTAGGATTTAGTAGAGAATAGTTAAACCAATAATGTCAATAATGCCCTCAAGGATTTTAATGGAATTCAACCAATCAGAAAGCTGCTGGGATAAGCGTGGGTGGCTCTAACCAGTGCTGGTACTCAAATAGTTTCCTCTCTTCACAATTTTAAAAGTTACCGATGTCCACTTTAAATACAAATAGTTAAATACAATGTACTTTTTTCTACTTTTTTAATGAGCACAGCTCTTCCTAGAGCGTGTGCCCCCTGTGGCCCCCACAAACAAGCCCCAGATTATTTTGAAGAATATGTGATGTTTTCCACGTCACATTTTGTCCAAAACACACAAATGATTTAAGTTGTTAAAACCAGTGTATTGTCATCAGTATGTTGGCAGCCCTCTGTAGTGGCCCTGAGGCTCCACGGACCCCACTTTGGGAAACAGTTCAAATGGAAAACATTGTAATTGAATCAAAAGTCTACTGTTTCAAATGCTTAAGCTTGATCATCTTGGAAAGTTTTTACCCAAAGGTTCAAAATCAGTCGATTTTCAGCAAATGATCCTTGTTTAGTGAAGTGTAGTTTAGAGGAATTTTTATACATTTCAGGTAAAACCATGTAGATGTGTTTGTAAGGTTGTATTTTTCTTTTACCCCGTGCTCCAGTGACAGGACTACGACCACATAACCACGTGTACATTTGCATTGTACCGTTTTAGACTTGAAGACTTTCTCAAGGAGGGGATTGGGCTGCGCGCGCCGTCGCTCTCCTGTCTGTATATGAAGTATGTTGGCACAGGGTTTGGCCACAAGCCTGAACACACAACACACAAGAGGAGACAGAGGGCAGTTGTGTCGAGTTAGAAACATGTACAGAAACCTTTTCATCAGAAGAGCCAAGATGAAGACAAGACTTATACTCCAAGATTCACCAACACTGTTATTTATAATGCCAAAACCTATGGACCAAATCATTATTTCAAATGCTTAAGAAACAGTTTAGAATGTATAGTTTCCATGTCCTGATTTAGTCCTGTTTCAGTCCTGCTTCTGTCCTGCTTTAGCCCTGCCTATACATAATACAGTGTCATATGTCCCAACAGAAAAAGTATAATTTTGTGAACACGTGCATGCCGTTAGAAAACATATTGTCAGAAAAAGTCCAGTGAGACACTATTTGGACTGCTGTAAAGCTGATAAAACCATGTGACAGAAGACAGAAACACATGCATGCACCAAGAGTGATTTTAATTCAGAGTTCGGTATCTCAACTTTAAAGGGGATGTATTGTAATTTAAATTTAAAATCTACAATATTAAACGACTAGTTCTCAGTCCAGATCTGATAATGACGCCTGGATGGGAGTCAAAGCAGCTTGTGAAACCTGCTCGGCAATCGATCGCTCCAGGACAAATGAGGGATCACACTGCATTGTCTTAATAAGTATTCAGCAAAGCTTGAATCCAAACTGAACTGGATTATGACTCACAGTTGAAAACAGGTGCAGCAGGACCTGACATCTCCAAAGAGATGCAATTGAGTTTTTTTAAAAACATTGAATTACATTTTGCATTACAATTACAATTACATTTGCTGTTTGTATTTTCAAACAAAAACCGAAAACATTCAGTTCAGACGCTGAACGTCACCATTTTGTAGCTGCAAGTGCTGAAACAGCTGTCAAACATCCAAAAAAGACAATCCAATTAATTTCAGAATGAATGAATAGATAGTATTGTAATTTTATCAATATTCCTCATAAATCAATTTGATTTCAAATTCTTACAGGTTTGAGAAGAGGATTATTGCAACAATAAATACTTTTCTCTATTGTGGGATGAATACATTTCTCTATTAAAATACTTCTATAGGACTTAAAGCTGGGGTTCTTAAATGAAGATAAGATAAGATAAGGTATAAGAGAAACTTTATTTTTCCCACAGTGGGGAAATTTAAATAGACCTGTTTGTCTTACTGCTGACATACATGGGTCAGTAGCAAGAGCACACATGGAGCACAGAAAGTACACAATATAAGTTGCTGATATTCTTCTTAATTATCTGTAAATGCATCAATATTTTGAAAAATATCTATCTATCTATCTATATATAGTGCAAAGTTATATACTGTACATATAGGGCAGGATAATAACTAGATAAAGTGACATTCAGAGAATATCCATACTTTTTGTTTTTCCCAACAGACAGAATCTTTATCAGTTTTTATCAGAGCACAACATGCTGCAATAATCTTATTAGAAAACATGTTTTCTTGTAAGACACAGCTCTGCGAGTCACTTTTTGACGCTTTGGGCTGAGAGCTGATTGGATGAGTGAGGGTGGTTAGTCCTCTGTCTGAAAAAGTTGATGCGGAGTACATGCGGAAACTAGAGTGAACCAAACTATTTTGAGCGCGAGGAACAAGTTAGATGGATTGCATTGGTTCCATTTTTGTGGTTTGAAAGTTAGGTAATCCAGCTTTCAAAAAATGCAGTATATAATCAGGCTTTTTATTTGTTGCACTTAATCTAGCATACTGAATTTCAAGTTAAACCAATGAAAAACTATGGTGGGTTTAGTTTAAGTTGGTTAGTATATCAAAACATTGCATAAGGACTTACACCTAACCGTTTGATATAAAAACAACCAATTATGACAAATAAAACATTGCTCAGACATAACTAAACCATTGCATCACATCCTCAACAGTTGCATCAGTAAGTATAGGCTACAGTAACTGCCTGAAGTGAAAAAGTGCAGGATCTTGGGGAATGTGGCACCAGAATGCGACGCGTTGACTTGCCGTGTGAGAAGACAGGACATGGGCGGTTTCACTAAATGATGATTGGTGTTGAAAGCTTTTGTTCAAATGAATCAATGTTCATGTTTTTCCTGTGGTTCTACTTTGATTGCAAACAAACAATGCCCGCCCATTTGCTTAAGTTGGGTGCATTTGGAATCCTACAGAAAACACAGGATTGGAAACGGGTTTGGCAGGAACAGCGCTCATCGCAGGTGCCAAAGAATTGTAGATATGAAGTCAGCAAGTCACTAAACAAAAAATTATCACGACTACACTGTAGAGCCGTCATCGCTCTTTGCAACACAACATCTATATAACGTTATAATACACATTGTTGTAAGTGTAAAAATATGTATAGATATGGATATGATAGATATGATTGTTATGTATGTGGCGCCATAAAGGGTTAAGGCCTGGGAAGTTTAAAAGAGATAAAGGACTACATTAAATACAAGAAATATGTGTAAATATAGTTGGAAGCCAAGTCCTGGATTCTGGAGGACTACTTTGGTGCCTAAAGGGTTAATCTAACTAAAACTATATTGATGGCTGTAATCTTAAATGCATTTTAATTTAAAAAAAAAAGCATGTGTTTGACCCTTTGTCTTGCATTATGTAATTTTTTTAGCAATTACAGTATATATAAAAAATAGTTTATTGTCCACAAGATAAACACAACCAATAAGATTATCTGGAGGAGAATAGTCAAAGAAATGTCAAAACATTCATTCAAGGATGAGGGCCGGGGGTTTGAGCGGGAGTTTTGCATAAAAATATTCTCTCCTACTCTCCACATTTTGAAAAGTAAGAGACATTTTACTTTAGTGACTGGCTGCATCGTCCTAACCCACCTTCAAAAATCATATATATTGCCATGTTATTATCACTAGTCCTCTTTTTTCATCTTTTTCCAAACCAATGGATAATGTACAACGCATAATTTAGAAAATATATAGAATTATACATGGAATAGGCAACCCCAGCAACATATGGTGTTGTATGTTTTGTTTTTTGTTTTTTTACACTTTTGACCATACCAAAAGAAAATTATTTGTTCCGATAAAGATTTGAATCATTTTAAAACTGCTCAAGAAAAGTCTAAAATTGTCCTGGATACGCAATTTTTTTGATCTGAGTAAATGTTGAGTACCATGTGGTTGTGTTACCAGTTTTAGTATCGATTAATTTCTTAATTTCAATACTTTTGACAACACAAACAAACAGCCAGAGAGAGAAACCCAACATAACCTCAAGATTGATCATAGGTTATAATGGATTCATTAAAGCTGGGGTATGCAACTTTCAAAGAACAACCATGTTAACTTTCAAATAAAGACTGTTTGGTTCTATTACTAATTTCCACATGCATGTAGATCTGTCACATCTTGTTCTAGATCAACTTTTTCAGACAGAAAAGTGGAAAAGAAAGGACCACCCTCTCTCAGCCAATCAACTCTCAGCCCAAATTGTCAAATAGTGACTCACAGGGCTTTCTTAAGTACAAGTATCTCTAAATATACATACATGCTTTATAATCAGACTCTTGTGGTCTTATTTGTCTATGGCAATTCACATTTTTCACTGTATCTACTTGGGACAAACAACATTTATAATTTATGAACAAGAAAAGTTAAGTACCCCAGCTTTAGCCAGCAGCATGCATGAATGATAGTGGCTCATGACAGATCATAAATATACTTCAAAAAGCTCCATTGCTTTATGCATGCAAACATATCATTACCTTTCAAATAACAGCCTGAGTATGAACAACACCAGAGCCAGAGGTAACGCATACAGCAAGTGTCCCGCCTGAGGATAGTCCACTCCGGACTCCAGGTCAGCCCATGTCACGTTATCAGGGAACCAGAAGCGCTCTCTCCAGACCCATGACACTATCGCTGAAGCCATGGGAAAGTTGGTCCTAAAATAAGTCAATTAACTGCAGTGTAGTTGTCTATGTGCTGCTGTATTGGCTGCACATCGCTTTCGGCTTGTTGCATCTGGTTGCATCGCTGTGGCTTCAGAGGCAGAGTAAATACAGAGGAGCACATGGGACACTCCCACAACACAGAGAGGGCACTCCCAGACAGGACGAGCCGAGCGAGGTTCAGCCGAGAGCACGAACAAGTTATGTTAGAATCCACCACCACGATCTGCTTAAATAAACACAGAGAGAAAGAGGGAAAGAGGGAGGAGGGGTTGGCTGGTAAGTTTATACACGTGGGGTTGATACATTCCGTGTTACATTTCTATAAAGCTGATGTACCTAAAAACACAAGACGATTATGTCATGAAATCTACAGTGTTCCTCTCAAAACTGAATCGTCCTTTTGCAGTGAAATAGAAAGGCCTCACTCAGCTACTGGTATGTAAAGTTCTTTTTCTAGATTTTTCTAGATAAAACTGCATGTTTTGGTCTGCTTTGTTCACAACATATTACATACATGTCAAAGTCTATTGTGCCAGACAATATTTATTTGTGAAATGAAAAGCTACTACAGCTTAATAATTGTTTTCTAAATATTTATTTATTTATCTAATTGCCAAGCCGAAAGCAACAAGTTGCTAATTAGCTAGCCAAAAGCTTTCTGTCTATGGCAGAGGTCAATATGGATCTGGAGTCAGATGTGACTCTTTTGATGATTGTGTCTGGCCCTCAAACAAATCTTAAGGATTTCTACAGTATAAAATGTTCTTAAACATACATATTAAGACTAATATTATTATCTAAATGTGTTGAGCTTGTTTTAAAAATCACACATATTCACATTAAAAAGTTTGGCTCCCACAGAAGTCGCTTTTCCAGTGATCTGCCTGTAAGTATTGCTTTCACATGACGTACAATTGTGCATAAGTTCATATTTATAGTTGGTATGAATTTGTTATTGTGTCAAGGTGTGTCAAGAGCTAGAGGGATGGATGCAGCTATGGGAAAGAGATAATGGAATCCTGCCTGCAGACGTCCAGTGGCTGAAGGAGGACACAGAGGCCTCTTCACTCATATCCAACCCTACAAGGACGTCACTGGACACGTGAAGTGCAGGTGGAATATGAAGCCACACAGCAGTAATTTTTTGAAGCCACTTGTTTGCCTGGCGCCCAGTCGGTGTGTGGAGGTGCTCCCTCAAGTGTCCTCTTGGGGACAAGTATGTGCGAGCAGGCGAGGATGTGTACCTCTACAGGTCTGAATACCCTCACAGAGTAAGTAGTTGGAAATAAGTATGCTTCATAATAATGTTTGACTGTCGTATGGTGTTTTTAAAGGTGAAATACATTTGTGACAGTTCTGGATGGTACTCCATGATTAGAGAGGTGCAGTGCTCTGGGCCCTGCACTAAGGCAGGGAGGAAGAAGGAAGAGGGCACTGCATTTCCATCGTGTCCCATCCTTCCTGCAGTGCTGACCAGCAGGTAAGCACCCAACTAAGAAAAGTACTCCAAACAAGAAGCAATGGTAGTAATTACGTCATGGCGTATGTATTTGCTTGAGCTCTCCCTATGCCCTGCATGTTACAGGCGTGGTGTGGACAAAAACGTGGTCAGGCGGCTGAGAGACAGGACAGAGGGTCACACCATGGCCAAAGGGTGGAGACAGATACAGGAAAACCACAGCAATTATTTTCAAAGGAAGGACCTGTAGTCAAGACTATTCGTGTCCCTCTTGGACAAAGGAGGGATTTAGCTCTGCCCTTGGACACCGGTTCCAGGCTCCACCACCACAGTCAGATCTGCCCTGGGCTCGACTCCTCCAGCACGCCTTCCTGCTGGCTGAGGCTCAGAATGTCCAGGACTACAGGAGCCAGATCCTGTCCACATTTGGGACTTCCCTAAGATGGACTCAACCAAAAAGGTTAGGCACTTTTGGTCGAGTCACTGTTGAACAGTTTTGAACAGTGACTTGAACAGACTTAAATGGCATCTGCAAATAAAAAACAGAGATCCATTGTTTGGGGTTATCAACCTAACGAGGTTGTATGTTTTCTACCATTTAGCAGTGCTTGCTGTGCACTCAATTCAGAAGCTGCAATGATTAAATTTGTCCACTAGATGTCGGTGTTATAAGCTAGTCTGAGATAGCTCAGAGGCATGACACATTTGAATCAAGCCTTGGTGTGTTATGGGGCTTCATCTTCCCAATAACTAAATATATGTCATATATGTTTGTATTTTTTATTTAGGGCCCCACTGTGCAATACGTCCCAATCAGGTTTACCTAATCAGTGACATTGCACAGTGGAATTCTGACCGGAGTACAGATGCCATGTTTGGAGGCAGACGCCGCTATAGATCGAACTCTGCACTGAGCATCGACCGCCTGAAATCCCACTGTCTGCGCCTGTTTGGGGAAACTGTGGAGGAGACTGTGGACTCGGATGAGCTGTTTGGGTTGGAGTTCCTCTCCAGCCAGAGCTCAGGGGAGGCATTTTCACTTCAGCATATAGGGAGCAATGGCCCTGCTGATGAGGAAGAAGTGAGAATCCAGCTCAACCAGCTCGATTTGCACTTCAGGGTTATGGGTTGGCCTCCTGCCTTTGTAAGTGCAGTTTACCCATTAATGCAGTTTCATCTGACCAGAGGAGGCCTACCCAGAGGCCTCCTCGGGTTCTACTTTGTACTGTTCCTGCTTTGTTGGAGCCTTCCACCTCAGAATCTGCTCCCGAGACATTACGTGCCTCTTCTGTCCTCGGTCCTCCTGCCTCCTCACTGTTACGCCCAACACATGTGAGGTGCTTACCTGTGTCCCCCCAAAACAGGACCCCAAATCTACTTCTGCCCCGTCCCAGAGCACACCTGAAGCTTCCTGGGCACAAGCAACAATCTATAAACGGAAAATCAAGGTACAGGAGGGTGCAAAAGTCTCAAGGAGCCACAATTTTCCAGTGTGCAGACAGTGTGGGCAGGTGACATGGGCATAAGAAGCACAAGAAAAAACATTCTGCAAAATGATGCCCACATATAAGGGACTGGACTCCTCAAAGGTCTATTTAGTCTCTTATAAGGAGTTTCATGAAGATGTGGACAAATTGTGAGTGTCAGCTAATCTCTAGACTAGTACAGATGAAAAATAGACATGAGATTACTTTAAAAGTGACATGAGTCAGAGATGAGCGTCTGCATTGACTGTCAGACCTCTTAGCAGAGCAGGGCATGGTTAGTATTATGATGGGAGAAGAACACTTCAGGGGTGACAGTGGCTCAGTTGGTAGAGCGTTGGCCTTTGAGCCGTAGAGTCGTGGGTTCGAGCCCACCATAAGATTTACTTCACGACTCCCACTGATGACTGCTGTCGTTGTGTCCTTGGGCATGACACTTAACCCCACTTTGCCTGAAGCCCCTGCTCCTCCACCTGGAGGAGGATCAGTGGGGGGCTGGTGCTCTAAAAGCAGCATCACAGGAAAATAACAAGATAATACATATTTCTATTGTTGTTAGCTTTTGGGGTTTTTTCTTTCCAAACAAAATAACATCTGATTTCTTCACGGCATGTTCATTTTACAAGTCTTTTTCTTTTGGGACAAATTTAGATCATTTATTGAAAAGTTGGGTATCCAATATCAACATTTCAATGTGCGCATTACAGGTACGAGAATATTAATATAACTCTATATTTAAAATATAGTCTCTCTTTAGCTTAATAAAGAAGCAAAGAAAAATCTCTCTCTTTATTTACAGTACATGTAGATATACATGTACATATACAGAATATGATGTATATTAGAACCTATATATCTATGCTTTAATCATTAATCAATCATCTTTTACTGTTTTCACTGTATTCACACAATTTTACTTTTGCACTATTATTCTGTTCCAGACAAAAATTCTTATTTCAACTTGAACAGATTATCCTTTTGAGTTATCAGTTTAAATCCAGTGTGTTTGGCCTCAGCAACTGCAGCACATCAGAAATCAGAGCCTCATGCTTAAAAAAAACAAATACTATTTTTACAATGCATATCAGTAAAATGATTTATAAAGACCTGCTTGTTTGGCATCACTTTGTTTTGATTGAATGTATAAAAACCCCTTTATGATCAATCAACATAATAATTACATCTTGAATGCATCTGTTGCATTTTAAATCTACAACTAACTGTGTGTGTGTGTGTGTGTGTGTAAGAGAGTGTGTGTGTATGTATGTATGAGAGAGAGAGTGTTATGTCAGAAGTATTTCTGTTCAAACAACCCTCGAATCAGATTTGACAAATAAACGCGTCGCTGAGTCTGACCCATAAGTCAAAGCACTTTGCATTAAACAATGTTTCTCTTCCTTGTTATTGTTCGTTGCTGGACTGAACATCATCCGTCTACAACAATGCACAAAACCCCTCTGTGTTGTGCAGCTGCAGTTTCCGAGATGCTCCATGAGCCGCTCTGGTGGGCTTGGCGGACTGTACCACTTTATGGGGCGGTTCATGAATACATGCATGATTTAATTGTGTATTTATCCTCTTTGTTTTTTCCACTTTGGGAACATTCGCAATTAAAGTCAAGCATTACACGTCTGTTGTCTCTTCTGTCATTTAATTGCAGGCACTCTTTTGTGTTTGTGTCTTTAAGTGACAGTGGGACTCCCCTCAGCCTTTGGCGTGGTCCGCATCACGTTTGAAAAAATCTGAGAGTTGGAGGAGAGTTGTCCATGTCAGTGGCTGCTGTACACAGGGAACACGGAGTACTAACGCGTCATCATCAGTCAAGGTAAAACCTCTGTATGCATTTCATCCACTGACATGTCACTTATAGCTACATTAACACAAAATCCACCTGATGGAATATAGTTATGAATATCCACTTCTGTGCCTTTGTTTACAATATTGAACTATAGCATCTAGAGCCAGCATGCATCCTTATACTTACATAATGCAATGTACTCATTAATCTCATGTTTTGCAGTTGGCACCATGGATGGCAAAGACCTCAATGACCCCTTAAACAATGTGGCGCTGATCAAAGGTAACCTAGCTGCTTATTTTAGTGTCTGTGTGGTCAGATGCTCAAGGCCCATATGGACTCTGTCGTGCATTCTGCAGATGGCCTTTCTCACCTGACAAACAGTATTAGCAACACATTTAGTGATGGGAGGAGAAAATACATCATGAGTCATATTGTCCCAACTTGTTTCAAGGCCTAAAAATACAGGTTCAGCTGTTTATCATGGATGCTTTTGTGGTGACATTACATTACCTCCTAATATGGCTGGATTTTGATCCAGTCTCAACAGTTACAAATAGCAGTATACAGTTGCTGTAATTAATTTGAAAACCATCCATTTATTATGCATGTTTTTGCGTGTTGTGAGAAACTGTTTTCTTGGTGTAATGCTGCTTTATAGTGAGCTCACACCATCAGCAACTTGAACAATCGCCCCCTGTTTATTTCCTGTGCAGGAAGGGGAGACTATGGAAGGGGTAAGGAGAGCGACCTAATCCAGTTAACCTGAGCTGAACTGTAGCCACTCACCCTTATCTAGATTTGGACTAGGTCCTAGGAGCATGTTAGCTGAGGGATGCCCTGGGACTGGTGAACTGTCAGTTTTTTTTTAAGAATAAAAGTTTTAATTAATCTAGTGTTTCAACCTTTAGTCTAGCACAGTATTTAATACTCTTTTGTTTATGTTAACTGATGAGGTTTTTTGGTTTCTTCCCATCATAAAGACTGATAATTTTCCCTAGTTGGAGAATTAACATATTTCAGAGAGAGTGAGAGCGAGAGAGAGAGAGAGAGATTGTAATGTTTAATATTGTTTTCCCAGTTTTATGTTTGAATCGTTTTCCCTGCACATGCACATAAGCTCCACAAAACAGATCTAGTTATTAATATCAACTGTGAACTGGTTACTTTACCATTATTAAAACATCCAAAGACCCGATACTGTGAGGAGGAGAGCCCATAGTGACAGATGCCCCTGGCACATTTCTAAAATAAGCATTTTGTCTGTGCATTCCCTTCTGCTTGAGGCGGCTTCACTCACAAATGGGCTACGATTCTGGCTGTTAATTCACTGAAATGCCTGACGTCGGTTTTTGCACAATGTCTCGTCAGTTCTGAGAGAGGGCCCACTTACATTCTGACCATTGCCTCATGAATATGCACAGAAACACCAACAATCCTCCCTCCATTGTCTGTCTGGTCATGTGGACCCGAGACTAGTTGCTGTTTGTTTTATTGGTTAAAGTCTAATAATGTATTTTATCATCTGTCTTTTTTACTTTTATCTCCAGCCCATCTTTTACAAACACTACGAATCTGTCAATGCATTGTGAATTTAAAATGTTCTGAAGTATGGAGAAGTTTTAGGACTCAAACAGAATTGTAATTCAATGATTCAACTTTCCAAGAGATCGTCCTTTCGAAACCAACAGGACAAAACAAATAAGTATATATAATAAGAGTAAAGCCTGAGGTCCCTGATATCATTTGATTATAGATGAAAGTAAAATTATGACATATTAAGAGTAGTTTCAAACCTTCTTTCACTATATGGATCTAGAGTCTGATGAGAGAAATGATGACTATGATAATATAATCTTTTAACTTTTGACAGAGACTGGGAGGCGCTACGTCCACATGAAAGCTCAGCCCTGTCATGTCTCTGTCATAAGGCTGCCAACTAAATGGATTAGATTGAGTGTATTTTCATAAATATCTCCTTTATGTATTGCAACAAATAACGTATTATGTAGCTTTAAAACTGAAAACCTATTCGTACGGTTTGTAAGTGCTTCTGATGCTGGGCTTTTATTCTTTCGACAGACGTTATAAATCTCGACCAAATGTCGCTGTATCATGAGGTCATGTCTTTTCATAGCCGTTTGAGATTAGGAGGGCTATTCAGTGGAGACTATGTATTTTCAGGCCTTGTCTCTGTGTCCACAAAACACAACAAACTCTTGACAACATCATCTGCACAATCTGCATCTATGTTTTCATGGATTTGCTTAGATAATGTGGGAACTCTTAATATGTATGGTGTCATTTTTTCATACTGGGGGGATGAAAAGGTACTGTAGATGAGGCAGGAGCTCTTGGTTTACGGGTGTAGCACAATTCATACACAAGGAATATCCAAGTGCTGAACAAAACAAGATAAAAACAATCCCACAAGGCATTAAAATCACAGTACATTATAAATAAAGATAAAAATATAAAACCCCTCAGTTGTATGCATAGCTAAATGGAACTGTTATTAATCTGCATTTTAACATTGTCAGAGAAGAGGCCTATCCCACATTTTCAGGAAAATTTGCCAAAATGAGTAAAAGGCCATCTTTGCAAGTTTGGAGCCAAATTCTATGAGGATGTGTTACGAAAGGCTGACCTACTTGCCGGAACAGGGGCAGATGTCGATCTAACATGTAACTAAGGCAAGCTGGAGATGACCCTTATAAATGAAGGCTTGGTCAAGGCTTGGTCAAGGCTTGGTCAATGATTATGATTCGTATCTGTCTTCTGTCTGTATTTACAAGACCATAACATCAGGATCATAGAAGGCACGAAACAGCAGATTTTGAAAACTAAAATGGTTACAGAGCTAGAAGAGTTTACTTTTCAATGTAGGAGCTAGAATGAGTTGGAGCAAAACTTTGTCCATTAGCGTTTTCTTATTGGGCTTCATTGAGCTAAAGGGTTAGGATTGTAAGATTGCCTTTATACAGTCTTTGGTTCCCACCCGCACTATACTGATGATGCCCCAAAGGATAATATTGCAAAGACATGAGGTTGAGAATAGTTTTGAAATGAGCAGCTGGGCATAGGGTGTGGAGCTCAGAGAAGAGCTAATGGAGGGACTTTGTTTCTGAGCTGGCCTAGAGAACCCCCGCCCCGCCCCGAACTGAACCCATTTTTATCAGTGTTTTATTTTGTTAGGTTTAATGCCTAAAATGGGTCTCTACTCTATTTTTTTGTATATATATTGAAAGCTGTTATCTGACATATAGCTTACATTTTCTGTTCTATGTGATACTTCTATCGCAACGTCTTGAATCCAGTTTGATCTATAAAAGGCTTGACAATCCCTGTATCTAAACTTAGAAGGCAATTAGTGTCTGTAATGGGTCTGTCTTTCAATCTTCAATCTTTTGAGAACGGGGTTTCACAATCAGGGCTAATATAAAATAGTATTTGTTTGAAGTCATCCCTCTTCACAAAAGATTCTATTGGGTCCTTCTACTGTATGCTGGAGTGAGTTGTATTTATATGCAGTGTCTTTTCTGTGATGTTCCAGACGATCAAACCAGGACAAACCTGGTATCCTCAGGTGACACTGACAAAATGATTCAGCGTTTAACTGACGACCTACATGAAGCTCAGGAAATGGCAAATTCAGAAAAACACAAAAACATGGAGCTACAAGGTAAGAAATTATATGTATTATCTTTGTTATGGTGTTGTCAATTCACACAAAAATCATCAAAAGCAAGATGGTTATAGCTCACCGAATTATTTATCATGTCATTCTAGCTTCCCTTGAAAAGGAAAAGAAAGAGAAGAAGCAACAATCTGATGATTCTGCAAAACAAATCCAAGTCCTTCAAGGTAATCCGCTTTTCTGAGTGAATGAATAGTGACAGTGTAGTGTTTGAGAGACTTTGAGCAGCCTGGAAGGAGACTGGGCAGTTGTTTTGGTTTCATGAATACATGTTGTTTGTTCCGGCATAAATAGTCTTGTTTAAGTAACATTTGGTGAATAAATTAAAGCACACTCTGCTGTCTTCATCTATTAAGGAACAATTTCAGATTTTACTGCACTGCTCAGAGTTGGTCAATCCACGTATACTATGGTCCAAACACTCACTCATAACATATGATTGAGCAAAGGGACTACTTTTTTATCCAAGAGCCAGGGTTAGGTTTAGCTCCTTAGTAACTGTTCCTATGACCAAAATGAAGACCCACACTCACAGGGGAGAAAATAAATTTTTTCCTCAATTTAACTCTTGAAATGTAAGCGATGATTCATATATAGCATGTTTAGCAACTGAATTCAACACCCTGCTTTATAATCCAAACTGTGTGTTACCATGGTCATGCTTCAGGTGGAGTGATACTGAACCTGAAATTTGTATGTAGTTAAAAGGAGCAATATGTAAAAATCAGACCAAAAGTGGTACTGCACTCTCCCTCAGTAGTGGTAGTAGTAGTAGTAGTGCAGATCTGAGTCTCAAAGCGGTTTACAATTGTTAATTACAGGCAATTGTCTCTCACTCCACACAGAGATGGGAGCAGGGTCATCAGTACAGGAGGCGCATGCCAGACATGCCTATTGGACATATTTTTAGTGGTAGGGGAAACCGGAGTACCCGGAGGAAACCTACGCAGACACGGGGAGAACATGCAAACTCCACTCAGAAAGGCCCTGGTCCGACCGGGATTCAGGTTGCCAGATCTGCAGACGAGCTGGGACCATAATAACTAAATAGACAAGAGTTTTGTCAACAACAAATCTATAACCAACACCTTTCTCACAAAGGCACAATGGAGGGCGGGACATCGAAAAGAAAACAATAACAAGATTTAGGAGCAGTAAAACTAATTTTGAAATTTGAATATCTCGGCTGAACTGCTGTTGCTGCTGTAGGGGGCGACAGTGGCTCAGTTGGTAGAGCATTGGCCTTTGAGCCTGAAGGTCGTGGGTTCCAGCCCACCACGAAACCTACTTTACGACTCCCATTGACGTCTGCTGTTGTTGTGACCTTGGGCAAGATCACTTGGCTGGTGCTCTGTGTGACTTGGGCGGCATCTCTGACTGCTAGCCCCCCCCCCCCCCCCCCCCCCCCCCCCCCCCGACCCAGAAATGTGGATTAAGGGGTAGGATGGATTGATGGCCTTTTGACATATTAGGGCCATTTAATGATGACTTGGCATGAACATCTTACATATTGCTACATTAAAAGGTATTTATCAACAGACATTTGCTATGGAATATGCACTTATTCTATTTTTAAATTATTACATAATAGGGCCACTCTGAGGACATTTGCAGCTTTACAGTGAGAGGATAAAGAACCGCATCCACCGCAACTACAACAAAAGACTCCATCTCATAGATGTATGGAAATATGTGCTATTGGGAACTAGGGTATGGGAAATGAAATGATGAAAATGATTATGGAAATCTAAAACTGGCTTCACCAACCATTAACAATCATAATCGTAAATATGGCCAAAGACATTCATTCTGCCTGGGTGTGTAAACTTTCAAGCACAACTGTGATTACGATCCTACAGGGATCAATAAACTATCTAACTAACTAACTAACTAATGTACTGTGGTTGAATAGGACAACTCGAGAAGCTCCATGGGGAGATGAGCAGTCTCCGGGAGCAGCTGAAAGGTTCCTCCGGGGCACAGGACGAGGTTCACAAGGCCAAAGAGGAGGTGAAGTCCCTGAAAAAAGCCCTGGATGAAGCTAAAGCCGAAGGGGCAGCTGTCTCCAAGGACCTGGACCGATGGCACCAGACGGCGACCAAATATGAGAAAGAAGTGGAAAACCTGCAGAATGATCTTCAGCAGCAGAGTAAGCAGTGGCAAAAGACTGCAGAAATACAAGGTCAGTAATCTACCTGGAAGTTTCATTTAGAACTCTTCCTGGGGTCCTTCTTATATTATGTATGTGACACTTGACCAAGGGAGATATAGTTAATAACGTTGTGGTTTATACGTTTTCTGAAACCAATTTTAAAAAAACTAAAATGTAAGTCTTATGGCCATTAGCTGTGTGTAATAATAATAATAATTATGCATTGGTTTTATACAGCGCTGTTTTGGACACGCTTCACAAAAACGCTTCACATGTCATTATTCATTCCCTTCATACACAGTGGTGATAAACTACTACTGTCTCCACATGCATATTATATTCTAAAAGCCCCCACTGTGGTTCTTCTCTTCAGAATACATACAATTTTCACTTCCAGAAAAGCTTGTCTTTAGAATTTGAAGACGTTACAGGTGGAGGAATTTATTTTAGAAGTTAGAATTACTATATATGCATTTAATTTGAAATCATTCTTCAAAATTGTCACTAGAAAAAACAGCACTGCTATTGCCACTTTTTTATTGTACATAATTATATCCTGCATATTTTTAACCTTAAAACCTTAACTGTTTTCTGCACAATCTGAGTGATTCTATCCATGCCAAATGTGACATGTAAATTTCTCCAGTGTTAATATAAGATAGACTTTATTAATCTTATCTTGACTGCAAAACAACAAGAGGAGTGAGTGCATATCGGGATCAAAAAAAATTATACAGAATAAATGTGACAGGTGCTCTTGAGGATCTTTGGAAATATAATGTAGAAGACGAAGAGGAAAAGGTCCGAGGCAATCCTTTTATTGTGGAAGGGACACAGCGATGCGTTTCGACCACTGGACCATTGTCTCTTGACTGGTTTAAAACTATTTCTTACCAGAGTTTCTGTCACACCTTCAAAAGTCTTTGCATAAAGCGTGTGTGACTGTTTAAATTCTTTTTAAGATCGGATAAACTTAATTGATCTCACAATGGAGAAATTTACATGCCACATTTGGCATAGATAGAATCACTCAGGTTTGCATAAAGACAGGAAGTGTGCAAACATGTTAAAGGTAAAAAATATAGTCTCTTTTGTGCAAGATATATTATGTATAATAAAAATGAAAAATAACAGTGACTATAGCAGTGTGCCAGTGTTTCTCTTGTGTATATAATATTTATGATTTCGTATTATGTAATTGCAACTCAGGGTTATTATGCACAATTTTGATTTTTTTGTACACGTATTTGCTCATAATAAACATGGCTTTGTTATTATATAGCAGTGCAAAAAGCAAACTCAAAACAACTTTGGGGAAGATTTTTAAATGTCTTCTGTTCTGCAGCCAGTGAGCTCCAGTCTGTGCAGCTGGAGTGTAACGGCCTTCAGAAAGAGTGTGCCTCCCTGCGCTCTGAGAAGCAGGAGACTCAGACCAAGCATCAAAAAGAGAAGGCCGCGTTACAGAGCGAGTGTGCTGCACTGAAGGCCGAGAAGGACGCGCTCATCCAGAGTCACCTCAAAGAGAAGAGCGGTCTGCAGAGCAACTGTTCCAGCCTGAGATCTGAGGCAGAGGCGGCCGTTCAGAAACTGCAGCAACTGGAGCGCAACCTGGACAGGTGACGATAACACTGGGTTCAGTCTTGCGGCGATAGTGCAGGTGAAGCTATTGTAGAAGTGTTGTGCATCAAAAGGTAATGCACACACTTTGGCAGAATATTATATTATTTTACTCACTTTTGGTGCAATGTATGCTAATAAGGACTTGCACTATTTGGCAAAAACTTGTCCCCATTCTCCTTTTTGTCTGACAGGTCCTATCTTAAATTTGGTTGTTTGCTACTAATGTCAGGATGAACATTTTCTGCCTTTAGAATCAGAATCAGAATTATTTTAAAAGGATTTTTGTACAACTATGTGCTACTATGTCTGTAAACTGAAGAGTTTACAGTTTAGACCAAGAATGATCTTTTTTGAGTCAGGGTCAAATTAAATTAATAATCTGAAGAATCAAATCCTGCTTCAGCTATCCATGTGTTTTATGATTCTACCTGATTTTAGATAAATCATAAATTTGTGCTTGAAATCATCTCATGCCCCCTCGGTATTGTGTCTCTGAGAACTGCTGGTTTAGACTCCAGACGAATTATCTCTTCTTACTTTTAAGTTTGCCAGTTTACTTGCATATATGCCATCCTGTTTACGTCCCACAGGACTGAACCTTCTGTTGTGCCTTCTCTTTGTCTTAGTTCACGTGCCAAGAATGCTGAGCTCACAAACAGTCTGAAAAACCTTGAAAAATCTCAGAAGGATCTGGAAGCAAAACTATCATCTTTAGAGCTCCAGCATCAGGAAGAGCGTCAACAACTACAGACAAACCTGGACGACGCAAACGCCCGAAATGACACTCTGCAGAAGGAGGTATCTGAGGTTTTACTGTAGATGTAAAGTCACATGTCAAACTACAAAAGACATCTGGAAATATATATATGGGAAGATGGTAAAAACTAGACATACACAAACATAAATTGATTAAATTGTAATGTCTAGTGAGTCTCTGTGACGCCCATTCCTTATTATTTTTATTCATTTAGTGCATTTGACCAAAAGAATCGCCATTTAAAAGCACTGATGTAGCTGGCAATCAACAAATGTTTTTCCCTGTAAAAAATACTTGTGCAATGCTTCTGAACCATGCGTGTGTGAAACCGAGTATCAAACTCGTGAAAACAATAAGGTGGTCTAATAAATATTACGGACCGCTTGAGGCCTATTCTCCACATTCAAGGTTATGGACTATCACTCATGCAGCGCCCGTGTGGTCCCTCCCACAGGAAAACTGTTCCCTCTGCGCATGCGACAAGCAGCACAAATCTTGTAGTGATCAGAGGCGGCTGGATCTGCTGTTGTAAAAACAAACTTTAAACATTCACTGCACCTACACGGATCTGTTTTTAAAAAAATTACTCAAAGACCGAACAAGAGCCGCGTTCTGCTCATAGTCAGAACTTACAGACCTCAGAATGTAATGTAAATGGAGAGCCAGTCATCGAACATGCATTGCTCTCTAAAAACAAGATGTAGATTCAGTTTATTTGCCATTTGTTGTAAAACATATATCGGGGTGTCCTGCATCTCAACGAACAATATATTCTGCCGAAAGGAAGAACATGGCTTTGCCAGGAGCCAGAGATTATTTTAGGCCAGTCACAGAACCAACGACCAACTGTCAATGGTGCAGCGATAAAAGTTAAGCAAGAGTGTGAAACTGAAACTAAAAACCGATGACACATATCTGTGAATGAAAACATAATGACCACACATTTGCTTTGCTTTTTCAGTGTGATGACGCCCTGGCAGAAGTGTCCAACATTAAAGTAAAGTATGAGAAGACAGAACAACAAAACCAGCTGCTGACAGAGGAGCTGCATCAGTGCAAGGAGAGTGTGAAGGAAATACAGGAGAAAGGGACCACGGTCAGTACCAGCAAACACACTATAGTTATGCAGCTTAATCTGTGTTATCAACTACAACTGTTTGTTTTAAGAGCATGAGCCATGTTTTATATTTCATAATGTAGAATATTTTTGTATTAAGTGATTTCACCACTTGTTTGTTCTTAATCTTTCCTGTGTGTTTCCTATGGGTTTGTCTAACTGATCGAGCTTGACCACTCTGAATTGGTTGTGGCTCTTTGTAAACCTGTAAAGCAGATACTCTACAACAGACCTGTTTCACTGAAAAGTTGACCCCTTTAAGCGGAAAAGTAGTCATTGCTTAACCCCAGTGTCCTTTCGCTCTTTGAAGCCGGGGATATTATGTTCAAATCACAGATGGATATTGTATTTTTCTAACTAGATTCTTGCTCAAAGTGCTTGTGAAAACTCTCACTAGTTATCACATCCTTGAATGTTTGAACTGCTCAGGACAACACAGTCAGAAAGTGACTCACAGGGCCTTTCTGACCATTATGCAAAAGACAAATATTTCTAGTAAAATGAAAAAGACAAAATACTACTGTGATGGACTCCCAAGTCATTTGTTTTATGTTGGGACAAACAACTTTGATGTTAAAACACAGGTTGGGTGTCTCAGCTTGAAGGAGCCCTTTTTTGATGTCTGGCAAATCTCTGGTGTTTTCAGTGATGATTGTTTTATTTCATTTTTATTTATTTTTTTAACACTAACTTTCACTTACACACACACACACACACAATACACTTTTTTTTAGATTGTCACAAAGATTAGGTGGGAAAAAATGGAAATAAAAACATATCTCGCGTGTGTGATGTGTTAATGAAGGTTGGACTGTGAGGTTCAAATTTGAATGCCGTTTTATCCTGAATTTTCCAGATTACAGGCTTGTGGTCATAATCTTTAACCAAATTATAAAACGGACAGACTGTTGAACAAAAAGGCCCTGTTATATTCTATAACATATTGAAATAATCACTATTTGCATCAAAGAAAAGCGACAAGGCCGGGTGTAACTAACATTTCCAGTTTCTATTGATTTGTATAATGTCCATTCCCTTCTGTAGACTTCTCTATTGCTGCCCATTCAAGCCTTAGCCATCGGCCTTGTCCTGGCTTTGCTGCACTGGGGCTTGGGCGCCCTGTGGTAGTAAGGTACATGTGGCCCCTTGTGAAGTTCCATCTCTAAAGTGTTGTCGTTGCATGACCAAATCAGCCTTTCCTAAACTCCTTAAAGTGTGTAAAGTAATAATGTAATGTTGCCCTGAGTTTCTAACCGTTTTAAAATGCTGTTTTTTCATCGTGTGTGTTTCATTTTATGGCTCATGCTTAATAATGATTCTTCAGCAAATGTGCTTTTTAATTGTGGCTCTAACTTGTACATGTGCATCTCATGAATTGGCACTTTGTGGAAAATAATATAGATCACATGAAATCTAGTTAAAAAGAGCCGTCGTACAAACAGACAGAATGTTTACAAAGCACGAGTAAATGCCAAATCCACCATCTATACTTCGATTTGATCCGATAAGGAGGCATTGTAAACCTGTGTGCAAAAAACCAGTCTGTTTGGGGTGAGCATGTAAACACGTCAATAGGATTGGAATGAGACACGAGGCAGTGATGCGTTTGAGAACACAGGGAAAAGCCACGATTATTTTATAAATATATGTATTTTTGACGGGTATATGGTACTCACTCCCCCTCGTTGCACGTGTTTTGTTTTGTTTACGCAACACAAAAACAAAACTTAACACGAATCATGGTGCTTTTAAGACCGTACATTTGCAGACGGTGTGCGTATGTGTATGATAGCCAATTTAGTTACAAGTATCGTTAACAGTACAAAGTTTGAGTAAAAGTCAAGAAACGCAGTTGAAAGTATCTCTATGGGGCACACAGACGGGACCTAAACACGTCAGACTGGTTTGAGAACACAACCAAATGGAGAGCATATTTTTGAACATACTCTGTATTCTTATGCTTTGTAAACACAATCCTTTTGTTAATTCCACCAAGATTACTGCTGTTGTGAATTAGGAATACACAAATACAATTGACTTTATACAACAGTTTCCACAATATTAAAATTCATTGAGTGCACTGGTGGAGGTGGTAAGTGCTTCTACTTAAGTACTGTTTTTAGTATTTTTACTTTAGGGCAACTTTAAATAACTTTATTTCTACTTTTTAAAATTCTAAAAAATGACATGTAATAATAGGTTTTAAGTGGTTAGCCATGCTTCTAAATTCATTAATACAGATGTGAAGTGCTTAGCTATGCTTCTAAGTTCAGTGGCTAATAGCCCACTTTTTATGTCCATATTCTGTGAATGACTGATATACTTCAGCAGTGGTAACATTTTACTCATCACATATCTTGCCTCTTATTGGGGAAAACATGCATTTTAGATTTTTCTTTTTAGTTTTTCCTTGAATATTAAGACATTTATTAAGATTTGAAGTACTTCCTTTTACTGCATAAAGTACTTTTACTTAGTACTTAAGAGTAGTATGTTTGCCACCTCCTGCGCTCTGTAACCTCTGGGCACTGATCTCAAATGTGTTTTCCTTCAAACCCTTTTCCATACAACACAATTCTAAAACAATGACTTTAAAACTGCTTTACGTTTCCCTCCTGCAGAAGCTGTGGATGATCTGGGGGCCCGTGGCGGCTGTGGCTGCGACCGCCGTCACTGCTGCTGTGCTTCTGCGGACATGAACTCCCACAATGCACCTCTCTTCGCTAACTTAACGTGTCCTCTTTACCATATCCGCACTACTATAGGAGGGCTCCTTCATGACACTGTTTGATTTGCTATGTTTTAAATGGCAGCAATATTATTCAAACGCACTTACAGTAGCAACACTGTGTTACGGGACGGAGGATTTAGACAAGTTTACAATCTGTACGTTTGATTTTATGAATGTACCGTGCAAGGTACAATAGAAAGAGTCTTGTATGTGGCGAGATATTTATCAAACCTGGTTAAGACACTGGTCCTGTTTCGCCCTGGGGAAGATGGCGTCTTGTAAAGCATTCTTCCCTTTCACCTCTAAAGCTGTGGCACTAACACTGTGTAGTAGTAGCAGTAGAAACCAGCTGTATGACAAGTGTGCGACTACTTTGATGGTTAACGGACGTTGAACAAGGATGGATGCAAACTAATGTTGAATTTAAGATCGTCTTTGATTTCTGAAAGGGATGTTTTGAAGTGTTCCTTCTAAATGTTATTAAAGTATCCCAATAATATTAACTACGAGTTGTATTTTTGTGTTGTCTATTTATAATACTATGGATTCAATGGAGGACATTTGTCTCGCTGTGATCTCCAATACCAATTAGGGCTGCACGAAATTGGAAATTAGAGCGGTATTTGATATGAGTGTTAAGTATTGTGATTACGATATTACTGCGATATTTTGGTCTTTCGCCTAAAATTGCAATCTGCATTGAAACACAAGAGACGAATAACAACAAATAAGCACAACATTAATGACATTCAAATGCATATATTTAAAAACTTTTTTGTATGTTTGTTGTTCTTGTTGAATGTTGATGTGTCTGTTTTCTTTGCATCTTTTCAATATGGATATCGCGTGCACCAATAATGATATTCTTTCAATATATCGTGCAGCCCTAATACCAATATTTTCTGCCCGTTCAAGATTTTAAAATTCTTACAGAGAACCAAAAATTTGATCATTTATTATCTTAAAGGGACACTAAAATATTTTTATTTTGAATTACATCTACATCTTTTATGTGTCCCTAGATAACAGGTTAACCTAACTAATTTTTAACCTTTACTGAACACAAAGTTTGGAGTAGATTCATAATAAAAAAAATGAATGGACATGAACTAAATATAAAAATATGTATGTTTACATTTTGGGTTGGGTTTTTTGTAAGTCCCCTGTTATATATATTTTGTACCATTTCTAGCTAAACTCCTGCTTCTTTATTCAGTTCTTATGAGATACATGTGTCACAGGGAGGTTGGATTCTGGCAACAAACAATGGATTGAAATTTTAATGACTTGATAAGATGGCTTAGAGTTCATAATACACACTTTCCCTTTAACTATGAGCTCACTTGTCACTTTTGTAAACAGCGATAATGTATCTATCTGGAATATAACCGGTTTTTACTGATTGTGTAAATTCCATTCCGTACTTTTTTGGCCTAAATTTGCATCTTCACTTTATTCCCATTCGTCTGATGATCTAAGAACAAAGCAAGTGCAGGAAAATATGGATGCAAAAATTGTCTGGATTTCCATATCTGCCCAATGCCAAAATGTATTCAAAACCCTCCAACATATCCCCACGTTTAATCATAGAATCTACTGACAATTTCTCATCAAATTCTGAGCCTCTCTCTGTTTTCATAGATTACTTACATGAAAATTTACTTTACCACAAAGCCAGACCCTCTCAAACAAGATTAAAAGATAGTCCAGTCTACAACGTTTTCCACTGTAGAACTACTTAAAATGGGACAAAAGTGGAACTGGAAGCTCCCAAGCTAGTGGTTAGAGATCCCTGGTTTATAACAAGATTATTAAATTATTTGGCAAGCTGGTAATCCTAAATGTAATGTATGTCTCTGAGTGTCTGTGTGTCTGTCTATAAACATGTCTCTCTCCATTAGTGGAAAAAATATGAATGAGCTTAACAGTATACAGTACTATGCCTTGTGTGAAATTATTGCGTTTTTACAGTGCAATACTTTCCCTTATGTTGTTGGCTTTAAGAGACAAGCAGATTATAACCATTGCGTACATTATCTGACTTCCACTGTGCCTTTATCCTTTTCAAAGCGATTATAGGGATGATTACACCAGCGCAACTTCATGCTGGATGACTATACTCTCCTTATGCATGAGTGAGAATAAGACGATGGAAATGGGTCTCTTTTTATGTATACTGTCTATAGTGAAAGAAGCCTGCGTGTAGATTATTATGAATGGAGCCTAAATATGCTAGTTATTTGTAAAAGGAGTGCCCTCTGCACAGTTGCTGGGTTCAATTGTTCTGCTCTAGTTTGTATGTAGGTCATGTGTAGTTGATCGCAGACTGGGCAGAGTGGAACGACAACGTTGCATGATTTACGAGAACATGGTATATGGTGATGTAAATGTAAAAGTCCCCTCGAACTTTGTCCACAGCATTGGATCCATCCTGCAAATGCCACTAGGGCCTCTGTCAGGAGCAGTGCTCGCCATAGTACAGCAGCCAGGAACTCATCAGATTGGGATGCTCAGTTTGGTCAGGCCTACTAGGACTACTGGGACCCAAAGAAAACCAGGTCAGACACAGGGAGAACATGCAAAAACCCTGATCTGACGGATTCGAACCCAGGACTCTAGCTGAGAAGCAAGAGTGAAATCCACTCAGTCACCATGATAATATAATGTGCTTGAGATGTAAGCTGTAGGGAGGGTTCTAGGGAAATTGTTTAAGTAATAATTATTTCAAATCTGTTGTTTTGGTATTATTATGACTCAAAAAGCAGGAACTGTAACTTTGACAGCAGACATAAGGGTGACATCATCAAAACTCAGTTTGTCATTATGTCAGCAGCTGGGAATTTACAGCTTCAACTGTCTGTACATGACCCCTACTGGAGAAATCTTTGGCCAAATCTACTTTTGAGCTGTTCTGAAATGTTGTTGTTCTTGCTGTTTTTATATCCATCCACACTCTAATTGTTTTAAATTAGACCTGTAGTTTACATTTACAGCCTCTCATTATGAATACGAGCTGAAAATTCTAAAAGGGCCATCTCTCTTTATGAAGAGACTTAGTTTGATTATGAAGCATTTACATTGATACAGTCTTACCATGTGCATCTGTCGTCTGTCTGTGTGTTCTCTTTAAATCATTGACAACGAATGTGATGTCCCATGCTGTCCTGATTTGGAGCTAATCAATGGGATGATCCAGAGCGAGCACAGACATAACCATTCACACACCGTCCAGGCTTTCAGAGAAATGTACAGTTTTTGATGTTAGAACTGACTCATCCTGGATTGGATTCACAAAGGCATTGGTCGTCAGTAAGGTACAGTTTAGATTTATATACATACAAATTGAGTTTGTTATTCTTGCCATCCATTTGTTGTTGTAAGTGTATTGTTGTTGTAAGTGAAAATACAATAGTTTAGTAGTTTTTTTATATATATTCTAGGACTCATATTTTGTATTCTTTCAGCGGATGTAATGGCAGCAGATTTGGAGTTGATCAATTTGCTAATCATAGGAGGAGCCACACTAGCTATTCCCATCCTGGCTTTTGTTGCCTATTTCCTGTTTTGGCCAGCGACACTGATAAAAGTTTATTATTGGTAAGTAATATTATGCTATCAAAACAGTCCTTTAAAGTTGGGGTACCTAACTTTTGCATCCCAGCAGAAAGAGTGTTGTAAAAAATGTTGTGAACAATCATGTTGAATCCCACTTTTTCTTTGCATACTTATAAGAGCCCTGTGAGTCACTTCTTGACTTTTTGTGGTTCTCCATTGAAAAAGCTGATCTCTTGATGTGACAGAGGCCGAACAATACATGCATCTGAAAACTAGCAATGAACCAAACTGTTTTATTGACATGTCACTAATAAAATTTTATTTTTGATTTAATTTTATAGCTATAGTCAAGGGGAGGAGTGTAGAATCTAACCTAAATATTGTGTACTGTAAAACTGCTAAACATTGTTATCTGAAGAACTGAACGTATTTCTTCTGGATCACATTGTTACTACAGTATCTATAACTTAAGCACGCGCCATTAATATCTCAGGTCATGACGTCTGTCCAAGAAAAAGCTTTGTCTCCTCGTGTTCGATCTGGAAGGACTCAAAAATAAACCGGCCTACAGGTGCTGCCTCTGTCTTTATTTCTCGACAAAACACTTTTGAAAGTTAAGTACCCCCACTTTAGGTCAGTCGTTTTATTTTCTTTTATTCTCTATATTATGTTCAGGTACTGGAGGAGAACTCTTGGACTGCAGGTGCGGTTTGCAGATTGTGGTGGATACCGCTTCTGTTACTCATACAGAGGAAAACCAGGAATGAGACCAAGTATTTTAATGCTGCATGGTCTGTGCGCTCACAAGGACTCGTGGCTCTCTGTTGTCAAGGTCTGATTAGCAACATCCACTGCTGTCATGTTATTGTATGTTATGTTCTATCACGAGACAAGAGAGATGTAGTTCAGCAAATAATTCCAGTCAATTTTTCAGTACCTACCAAAGCATTTGCACATAGTATGCATGGATATGCCGGGCCACGAGGGAACGACACGGACCAACAATGAGGATTACTCCATAGTGGGCCAGACCAGAAGAATTCATCAGGTACTACATTACAATAAAAACCCAGTTAGGTTGCAACTTATATGTTGTGTATGTACATTTGTCCTAGTTTGTAGAAGCCATTCGTTTAAACAGAAAACCTTTTCACATTGTTGGAACCTCGATGGGAGGAAATATTGCAGGAGTTTTCGCAGCGTCTTATCCCACATACGTTTGCAGTGTGACCCTGATATGCCCAGATGGTTAGTGCCTTGTATTTTCCTTATACTGTATCAATATAAGTGTACTCTTGCTAAATACAAATGTTTGCAGCGTTAATTGTCTGTTTTTTCTTAAAGGGACATTGTGTAAACAAGAATTTCAGTTGTTGAGGCACAGTGGTAAACATTCACTAGTGAGTGGTAAATAGAAAATGGACCTAAACGACAGATTGCCATTCTGAATACTGCTTCTGTCTTTCAGCAACATTGGCAATTTCAAACCTTTGTTTGGATGACTGTCTCTTATATAATTATTTCCACCCAGTAGTTTTCTTCTGCCATATGTGGCTTTATCACAAAAGCAGCAGTCTGAGCAAGCGCCTCGACTTTCCTATCCACTTTCTTCAGCTCATAGTTGAAACATGAGGCATTCCCAGGCCAGCTGAGTCCCTCCAGCGTGTCCTGGATGTTCGCAATGGCCTCCTCCCAGTGAGACATGCCCAGAACACCTCCCCAGAAAGCCATCCATGAGGCATCTGAAACAAACGCCAGAGCCACCTTGGTTGACTTCTCTTCTTCTTCTCTTGACATGTAGGAGCACTGGCTCTACTCCAAGCTGTCTACAGTGGCAGTGCGCTGTAGACAGCTTGAGCTGCCCAGTCGCCCTACAGTAGAAATACCGGTACATCTTATCTTCGATCTTTTCCTTTTGGTCGCTACCCAAAGTTCTGCATTTCTATTCACCAATCTCAATTTTGAGCCCTTTTGTCTCACGCACTAACACCAATGATTTGTCACAGGTGCATTGCAGACACATCTCATTGTCCCTAATTTCAACCGTTTTTTAGAAAGCTTTCCCAATTAAAAATCTGCCCAAACCATGACTCGTCAACCAAATATTTTCAAGGTTGTATTTTATTATAACATGTGATCACCCAACACTTATTGTCTCTCTATGTGCTGGAAAATACTGTGTTATCTTATCTCATATAACTTTCTGTTCCCGCAGGAATCAGACACCTTTGTGAAACCAAATTTGACAATCATCTGCAGGACTTGGAACACAGCAATTTCACACTAAACATCCCCCTGATTCCAACCACACCAGACGAGATGGAAGACATGTTTAAACTTTGTTCTCATGTTCGATTTAAAATACCACAACAGGTCTGCTTGACATATCACAACTGTTTTCACTTCTGCTATTTTTTACTAACTATGCTACTGCTATTTTTTTTTACCAACTATGCTACTCTGTGCTTCCCAGATTCTGCAAGGATTGGTAGATGTCCAAGAACCACACAATGAGTTTTACCAAGAAGGTATTAGGCAATGTTGAGTCTACGTTTATTTTTTATTTATTTTTAAAGCTGAGGTACCTAACTTTCAAACCACAATAAATAGAAATGTGTAATGAAATAGCCTTTGTCATATTTTGAGCGCTACAAAAAATAACTTGTTTATATAAATATAAATACATTGTGGTTTTGTCTGATTTTTTTTCACAACTAATCCCTTTACAAGAAAAAAACAAAATTAAACATGAAAAATAGGCACCCCAGCTTTAATCATTGATGTCCTACTTAATCTAAAACAATGCATTCTTTAGTTTTCATGGAGATTATGAGCAACAAATCAAGATATGCCTTACAAGAAAACTTACATTTGCTCACAACTCCTTTGCAAGTCATTTGGGGGAAACAAGACATGGTAATGTGCATGAAACGACCTATCCCCTTTAAAAAAAAAATTAAACCTTACATTATTATTTTTCCTAGGTAGTGGATGTATCTGGAGCTACGGTGATAAAAGAAATATTGCCCAACTGCAGAATTGACCTGCTGGACAACTGTGGTCACTCTGTGGTCATGGAGAAACCTTCCAGGACAGCCAAGCTCATCCTGGGGTTTATCATCCAGCAGCAAGAGGCGAGGGGGGGTGCTAAGAAGTCTTCCTGAGGGAAAGGATAAACATGTGGCAAATGTGGCAGAAAAAAAGCAAGCTGTAGTAAAATACTTTAACAAATACGATGTGTGCAATGTGAATGTGTTTTTGTATTTATATAGTAATTGTGTCTACTCATTTGGGGATGTTTCTCACAGTAGTAGTGGGTGGTACCTCCCCATGGATCTATTGTACCTCCCCCATCTCTAGACCTCCGCAGAAAGCTGCAGCCTGAAGCGTTGCACAGCTGCCACAGTGACCAATATCTGCCCCAGTCTGACTTCTGTGAATGTTAATCCATCGCTTTAGTACTCTTTGTTTGAAAAGTACGCGCCCGGTAAGTAACTTCTTTAACCACACATACTTATACCAGCTTATCCGGATCATGCTGTTGTGGCTAATGCAGTGGGAGGCTTGTGCGCTATTTAGCTTGTAGCTTCATGCTGACTGCACAATGTTTACACACACACACGCACGAACACACTGGGCGTTTCAGTGTGTTGTTCATGCGGTGATTAGAGCGTTAGTCGAGTATTGATATTCAAGGTCGACTAAGGACCTTCTCGATCAATGAATCGACTGATCGCTGCAGAGTTAAAGCTTTCAAAACTATTGCACATCTGACCTAAAATGGCTTCAATTTCGGGCACTAAACAACTATTTTGGCATAGAAATGTTCAGATATTAAAATGTGATTGAGAGTTTTAGCTTGCTTGAATATAATAAGTAAATGTAGTTTTATTTCGAGCCTATTTATATGCGTTATCAAAGTCAAAATCAATGTTCCCCTAATCCATTTTTGGGTCGGGGGGATGACAGTCAGAGATGCCACCCAAGTCACATTGCACCAGCCCTTAAGTATTCATTGTAAATCAGATAAATATTTCTTTATTCTTTATTTATATAGTGCCCATCACAGACCAGAGTCACAAAGCGCTTTACAATTGTGGGCATTTGTCTCCCTCTCCTCAGAGATGTGAGTGGGGTCGCTAGTACAAGAGGTGCCTGCCAGACATATTGTACATATATTTAGTGGTAGGGGAAACTTATGCAGACTTGCAAGCTCCACTCAGAAAGGCCCTGTTCTGACCGGGATTCGAACCCAGGGACCTTCTTGCGAGAGTGCTATCACCCAGCCACTGTGCCGCCCACGCTTTAGTCAACTAGTAAATATATTGGTCGACAAAGACACCACAAACTGATTAATTGACTAAAAAGTCTGATGGTGATTCTGTGTGGTGCAATGTTTTGCAGTAAGCATGTGGAGATGATCAATTGTAGTAAATATATTATCTCTAAGTAACTCATTTTCTGTCACAACTACTTAGCACAAATGCAATGTATGTATTTAATCATATTTGACTGACCTTAGGAATCAAACAAACACTGGAGACACATTTGCATATTTGGATTTGCTTCTTTCTAAGCAGCTCTACAAATGGAGAATGGGGATTGGGGTCAAAAGGTAAGAACATCCATGTAAAAAAAAAATCTACTCATCTGTTGCAATAATAGAAGTGTCCCACTATGTTGATGTACAGATCTCAGAGAGTGAAAATCAATTACTGTTTTTCAGATGTTGTTTCTGTGAGCACTGGATCTCTTCAGGAATGTATTTTGAGTCCTTTGCTTTTTACATTGTACACTTCAGTAATAATGATGAATCTTCTTATAGAGCAGAGATTCAAAATGTGATTCAGTGGAGTAAAGCTAACAAAGCTAGCTCCTGTTGCTATCGACAACTCCCAAGTGCAGATTGTAGAGGAGTGCACGTTTCTCGGTTTAATCTAATGACCTGAAATGGGTCAAAAACACTAACCGAGTCGTTAAAGCTCGTCAGCGTCTCTACTTCCTGCGGAAACTTAGAGAATTTACCACTAACTCTAAGATTCTGCTTAACTTTTATCGCTGCACCATTGAGAGTTTACTTGTTGGTTCTGTGTCTGTGTGGTTTGGAAACATTACAGACAAAGAAAGGAGAGCTTTAAACAAGGTGCTCCGCTCTGCAAAGAGGACTGTGGGCTGTGAGCTTCCTGTTCTGGAGATTCTTTATAAATCCAGACTTTTAAACAAAGCTCTTAGGATTATCAATGACTCTTCTGGCCACCCTGGAAAAGCCATGTTCCAGCTTCTTCCCTCTGGGAGAAGATGTCATTCGCTGAGATGCAGGACATCTCGATATGCTAACAGTTTCTTCCCACAAGCTGTTATCAGCTTGAACAGAGCACTTTAATGATCTTGCACCTGTGTTGTTACTGTTTGGTTGATCGGTTCACTGCTACAATTGTTTACTGTTTTATCCATTTTATTTCTGTACTTTTAATGTTGTGTTATGTCTGTACTTGTCTTGTGCACACTAGTGACTTTTGCTAATGTATTCCAATGTGGTTTTACTGCAAATGGCAAATAAATTGAATCTGATCTGATCTGAAAGCTTTCTGTATGTGTTGCTTTTGACTATTCTAATTTGCTGTCTTTCAGGTGACAAGTCCTGTTACTTTAAATGTAGGAGGGAACCTTTACACCACCAGTTTATCCACTCTTCAGCGTTACCCAGATTCAATGCTTGGGGCCATGTTTCGAGGAGACTTTCCCACAACCCGGGACTCACATGGAAACTATTTTATAGACCGTGATGGCACACTCTTCCGTTACATACTAAACTTCTTGCGGACGTCTGAACTTACTCTTCCTCTTGACTTTACAGAGACAGATCTTTTAAGGAAAGAAGCTGATTTCTATCAAATCGAACCTCTAATTCATTGCCTTAACGACCCCAAACCACTGTACCCTCCTGATATCTTTGAACAAGTTGTAGAGCTATCAAGCACAAGAAAACTGTCAAAATACTCCAATCCTGTTGCTGTTATTATCACTCAACTGACTATAACCACAAAGGTTCATGCCCTGCTCGCAGGTATAGCTAATAATTTTACAAAATGGAACAAACACATGATGGATACAAGGGATTGTCAGGTATCGTTTACATTTGGACCATGTGACCATCATCAAGAGGTTTCCCTCAGAGTGCACCTCATGGACTATATAATGAAACAAGGTTTTACCATTAGAAACACACGTGTGCATCATATGAGTGAACGGGCAAATGAGAACACTGTTGAGCATAACTGGACTTTTTGCCGACCAGCACGCAAAGTTGAAGATTGAGAAAGATCACTTTTAAAACATTTCATTTTGTCATTGCAAAACTTTAAGAAACTATTCCATGCCAGCATAGTATTCTGTAGTTTTTTCTTATTTTCAATCAGGATTACAACTTATACTGTATATACTGTATACTGTAAATCGGTACCATTCCAAACTACAATTAGCAATACAGGTTGGACATGTATGTTTGATTCTATAATTTATATAGAAATGTATATAAATTTGGTGTTTCATTCCTGTTGTTGAAAAAACGTATGTTCTTGCCATCTCAGATTTCATCAATTTTGCTTTTTGTCGTTGTTAAACTCTTTGTGGCTTAGTCTTGAGTTTACCATACATAAGGTACTTTTTTGTTGTTGTACAACCATGTTAAGTAATTGTTATGTACTTGTACCCAAACTGTCAGACTGTGACATGTTATGTTGAGTCTTCTATAAATGTGTAATTCTGTTATCTTTCTCCTGCTTTTACTTTCACAAATTTAAAAAGGAGGGTTTTTAAAAATTATTATTATTATTATAAAACAACACACTTTCCGTATCCATTGCAGCGGTTTATCGGCTCGTCTCATCCCTTAACCAAGCAGAAACACCCTTGATTTACTTGGTCTTAATTTCATATATAAAAACAGACATTTACCTTTTGTCCGGGGAAAAAAAATACATTTTTAACTAGTCCCTAACCGGAAGTTGAGTTTTTGGGCGTTTGTTTTCTTTATCAACAAAGCCCGATTCTTGAGAGGCTACATGTCTAAATATATTTCTCGACAAGACCGCCCGTTCAGAGTACGCAGAAGCATACACCAAGCGCACTCTTTAGTGGCTGCCATTACGCCGAGCTGCAGCTTTCCAAGGGTAGTTATGTGGTCTTGTCTGTGGTCAATGCACGTTTCTCTTCAAATGTAGATCAGTCAAAATTACAAGATGTACAGAAATGAAAACGTAAAATACATCCTGAGTCTCGTCCCCGGTAAACGTCGTTTCGGCACTTACAGGTTTCTCCCCATATTTTTCTGTATCGGTGGTGTCATGGAGTGGATCATGATCAACGTGAGGATCGGAAAAGAGACTTTTTGTAAGTATAGCTGTACCTAAACCTGTGCGGCACTGATGGCTAGTATTATGGTCATTATTATTGCACGTGCTATTTCCGTATTCAAGCTTGCAAACAATATTATGTTTGTTCCAACAGAAAAAAAAAAAATGTATTGTAAACGTTTTTCTGTGCGTGAACACATCCTACCACTCAATATTATCATCGTAATATATTATCGAAATATATTGCATTCTTAAAAAGCTCCCTTTAAGTCACTATGTGAGGCTTTGGACTGAGTGGTCCGCTCTTTTACACTCTTGTCTGAAAATATGTGACAGGCCATCAAGTACATGGCAAACTAGGTTGACCTTTACTATATTTGTGGTTCGAAAGTTAGGTACCCCAACTTTAATCCAGCAATTTTAAAGGCAAGGCACACTATGGCTGTCCTGCTTGTTTCATAAAAAATGTTCATTAATGTTGTAAAAAATATTTTACTGCCTAAATATTATAAAAACATGAGAAGACTCCATCCTGATCCTAGCAACATGGAAGACCCATGACAAATTCTTTGAGGATGACCATTTTCCTGGGGAGCAAAGTTGGGATTCACATTCTGTTTTGTATCTATATTACACAATGTCATGTTTGCCCTATAAATATTTTGTGAAGTCTTTGCACTATGATACCACAATATGTAAAGGGTTATTCCAGAGGCTTATATCGGAAAACACATGTTTTTTTTTTCTAAAAAATTCCACGAATAAGATAACATCTGCAGAGAATAGAATACGTCATACTAAAAACTTCATGATGCAGCTTTTTGAATGCGCTTTGCTATTTGCTTAAAATGTTTTTTTTAATAAAAGAGGTAACATTTTCAGTGGTCAGCACAGCATGATATGTATAAATTAGGAATACATACATTCAATTTAGATATCCCTACGTAACCGCCCACATTACAATAGCTATCATGAATAGTATTTATTAATATTATTAATTTGTTATTTTTTAATAATATTTTCAGTGAATCTTTAAGGCTCTTCTATTAAGAGTGTAACAAAGATAGTAATAGAACAAAGATACCTTACATGTAGGGTAGTTAAGCAGTAATTAAGTAGTAATAAAACCTAATAAATTAGCTTCATGTATCTATTTACAATACAATGTTTTTCTAATTACAGATGATGTTTACCGGAGAAAACAGTCGGAACGTGCATACGAGAAGAGGATTGCAGAGGGTTTAGTAGCGCCTCCGGCCAAGTGAACAGACACAGAACCTTATGCGATGCAATATCTTTGTATTGCTTTAGAACAAAATGTCAAGGCTTATACCGACTCATACCTAAGATTACACTGAAGAAAACAAAGTTTAATATTATTTGTTCAATTTTTGCTTATACTTGTTTGTGCGTGTGTATACAAGGAAACAGATATTAAATTAGATATATTAATACATTAAATGTATAAACCATCCATGTTCAGTGATTCATTTTATGTCATTTGTTCATGCATTTGCCTGTATTAGCATTTATGTATCCTCTTATCTTGCTATTATGATTGATGTTGTCCAATTAATATGTTCACCAAGGACAGATATATGCTATTTATACGTTTAAATTCATCTTGCTCTGACCTTAGTGTAAATAGCGTGAATAAATGAGCAGAGCTGCATTACGTAAGGCAGATGCACGCTTTTAACGGGGAAATCGAAGCTGGAGTAGCGGAAGTGGTTCTGCCCTGAACGATAGGCTGATCGAGACGGACACAGAATCGCCCGGAGAGACAAAATCACTATTAAAATCATCCATACCGTAAGTGCTAGTATGGGGATAATGCGAATGTGATATTTTTAGCGAACACGTTGCTTACCTGGTGGATTAAAAGAGCTGTGTAAAAGAAAACGCTAGAAATCGGAGTGAATAACGGGACTTTGCATAGGCCCGCTGTGGGGCTAGCGGAGGTAGCATCGGAGCTAGCAGCGCTCAGATTCCATGACACTTTGTTCTGACAGGCGCTCTAGTCCTGGCGACCACAGCATTAATATGACTAAAGACAGCAAATGTGCAAATTCAACATATTGTTCCTACTATCGTCACACTAAAGTCTGCTGCCAAACGTATTTATCCATTAAATTGCAGTCATGTGTTCTTAAGTGTCGGCCATTATCTGTTCAGGCCCTGCTAACCAGCGTCCCCGTTATCTTGGACAGATGGACGGCAGCGGCTAATTCCCGTTCCCGTGTTATATATCCGAGCAGAACACGTCTATGAGAAATGTTCTGAAGTGGTTATGCTGTCACAATAGTAAAGAACTGGCCACTATAATGCTGACTCGACAGTGAAGGCTGCCCGATGGTCCTCCCAGCGGCATTATCTGCGACAGGACTGGGAGCTGCAGGGTGGCACTAGGCATTAGAGCCTAGCTGTCTTAACGCTAAAGACATCCGCTGTTAAAGCTGCTGTTCAATGCAGATACAGAACAACTCAGTCGACCAAACGAAGTTCGGTCGGTTCGTGATTAGTATCGTGTATAGGTCTTATTTTAGTCGGACTGTTGGCCATGTGAACATGTTCTGGTGGTAGATATGGGTTAGGGCAAATGCTTTCGGGAGCAGCTAACTTTAGCATTATAGTAGCTAGCTTTATGTAGAGATGACCCACTTGCATTGGTCCCACTTCTGTCTAAAATCACCGTATCTCGTATATTAAAAGCAATTTGCTTCTAAATGTATTAGTATCCGTTACATACATAAGACCATGCATACATAATAGGTGATAATGGTTAATTTTTAACTAGTCAATAACACAGTTCATTACTTGGTGTATTCCGTAATAATTGTATTATTATATTATTATTATTTCTATCTTTGTTGTGTAGCCCAGAAGATGGACAAGAACGATCTGGTACAGAAGGCTAAGCTCTCTGAGCAGGCTGAGCGCTACGATGATATGGCTGCAGCCATGAAGTCGGTGACCGAGCAAAGTGCGCCCACGGAGCTTTCCAACGAGGAACGCAACCTGCTCTCCGTCGCCTACAAGAATGTGGTTGGAGCGCGCCGCTCCTCCTGGCGCGTTATCTCCAGCATCGAGCAGAAGACTGAGGGTAATGATAAAAAGCAGCAGATGGCCAAAGAATACAGGGAGAAGATCGAGTCGGAGCTGAAGGAAATCTGCCATGATGTGCTTGTAGGTTATTTAGCTTATGTGTTTTTTATTCAACGTTTATTTTAAATGGTTTTAGTACAAACATAACCTGGATTGTTTTTCAGAACCTACTGGACTCATACCTTATTAAAAACGCATCTTCTGCAGAAAGCAAGGTCTTCTACCTGAAAATGAAGGGAGACTACTTTAGATACCTGTCAGAGGTTGCATCTGGGGATGATAAGAAGGGTGAGTTATAATGACATGTTTAGTACACCTGGTAAATGTCTATAGCATTGTATTTATTATACATATATTGTGTCGCTTTATTTGTGTAGAGACAGTTGCAAATTCTCAAGATGCATACCAACAAGCCTTTGACATCAGCAAGGCGGAAATGCAGCCTACACATCCCATTAGGCTTGGTTTGGCCCTCAACTTCTCTGTCTTCTATTATGAAATCCTCAGCAGCCCAGACAAGGCTTGCAACCTGGCTAAGACGGTAATACATCCATATTTTAGGAATACCTTTTTTAAAGTGTGACATAAACAAACTAAATCAATTACATTTTGTGGCTGTTCAGGCATTTGATGAAGCCATCGCTGAGCTTGACACTTTGAATGAGGATTCCTACAAAGACAGCACCCTGATCATGCAACTACTAAGGGATAACCTGACCGTGAGTTACCACCCTAACTGCTCACCCAGAAATATATTCAAGTACTTCTAATGATATGATTCTTTCTTTTTTGCAGCTGTGGACATCAGAAAACCAGGCAGATGAGCAAGAGACAGGAGATGGGGAAAACTAAAGGAAATTGCACTGTTAATCCACCTACACTCTTATCTTAAACACAGACAGCTTATATACATCCCCTCCACTCCATCAGCCCCTCCCACTTCTGTATGACAAGCAGCCTGAATTGCTCCTGATCAACTAGTTTTACCCCTCTCAACTTTATTGTGAGGTGACAGGGTAATTTTTCAGTTCCTAGCTGACTCAGTCACTTTGTGGAAATATGTTGTATTGAGTAGTGAGTCCATGTTGCTGATTTTTTTTTTGGCTTTGTATGTAATGTGTGTATGCTGGTTTGTGCAACAAGAGAGCATGTGAGTGTGAGTCCTAGAATTACAAGTTGGGGTTGTTGTGAATTTTAATTGTTCCTTTTATTCCTGCTATAATTCCTTGTGCATTTTTAATTCCATTTTGTTACTTTTATTTGTGATTCCTTATGCTACTTAGAATTTTTATTGCGTAGGGTAATCAAGCTGGCAGTTAATTTTCAGGACAACACTGTGAGGGTAAAGATTCGATTTCACAAGAAAAATTAAATTGGAATATTCGTTAAAAGAAAACCTGTATTCAGCTAACTGCAATTCTGCTGTGAGCTCATACAGAAAGGAGGCAGGCTGTATTGTGACACTGACATCTTGGTGTAATCCTCCTTCATCATGTTCACACAATTTTCACTGTTCTAAAGTTTTAAGGGACCCCATAAAGTTATTTAAGATTTGTTTTAGACATACTACATTCCAGCTCCTTAGGAATAGTAAGTTGATTTTATTATTTTATTAAGTATGGTTTGTCTCTTGTAGTTTTACTCGCTGTTTGAGTGCTACTTGATTTCAAGTACAAAAAAATGTTTGTGCATATATGTGGTTCTCAGTATTTTGCAAGTTTGACTATCATCTGTATGTACAACTAAAGTAATCTTATGATATTGATGTTATTTTAAATTGTATTAACATGCACTGTATCAACACTGCTTGCAAAAATATTCAATGCGGTTAATTTATCCAATTGATTAATACGCCTGTGCTGGCTTTTTCATCGTTTCTAGTCAGGACCACACAATCTTTCTCTGTAAACCAATTCCTCTTTGATGAGAATTGGTAAGTAAAAATATCAGGGTTATTTAAACGGGCCTACTTCCTATGTGGGTAAAAGCTCAGTGTCACAATACCATAGAATCACCACTACATTCCACATATTGTAGTTGAAGACACCATTCCACATTTTAGCTGACAGTCTGTTCATGCTGGCAATGTGTCCACGAATTGAATTGATCTTATGTTTTGGGGAGAAAAAAAAAAGAATCCATGTAAGTTTGTTATTATGCTTGATGAAATGCAGTTAGTGAATGTGGGACAAAGCCTGTCTGTATATCAGGTATCTACTTGCTTTGTTTTTACTGACAAGTCTTATGGCTTAAAAAAATAATAATTTGCTTCTGTAACAGTCTATTATTACCCAGTGCACAAAAGTGGTGTGTGAAACTTTAGAGTAGCTCTTTAAAGCGGTGACGAAATTGAGATAAAACAATGGTTGGTGTAATTCTAGCTTTGTGTTTATGTATCTTAAATCCATTCTAGTTTCACTATACATGTAAGAAATAGGAAAGTGTCAAAGACCATTCAGTGAAATAAAGTTTCGTTTAAGATAATGGACAAATTAAATCTTTCTTTTTCATCAGTTGTAATCAGACGCACAACATTTCTTTATTACAAAAGTGATACAAGAAAAAATAAAGAAGACGAGCGTCTGTAACCAGGGCTTATCAAAAACCTTCAGTCAGGGACACTCAAAGCTAAGCTAAAGCTCCACTGTTGTGACAATTCTATAACAAAAAATGTTTGACCCATTCTCTCCTGAGTATTGTCTTTTGTGTGAAATACAAAAAAAAACCCTAATTTTATTTTGAAATGATCTAAACCCTGTTGGAAGTCCCTCCCCCAACTTCAAATAAATAAGTTAATATAATTATAATATTAAATTAAAGGGGAAAGTAACTTTTTGGAAGTGTGTCACCTTGATTATATGAAGATACAGTAAAATCACACATCAGGGTAATGTCTTTGTCACATGAGGTCCAAAGGTATAACTAATTCTATCCAGATGCACGAGACTAGTGTCATCCGATCCCCATCAATATTTCAAAGATATACAAACACAGCCTGCATAAACTAATACCTCACACATGTTTTAATACATTTTGACAGTATGGGACCTCTGTGGCGTAGGACAGAAACTTCCTATGTGAGCTCCAATTATTTGCTAATGTTTTGGTTATTATGCATTTGTCAAATAAGATTATAGAATGTTACATATATTATTGTAGGTCTATAGTTGACACTGGGGTACTTTCTTTGCTTATTGAACGTTCTGCACTGCACTCTTCCAGAACCTTTAACAAAAGAGCAGGAGTACTGATGAGCATCCCTTTTTTTCCAGCCCAGTGGGACTATCCAGATATAAAGGTCAATTAGATAATAATAAAATAAAGCTTCATGTTAGTTCTTCAAATAGATCTTTAGGGGTGGTTGGTTCATATGGGCAGATATGTATAACAGAAAATACACTGAGCATCTTATCATCTCAACACTCCAGGTTTAATGATTCTGATTCTGAGCTCTTGCAGCTATCCTTTATTTTCTCTATCCTGGTCCTGTGCCTCTGCATGTTTTTTCTTTAGAAATATATTTTCAATGTGTTGTGGTTGCACTTGCAAGCCTTGGCCGAAAAAAAGCGATGGAACTATATTTTCATGCGGAATCGCACAGGTAACTTTGAACTTAACGTGGACGTTACGAGAGAAGAACGGCAGGTGTTCCACGGCCCTGATTGAATGAAAACATTCCTCCGCCACTTGAACAAGTGCCTCTTCAACCTTTAACCTTCAGCACTGAGACAATTATAGTGATCCCTCCACTGTAAGTAGCTTTGATCTAACTCCACTGTCTAATTAACTTTCCTAACTTAGTATACAGTTAGGAAACGTAGCAGGTCTGGAGGCTGTGTTGCCCACAGCGCATTAGCCACACCTTTTTCCTGCAGATAAAAACTTTCTGCGCTTTATGCATGTCAACCAAATGTGATACACGTTATAAGTTAATGTTGCACTAACTATACACATTACTTATGCAATGTAGTAACATTTACTAGTTAACAGCACCATGTAACAGCGCAGGCGGTCTTTAACAGCCGGGTCCATGACGTTGCTATCCTTAGCTAGCTTTAGCTTTAGCTTTAGCCGGTTTCGTGACGGTAATGAGTCGTGAGCAGAAGAATGTTTTAACTCGTGTTAGCCTTGATAAACTTACTCTACCCGTGTTGAAAATGTACAGATATCTTTCAGTGAGTGATGATCTGGGACAACTTTACTACAGATGTTTGTCTTATAACTTGTTAGTTTCGTTTTAACTAGCGTTACTTTGTAATTCTCTGGTTACAACTGGTCATATGGGGTGTTTCTAAATGTTTTTAGAAAGACCCGTTTTTTTTGGAAATATGAAGGATCCAAATAAAGTCCAATCCCAAACATAAAATATACAGATATACAGGTCCGTAAATCTTATGTTAAGGGAAAATCCAAGTGTTCTATTTTATTAAGAGTTTGATCTTTCTCTGTGTAGAGATTGTTACCTCTTTTTAGAGTAAATGAGTCAATTTAGGCCAAATTTACAGTCCTTGGCTTCTCAAGGTCAGTTTGTTTGGGTCCTCAGTCTGATTTTTATTTTTTATTTATTAAATGTTTGTTTTATTTCTGTTGTAAAGCTTGGAGGTTTCAAGCCCCAGGATGAACAGCAGCGGACCAGCCTACCCACTGGCATCTCTTTATGTGGGGGACCTGCACCCGGACGTGACCGAGGCCATGTTGTATCAGAAGTTCTCTCCTGCAGGTCCCATCACTTCCATTAGGGTCTGCAGGGACATTATAACTCGCCGCTCTCTGGGATATGCCTATATAAACTTCCAGCAGCCAGCAGATGGTAAAATTATTGAGAAGGTGTATCAAAAAACCCTTTTCTGTGAACAAACTAGTTTTTGCCAGAGACATAAATGCAGAAATTGACTGTTTATTCAGTTCACATTATTGATGGAACAAGATCTTGTGGCAGAATCTAAAAAACTGAAGAATGAAGGTTTTGTCCAGGCCAGAGGCAGAAATCACATTTTGTCTGATGATGCAGCCACAATCCTACTGGAAATAATTAAAAACATATTTCTTAATACTAGTTTTTATTTTGTGCCCTGCAAGTTTCCTTGCATTGCCTCAGAGCACCTCTGGGATGGGTTTAAAATGGAAGTGAATAGATGTGGTGTAGGATGTTAAAGGTACTGTGCTGTTACTCAAAGATCAGATGGACTCCTGATGAATTATTGAGAAAGGAATACCTTATTGTAAAAAAGCCCTTAAAAGTGAATTTTTCACAATAGCAAATTAAGTTTAGTCTCTGAAATATGTTTTTGTTTGGCAGAAATAGTTCTCTTAATAGATTCAGAAAGGGCAGCATTTATGGTTGTGTATGCATTTTGATTTGTTCTTGTCTTTTGTGTCGTTCCAGCTGAATGTGCTCTGGACACGATGAACTATGACTTCCTCAAGGGTCGACCGATCAGAATTATGTGGTCCCAGCGAGACCCGGGACTGAGGAAGTCTGGAGTTGGAAACATTTTCATTAAAAACATGGATGAATCCATTGACAACAAGGCGCTCTATGACACCTTCTCTGTATTTGGGAATATTTTGTCCTGTAAGGCAAGTAACGGGAATGAAGACAAGAATATCAGGAGCCTAAATGTTTTTCCTGAAAATTATGCATCATTTTGACTTTTGAGACGACACAAACCACACCCTAAAACTTTTCTATAATTTGTAGGTTGTCTGTGATGAGAAGGGATCAAAAGGTTATGGGTTTGTCCATTTTGAAACTCAGGAGGCAGCAAACCGAGCCATAGAGACCATGAATGGGATGCTGTTGAATGATCGAAAAGTGTAAGTGACATTGTATCCACTTTTGCCGGTTCTAAGAGTTCAAAGTCTTTAAACTATTTCATTGATTATTAGTGATTTTGCTGTAGTAGGGATGGGATGAAAACCGGCAGAGATGTACTGTGATATTAATATTTCCATCCCTAATTTGAATTCTACTTTGTCAATACTGTTGGATGCCCCATTTTGGTGGCTTTAGTTGACGTCTCTATTTAATTCCACAGAGAAAAGGTAAAAACTCCCAGCCTCCATACTATCCACAATATTTTGTCCATGTGCTCTAGATATCCATTATTTGTTAACTGGTCCATATACATAGTTCCCACATGACGTCACTACATACGGGGATTTGCCGACCCGGCGCCATTTGTGTTGGCATGCTGTGGGCAAAACAATAGAAGAAGAAGCTGAAACGTGTTAATGTCGTGATAAAGTTGAAAATGGTCATCTCCTGCTGGGTCAATGGATGTTCAAATCGTGCCGGAGGTTCCGTTAAACTTGGATTTTACAGTATACCCATCATTAGACTTCATGAATGTGAGAAGACTAAGCTTTTGTCAGAACAACCACGGAGGTTATGGCTTGCGAAGATAAACAGGCAAGAAACTCCCTCAAAACACGCAAGAATATGCTCGGAGCACTTTGTGTCAGGTGCGGATCGTATCTTATAATGTGTTGACAGACGTAATTTACTCAGTACTAACTTGTGTATGCTGATATCTGGTAACTTGAGTTTCATTATTTAGATTACTTTATTATGAGGAGGATCGGTGTCGCGTCCGAGGCTCTCGAGGGCAACGTAAATGTATTAAATAGATAATAATAGTTCTATGGTGGGCTAAAACAATGTTCACAAACAGCATTGCTTCTGTAAAAAGATCTGTGTCATAAAATAAACTGCTCTTTACGCCTGGAAAAATCAGTTGCCCACCATTCACCAAAACATACGGTCAAAAACGCGGAAATAAACAATAACGGCAATCCAGAGTGTCCGTGTGGCATTAGCATTAATTAAATTAATTGTTAATATAATTAAAATAATTAAATGGAGCTCCAACTGGTATTAAATCTAAAGTTTTTGAGAAATGTTTGCATTGCTTGTTAATTTTTGCTGCATAATTTGATCAAATATGTAAAACATGTCCGTAGCACGTTAAACTGTGGTGCCATTGTATTAATATACAATTATTTGCTCAAAAGTTGCCCTTTTTTTCCAATTTGCGTTTGAATATCTACATTTATTCTCATTCTTCTGTTTAATGGAATGCACAAACACAGCAGCGTGCCATCAAAGATGGCGTCTCCGAGGAGGTCATGTGACATTCATTGGTCTGTGGGAACTATGTATAGGTCTGCTTTTGCTAATTACGAAACCAGTTGTTGAAGACATAACATTACCATGATTTGTATACGCCGTTCCATCCCTACTATGTTCTAGATTTTTGGTAATTATTGTAGAAATGATTCATATTGTTTTCTGTTGCCTAGTAAAGGGACATACAGTCTGGAGTCTGGCATTATCATCTCAAAGACTCCATTTGTGGCAGGCTCTGGTCAGGTTCCCAAGGTTAGGTCAGAAATCGCAGGAGCCAAGGCTAGGTTTGTTGTCCTTCTGTTCGAATGTGCTCTCGGCTGCATGAAAACGCTTGCTGACAGTGTTTGTGTTGCATGGCAGTGTTTGAACCTTACAAGACAGAACAAATTAAGGCAAGACCATAGACTGCACACAAAGCAGGACCATAAAGGGTCAAATCAAATACAATATGAATACAGTTTGCTCTTATGCGTCCTGCCAATGTCACCCTTGACATGGTTTACACAGGAAAATCCAAAGGAAATGTACAAAACGAGGTCCATAATTTATGTAGGGCTCCAAAGAAATTCTTGGTCAGAGAGTAACAAGCTCTGAAAACAATTACAAGCCTCTATCTGACTCAAACTAGGCAATCGTTAAAAAGCTAGAAAAAATATATTTAATACAGTGCGAAAATGAATTACATTTTGGGGGTTTGTCTGCCTTGTACAACAAAGTGGGACAATTCAACCCGTGTAACGACTAAACCACTAATAACAGAAAGCCAGAGCCAAGTGCACCACAAAGCTTTTGACCTAAAATGCCAGTGCAACATTGCTGAATCATCCATGTTTAAGATTCGGTGGTGGTCAGAGAATATTAGTCACTCAAATATGCAGAAAAAAGTGAGGGGAAACAATTCTAACATGGCCAAAAGTTGTGAGAAATCCATTGTGTCCACTTTTGAATAGTCAAATTGCTTTATTGCAGGGCTGCAAAGTGGGAGTTTAGTTCAGAAAAGAATATTTAAACTTGGAAGTTTTGCTTTAGTCAAAATATCAACCTGTTGGAAACACTTTTCTGCAAACCATGAAAATGATTGACCTGTAATAGTCTGGACACTCCATTGTATTAGAAATGCATGATGTTAACGCTTGTTTTGATCTGTAGTTTCGTGGGTCACTTTAAGTCCCGTAAGGAAAGGGAGATGGAGTATGGCTCAAAGGCGGTCAAGTTCACCAATGTGTATATTAAGAACTTTGGGGAAAACTTCACTGACGAGAAATTGAAAGAGGTTTTTGCTGCGTTTGGTGAGTTCACCTGTTAAATCTAGACTCTACTCTCCTCACCTGTTGCTGCTGCACAAAGAATGTGGGAAAACAATGTGTGTATTGTATGTGTGTGTGTATGCATGTTTGTGCTGCAAAGACATTTGACAAATACACGTTTCAACTGATGTGAGGAGTGGGTTTCATAAATGGACTTTTTGTCCATATTGAAAGACTTCATGCAGTGAAACTCTTGCGTAAAGAATGGCAAGATTAAAACCTCATTAAGGTTGAACCTCAATTTGGATCCTTTAAACTTTCCGTCGTTTAAACTAAATTTCAGTGTTGCATCACAAGTTACAGAACTTGTTACAGAAGACAAGTGAATATTAAGTCTTGCACAACACTATATTTTAACAGTAAGCTAAAGATAGATTTTCATTATAAGCAGTCTAAAATACTGTGAGGATTTTTATATATATTATACACACATTTTGTGCACTATTGTTGTTTACAATTATAACTGCTGCCCCCTGCTCTATCATACATGTGATTTACAATTTATTTCAACGAATGAATGCGAAATTTATTTAGTGGAAATTACGACATTTTGTACACTGGATGCATTGTGATGCATAGAAGGTTATGTTGTGTATCAAACTGATTTAACCCGATACTGAATGGATCTGTTGTGAACAGGGAAGACTCTGAGTGTGCGTGTGATGAAGGATGAGAAGGGCGTGTCGCGTGGATTTGGATTTGTGAACTATGCCTTTCACGAGGACGCTCAGAAGGTTTGTTCGGTCTTCACCTCAGACTCTGACTCGTGTCACTGACGTCATGTGACTCGCAGGCCGTTATGGAGATGAACGGGAAAGATCTTGGAGGCGGAATCCTGTATGTGGGCCGCGCTCAGAAGAGACTGGAGCGACAGGGAGAACTCAAGCGCAAGTTTGACCAGATCAAACAGGACCGCATCCAGCGCTACCAGGTCTGACCCCCACATCTGTCCCCACGACTGTCATATGACTGCCAGAAATCTGTCCCCAAGACTGCCCCGAGACTGCCCCACATCGACAGCTGTAGTGAAATACTGTTTGTGTGTGTTTTCTCCCTCAGGGCGTGAATCTGTACGTGAAGAATCTCGATGACACGATCGACGATGACACGCTCCGGAATGAGTTTGCTCCTTATGGAACCATCACCAGTGCAAAAGTGCGTTGCTCCAGTGTGTTACTATTTCACTGACATTCCTTATGTGACTGGAATCAACGTGACTTTTATTTTAAGAACGTTATTAGGATATATTGGGTTTTTTAGACATTTGTCAAAGCAATGTAGAATGTATCTGGTTAAAGGTTCTACTTACCTAGAAACCTGCAGGTGAAGTGCCACAGAGTTGCCAAAAACCTGCCGTACCTTTGTGGTTCTGCCAGTGTGTTTTTATAACTCTGTATGATGTTTTAATAATCTGAACAATTCCAACACAAACTCGTTATCATTCACATTTCAGTCCCAAAATGTGGAACAGCTGCTATTAAAGAAATTCTATAGAAGATCAAAGCCCCACAGAAAAGTCTTTGCAAACTGGGAAACAGCTGCCAAAGGAACAAGAAATGCTGATAGACAACCGAAGCATGTTTGTGTTTTATTGTTTATTTTTGACAAAACATTTCCTGGTGGGGCTTTAGTTTTAATGTATTTTGTTTTTAGTTTCTAGACCAATAGTTGTAGCTGTTATATCATGACTTCTTTCATTAATTGTTAAGTTTGAATGTGTGAATCCTTTATGCCTTTTGTGAAACGATCCAGACATCGAACGACTTGCAGAGTGCACCGCTGGTTGTTTCTCAAATGTTAAATCTCCCAGTGGAGGATCTCACCATCAGTTATTGGCATTTTGGACAGATCCTCAAAGCACATTTGCATTGTAGTTTTCTAACTCTTATTGGATTGAATCTGGTTTCAGGTGATGACCGATGGTTCCCAGAGCAAAGGTTTTGGGTTCGTGTGCTTCTCGTCACCAGAGGAGGCGACGAAGGCCGTGACTGAGATGAACGGCCGGATCATTGCCACCAAACCGCTGTACGTGGCACTGGCGCAACGCCGAGAGGAGAGAAAAGCCATCCTCACCAATAAATACATGCAGAGACTGGCTTCGGTCAGGTCCATGCCCAGCCCCTTGATCGACTCCTACCAGCAGGCGGGATACTACATGACTGTCCCGCAGGTGAGCAAAGGGAGGCACAAATCAACTTAAAAAATCCTTATGCTTGTTTTATAAAACCTTTAGCAAACTGGCGCCCTCATATTTCAGATTTGCTTGTCCTTTTAAGAATCTGTGTGCACTCTCAAATCCTTCCTGGCCTTCCTTGTGCCTCTTGTAAATCAGGGGTGTCAAAGCGGTTTCAGAAAGGCCTGGTGTGGCTGCGGGTTTTCATTCCAACCAAGCAGCAACACCAGACCTTTGTTTACTGCTTTGCCAGATGACCTCAAATGTGCTCTGACGCTGAGCTCTTTTAAAGCTGGGGGACATAACTTTCACCTAACACTTGTGTATAGTTGTAATTTTAAGAAACGTCCTGTAGATTTGTATTTATTTATGCATACCGTACACTATTTTTACCTCCTAACTCGTTTACACTGAGAGCCAAAGCACTTTCCTTGTGTGTGACTTCGTTACTCTCAAGGGCAATGAAAATAATTCTGATTTTAACTTTCAGGTGACAGAAAATGGAAGTATGTAATAAAAGCCATCTAGTTTTCACATGCCTGTTTATTTGACCTTTTTGTTGGATCACTTAAGGCTGAGAGCTAATTGGCTAATGGGGCTGTATTAAAAGCTATCAGAGATTAAACATAATTTCTAATAAGACGAATGTCGTGGTCTAATTTTTGTCCACAACATTTGACCTTATTTAAGATTTGGACAAAGATTTATTCATGAAAAGTTTGGTACCTCGGCTTAAGAGTCAACAAAACGTCTGCACTAAAAGATGATTAAATATTAAGCGGGTAACATCTCTTGGTGTTAAACACATTGGGTTTTTGTATGCCAAAGTTTTTACCACAGCAATTTCTTCGATGAATTTAATTTTTCACGTCACTTTTGTTTCTTTCAGCCGCCGTCCCGGTCCTACTATAACCACGGTGCTGTGAATAACATGAGGCCGGTTCCTCGCTGGACTGGACAGTCGCCCAAACCAACAGGTGAATTGTGTGACAGTATTAAAATGTAGATATACAAAAGAATATCTAATCTAAATTTGGCTTATGTTACAGGGCCGTATTTGCCTCAGTTCAACGCAGGCCCACGTCGAGGATCCATTGCTACAGTGAAACAAGCTTCTACCCAAGTGCCTTATGTCAACACTGGAGCTCAGAAAACCAGTATTTGTCTTGACCATAAACACCAGAAGATGAAAGATCACATTATTTACAAAAAGATAATCACGGCGTGTGATCCTCAGATAACATTGGGACCCAGACTGTTGGAGGGAGGGGCGACTCGGGTCGAAGTAACCAGTACAAATACTCGACTGGAGTTAGGAACCCACAAGTGGTGCCAGTGCCAGCCCCGCGACAGGTGAGACGGTTATTTAATGTACTGTTATAGGTCGAGGTGCCTGGTTTGTACAAATGTCTGAATCTCTGCAATCTGAAATAATCATGCACCACAAGGAGGATTTAGTGTCACTGTAAACTTCACTCACACACAGTAGGACACCGCAGAGGACTTGATCCATACCAAAAAAAGTATTAACGGGAAAAAAAAAAAAACACTCTACAAAATCAGTGCGACCTTTAAACTTCTACTAAACTCCACAACTTTACAGAAACAAATAAGTATGTGGCAGTGAGACGGTCATGGCTCTGCCCCTGTCACTGAGCACTAGTTGCTGGTGCGCTCCTGTCCGGGTTAGGTGCCATGTGATTAAAACATGTCTTTTTTTGTTTCTTTGTTTGTGCATTTATATTTGATCAAAAATGTTTACTTTGATGTACACAAAGTATGTTTTTAATTATGTTATGGGGGAAAATTGCATTTAATTGTCTAATTTTAAGAAAAATGTCCCACGAAATCAAGCGTTTTAGCCTGCCACAATCACAATAATTACCACTGAAATCCTGGAGGGACTGCTCAGGGTTTGAGCAGTTTGCTGTGGTACCGCCCACAGAACCCACCGGACCCAGAGGATTGTTCACCTGTGTCAGGAAGTAGGTCTGGCTAACATGCCTGGTCTTCCACACACATGCTGGGTTCTCTCATGGCTGATACTTCTATTATTGGTTAATCTCTTTACATCCACCGGTGAGCCGTTTCCATTTTTAAAATGTTCTGCTCGCAATAGCAGATGTATTTTGAACACCAAACCCCAAAAGCTGTATATCATTTTAAAGCTTATTTTCTTATCTACATTTATATACAAGTGTAAACTACATCAGACTTTGCATTCAAAAGATATATGCTGCATATATATATGTGCTGCATAAATAAATCAGATCTCCTCCCTGCTTCCTATAGCTCTTTCTCTCTGGAACTGTCCATTGAAAAATAATATCCACTTGTATTTCCCAAAGTATAATCCATTCTGGAGAAATAATCAAAAAATGTGCATTCATCTTTAGCGAAAAAAAAAAATCAGAGGCTGTTCTTTCACTTTTAGCTTTGTTTTTCACCCAAATAAATGGTATCCACATGTTCCCCTACTCTTCCAAATAAGACCATTCCTTAAGCTCTACGAGCTTTTTGCGTCTGCAACATCTCCCGTGAGTTGGACAAGCGGCTGCGTTTTGCACATGGGGTCACTTCACATTTGTTGTTATTCGACTGCTTTGCATCTACTTCCTGAACGAAAGATTGACATGTCCGTGTAGCCAATGAGGAAAGCTTTCTAGCAAGGGTCTTAATTTGTATCCGTACAAGTGTGCGCAATGGCAGTCAAAAGACGCTCTCGAAGCCGCAATGATTTTACACTCGTAAAAATTTTATGTTGACATTTAAAAAAATAAAAAATAAAAAATCACATAGATTAGTAACTTATAAGTACCAATAATAAAAAAAGTTTTTTATGATGATGAAATGTCAGTTAAGCATTTTGGCACAATTGTGCCAAATTGGTTCCGAATGGCACTACTTCCACACCTTCTCCACAGACTCCCACTGATGACTGCTGTCGTTGTGTCCTTGGGCAAGACACTTAACCCCACTTTGCCCAAAGCCCCCGCTGAAAGATCAAGGCTATGCTCACACTCAGAGAGCAGCCGTCCTCCTGTGGACTCACCACCTGCAGAGGGTCAGTGAGGGGCTGGTGCTATGAGACTTGGGTGGCATCTCTGACTGCCACCCCCCTAACCCAAAAATGGATTAAAGGGTAGAAAATGGATGGATGGCACTACTTGATGAAAAGGAGAAACTGCATTAAAAACTATAAAACTTAGAAGTCTGAAACTTTAGACTGTTGTTGTCAACACAATGACCACAGGGTTTGAATATTGTGAACTTACAATGAAGTGTGCCTTTTTTAAGGCCTTTAGAAATTGAAAATTTTAGGCAAGGCTAAAAAAAAAGGTTTTTTTCCCAAACTTCAAAGGATGCAGAGTGAAATAGGAATGACAAACATTATTTTAGTGTATATTTACATAAACTAGAAGGCTCTAGATTTAATATGATGCATCATACAAGCATGTGAGATGTGTTTTTAAATAAGCAAAGACATTTGGGTATGCTCAACTTTTGTTCACAAGCCAAAATGAGGCAGGTGTTAAGAGGTTAAAATGTTTTCTTTCAGGAGTCTCCACTCCACTCATGAGTGAATACATTCATATCCTTGACCCTTTTGTTCTGCTTAAGGGGAAGTCGATGATGGAGACTGTGGTTTACATGACTGTTCAGGACCCTCTGGACGCCACAATGCTGGCATCCGCTCCCATTATGGATCAAAAACAGCTTCTGGGTAAGTGCAAATCTACTGAAATGTCATTCAGCTGCTGGACTGTATCTTCATATTTTTCGCCCCAGGGGAACGACTCTACCCGCTGATCCAGGCTTATCATCCAAACCTGGCTGGAAAAATCACTGGGATGTTACTGGAAATCGACAACTCTGAGCTGCTGCACATGCTGGATTCTCCTGAGTCTCTTCATGCCAAGGTACAGACCAGACATGAGATGTTGCAAACGTGTTGTAAATGTAACTGTGTTTAGGTGGATGAGGCCATTGCAGTCCTTAAAGCCCATTCAGCAAAAGATCTGTCTCCAAAGAAGTAGATGCACTGTTAAAGTATGTGCAACAGTTTATTCATCTGTTGCATAATCTCTAACCTCTGGATTTTTCTGTTCCCTACAGGTCAACCGATGACAAACTTGAGTAAAAATTAACTTGTGGGTAAAAAATTTAGGTGTTTAGTTGTTCCACAAACTTTTGTTAGAATAAAGTTTAAAAAGCAAATCTGACTTGTCATTTGGTTCACCACCGCTTCTCAGGGTTCTTTGCTACCTCACTTTGCTTCATGAGAAAACATTTCACTGGTAATGAAAGTTTAATAGTCATGTTTCCTGAGTGAAAGCACCTCAAGGGCCTTATTCCTAAAGATTCTCGGTGCCAAGAGTTGCTCCAAGTGGCCAAATTCTAAGAATATACTTACAGGAGAATTTCCCCTGTAAGTGAAGAGTATTTTAAGAGGATTTTAAGCGACTATTTCCCTAAGAGGACAAAATGGTGGATGGAAGAGACAGGAAAAATATTCTACAAACACTGGATTAAAAGTGGGGCCAAATTTACCTCAACACTTTTATGCTCATTGAGCCAGAAGCAAACACTGTTTCTCTGTCCAGTTGGGTGCATTGTTGTTCACATGTTTGTGGTATATTTGAAAGTCAACACAGCTCTGTATTGGCTGGTCAATCTCAGCTGTGCCATTGTACCCTCGTTACAAACAGCAGAAATAGGAAAAGTTGAAAGTGAAAAAATTACCAGCATGGAAATGAATAAGCAAATAAAAATCACTTATTACATGGAACATTGACAACTTTCATGTGGAATATTTACAATGTGTTTTCCTAAGATTAGATTCCATGATTAGGATGTTTTAGCGTCCTTATTTGGATCATAATGTTAAGGAGTTTTTGTATGTTGCAAAAGGGGCTCATGGATTGAGTCAAAATAAGGAAAGTTATATACTTAAATTTAAAAACATTACAGGAGACAGATGTGAATAGCCTTTCCCTGCAGGATTTACAGAATTTAGCTAAGACTCCTAGCTAGGTTCAGGTTGTTAGCGCTCAGATTCCCTATCATACGGCCTCAGGTCTCTGCAAGAAAGGCCTTTCAGGTTTGAGAAGTGAAACTCAGGGTTGTTTCTCTTCTGCAATAGAACAATTGAGACAAGTTAATCTTCCGTTAGTGTCAAAGCCCCATTTGGATCTTATTCTGTACACACCTGATTTTCCAAGTACATTTCTTTACTCAAGCACATTAAGATGACCTTTCTATAGTAACATCGTAACATTTTGGGCATTAATGCAGTTTAATATTTTACAAATTAGAACATGTGCACTCATTACCAAAATGGACATGACAAAAGTAAGGATTTGTTTGAGATCGACACCAGGCACACGGAGCAAAGAGAACACGTGCATAATGAAATAAAAGTACAAGTCACTAGTTTACAAAGCAATTTATTTTTGCTTTTGAGAGCCAAATCTAAACTTTGAGTAACTTAACCAGTAACCTGTCGATAAAGAGGTTACAACAAAATCACATGATGCAAAGCAGTACATAAAGACTTTACTTCCACACGGGCAACTACTGCACTGCTGCCGTGTCGATCATTGGGAACGAGGTATTTACAATCATCACCGGTCGACTATCGGCGAGACGGCATCAGGAGCATTGTCGCCGTCACAGAGTCGGGGAAGAGGTTGTGGTAGGTTGGCAGCGGGACGTACGCAGCCGTGATCATTTTTCCTACAAACACATCGATTAATCAACTAACCCATCAAAATAGTTTTAAAGTTTTAAATTACAAACCTGCAAACCAACGTCCATGAAGCGCGTTTACAGTGGCCATTGCAGCAGGGATCGAAGGACATTTGACGAAGACATTTCCCTGAAGAGAAGACCACATTGGTGAGAGTTGTTTTATCATTTAGTAATATAAACATCTATAATATTACTAAGGCTGCAATGTTATTTTGATCAGAGCCTGAAGCTCAGTGATTGCTTACACATTGGGTTTTTGATTTAAGTACTTTGGAAAAACAATTTTCCATTTCATTGTGCAGACATAAAATGACTCATTGATAAGCCTTTTATGACAATATTCTATTGACAAAAAGCTGTAACAATTAATATTTACTTGACTAACATGTTACAGCTTTAAGTTTTGAAATGTGAAACCTTATAAAAGTATAATGGATAGAGAAATGAAATTAAGCAGTGAAGCACCTAGTGGCAGAAGTAGGAAACTACATTAGTACACGTCAGAACTCCTTTGACCTGTGACAAAACTAAGTCCTCGAGGAATGTAGTCCAAGCAGAGATTGTCAGGATCCAAATTAAACAGTTTGATGGGCCACAACTATAGGCTACATTTTTTATATCAAGGTTTCTATATTTTTTTTCATTGACAGTTTTGCTTCTGTAATACTTTATATATTATGTCCAAAATTATAACATGCCGCCGTAGCCAATGCTGCAAGTTAATAGTAAGAGGCCGGGTCGGAAATACCATTTTGGACTGACATGCCTGGTCTAAGCTGAATCCTCATTAAAACAAAAAGTGGCTCATATCATGGATTGAGTTAAAAAAATAAGGAAATCTTGTGACATACTTGAAAGCTCATTAAATAAACAATACGGGATAGTTTGCAGTGACACTAAATGCAAAGATTGTCAGTGGCAGTTGTAACTTACTTGAGCAGAGTTTTTGTCGACATAAATGTGAACAACACCGCCATGTTTGTTGCACTCGTCGATTACGTCGTCTTTGATTTCTGTGGCCCAGTTTGGATCCTTTTCACTGCAAGAAACACATGGATTTTAGTCGATTGAACTCAAAAAAATTAATAATAGTCTTAAAAAAAGGCATTCTTACGCTTGAGGGTTGAACAGGTTGGACAGCTGGAGACAGTGTGTGGCGATCGGCTGCGACGGAAGGTTTATGGATTGAGGAGATGGAACGCCTGAGAACATGGAGGATTACAATCACACACGGCAGGTCCAGGTCCAAACCAACAACAAATATACTTTTATATCAAAACCAAATTCCAACTCTTTATAAGCCTTGGCAAGTGGATTGGAATTCCTAAGTTTTTGGATTTTCCTTAAACTATGTTTAAACTATGTACACACTTGAGGAAACTGATGGAGCCTACTCTGATGGGTCCAATAGGAAACCTGCAGCCACAGCGGCTCCTTCTGGACCGGTTTGGACACCTCTGACATGTGATGTACCTCAAATGTCCAAGACAAATGTCTATCTGGAGACAACGGCTCGTCTTGTACAAAAATGATACCTCAGATTTGTATTGGCACTGACACAACTGAAATAGCATTCTAAACCATGGATGCACCTATTCAGCAGACAACATCCAACGGCAGAATCTCACAAATTTTAAGCTTAAATTTGGTTCCAGTGACAGCAATAATGGCTCTCCTGGTTTAAGTTAAGAGTGAGGTCATACCGACAGCTGGCATGTTCCCAAACTGTACAGACGTGGTCATCTGCAGAGCTTGCTGAGCGGCTGGTGGCATCTTCAGACCAGTTCCTGTTGGGGCAAAGTTAATGTAAATCACGGGTCATTTTCACCGAATAAAACACTGGACGTACCTTCGGCGAGGCGGGCCATAAGCTGCAGTCTCCCTGTGGTGCCTAGGTCGATGCCAGTTCTTTCCAGTTCGTCATTGTCCAGGAGCGAGCTGGCCATAGAGTAGTCGGAGCGCTCAGTAACATGTCCCACCTTCATTGGACGTCCCGCCAGCTCAAAACCATTCAACTGCTCCAAGGCCTTTTTGGCACATTCAGCATCAGAAAACTACAGTAGAAATAATACAGTGAGTTTACATGAACAACATGTGTTTTGAGAGGTTCGATTGATATCTGGCTTTATTACTTCTTACTATCTTTTGACGTTTGTATGTGTATTAGTATATGCATAGTTATTGTGGCTCATATGCAGCCCTTCTCCCCTCTCTGTGCACAATCATTTTTTCTGCCTCACATTATTTGCTTCAGCTTCATGCAAAACACACAGACACTGGTTTAATCTAACACAATGCGGTGCAAAGGACAGGCATCCTGGGCCTTCCCTCTGGTTTAGTTTGGACAGGATCTAATGCTATCTAAAGGCTACAACTTATTCCCATATCACTGAAAGTGATAAACTATCACAATGTCACTGCCTACAGTTAAAGAATAAGCTCAAAAACACTCAAATCCAAAGAAAAAAGAAAATTGTTAGGTCTAGTTAAGTTAGTAAAGGAATGAATGATTACAAGGTTAAAATAATTACCATGTTTCTGTAAGAAACATACTGTAGCTACTTATTTGGTATTTTGTATATTGTGTGCTCTTACTACTGTCCTGTATGTGTGCTGCAACATTTCCCCACTGTGTGGAGTATTGTGTTGAGTTTTACAGAAATGTATTACATAAAGAGGTATTCAACATCTCTTAAACTCGAGAATCAACAAAGACAAACATTAACCAAATATGTCAGTTGAAGCCCTATAATATTTCAACAACAAACAAATATTGGCTCTGAATATCAGTCATCGTCTCCTTGTAAAGTAACAGTATTTGCCTTTTACTTACAGAAATGAACCCATATCCCTTTGATCTTCCGGTCTCACTGTCCATCATCAGCTGTATTGACTCGATCTGCGGCAGATAGGATAGCATGATTACATGTCCATGTTGTGTTTGTGAAGTTTATAAGAGACTGACCCGTCCAAAAGGCTCAAAGATCCCGCGCAGCATCTCCTCTGTGATGTTGAAGTGCAGCGAGCCCACGTAGAGCCGCATGGGGCCCATGCTGCCCCTCTGCAGAGCGCTCGCCGCTGCTGCTGCTCTGTTCTTCTCCGCCTGTCGTTACATCAGAACTTAGAAACACACCGTGATGTTTAACAGGTCTGTTAAACACTGACACTTACCTGCGACGCCTGTACGATAATGGGGACCCCCAACAGCCTCTGTCCTGTGAGTCCAATGGCGAGTGGTACAGATGACGTATCTACAAACTCTATGTAGGCAATGCCCTTGGACCTCCTGGAATTTCTGTCAGATATGATTCTCACATCTCTCACCTGCACAAAGACATCAGATCAATATTCTGTGCAAGAGTTCATAGATTCATGTTGCAACCGTACTTTTCCAACGGCAGAGAAGAAGTCTTCCAGATCTCGAGCACGGATTCGAGCTGCCAGCTGCATGCAGAACACTGTGCGGGCATCTCTCTCCTCTGGCGTTAGATTATCGATAGGTAGCCTTTAATAAGGAGAGAATAGTGTAATTATACTGTATTTAATTCCTTTTGATGATTCCCTATGTGATCATGATCATCACCTTATGGGACTCTTTTCTTTTTGGATGATGGGACTTCGGCTTCTTGAAGGTTTGCGTCTAAAACAAAGGAAACATGCATCACTGATACAAAGCAGTTCAATCAATGCTTTCATTCTTTCAAATGCTTTGCTTGTTCACACGAGTTCATGTGCTGTGTGACACCGAAACTGTTCTCAGATCTTGTGTGCCATCTTGATTGCTCATTGTTTAAAAATTCATGTCATAAGGTCCAATATCAGTCACAACTAAAGTCACCTGAGGTCAAGTTATGTAGTTGAATTCTTGTTGGAATGGAGCCTGTGATTGCCGACAACCCTTCCACACTGGTTTATGTGCATGTATCAAACATCAGGACAAGCATGTTTTCCTGGACTCACATGGGGCTTTTGCGTCCCTTGTATCTGCCAGACCGCTCCTTGCTCTTGGAGCGGCTGCGGCGGCGCTCCTTACTGCGGCTGCGCTTGCGCTCACGGCTGCGGCTCCTCTTCTTCCCCTTCTTTCGATCCCGACTCCGGCTGCGTCTCTTACGAGAGGCCGGACTGCGGCTACGACTGCGTTTTTTCCTGAAACACAAAAAATATTAATTTCTAGGCTACTAACACAATATGCATTATGAGATGGGAGGGGAGTGTGGAAAATCTTTATTATTTATGTAACATTAACTCATCGACTGCCAGCCCATTTCAGAACAGGTACTTCCATATTGCCAGCTGTTTCTGATGGTTTTTTACTGATCTTTAAAGACCCACAGACTATTGTGTACTATGACTATCTGAAATGCGACACCAGATTCTAAAAGAATGGACTGTCCACTTCACCACATCAGCAAAAAGAATTTTGTTTCTAGCTTGTTTCGTTCCCCTGTAATCCGCCGTCGAGTAGAGGGAAGTTTTACTGAAATCACCAGAAAGCTGAGAAAAAAGAGGCACAACATGTGCATCTAGCCGTTTTCAAACCATTCAGAGAGCAATGCTGCCACCTGCTGGCTAGATAAAATACGGTCTCAAGCCATCCCCATACATATTAGATACAATACTATTTACTTTGACGTATTTGTGTCCTGGTCGTTCACAACACGAGCTCATGGAAACAGACTCGTCAATCTGATGCAATCATCTGCAGAGCAATTATATCAGACTGTTTAAAAGAAAAAGAACTTACTTCTTACTATGGTCTTCATGTCCGTTTGTGTGAGAGGACTTGTACTCATCCTAAGGTCGATAGAAGAACATCAGGTGACGTAGGTGAAACATTTCATGACGTGATGGTAAAGGGGGTGGGGTGAGACAAGAGAAAATGCAAAATATATTCAATTAATAATAATACTTAATATTTAGCGTCATGCCTGGACATTGCATCCACAACCCTTAGCTCCCAATCCCTAATCCTTTCTTTTACAGTAGTTTATGGTCAAAGAAAAGGTTTTCTCCAACATTAGCTGAGTGCAGAGCTAGACAGTCATCATTTTTGGTCTTCACTCCACTCTTGGGTCGTACCAAAGCTAACAGAGCCTAATCAGGGGCCACGAGGCCACAGCCTCTAAAAGATCCTGTGTGGTTGGAGTCAGTCCAGAGATCTTCACCCACATTGGTTCTTGGACTGAATGAGCTCGATGCCACCTCTGTCACACATCTTGCCCTGAAGCAAACAGGGATTCACACTTCTTAGTAATAGCGATGCCCATAGAAAAAAAAATAAATGAAATGAAAAAATAAATCCAATAATAGTTATTAAACTTATGACTTATTTTTCCTACCATAAAGCATCTTTATCTTTAACGTGTGCTTGGTTTAGTCTATATTACTGTTGCATGCATAATAAAAAGGGAAGAAAAAAAATCTAATAAAAAAATAAAAGATGCTGATTTTCAGTACATCTTTTTGGGCAAAGAAGCAGTATTCATGTTTACAACGTTTGACACGTTGAAAGAGGTCATCACAGCAGCAGTTCATAAATGCAAAGCAATGAGAGGTTAAGTCTATACAAAATCATTTTCATTATTAGTTGCCCCCTCTAAAAACAAAAATGTATAAAATGAGACTAGGTTAACAGATTGATCCCCGCCTCAGAAAGACCCCCATTACCCTGCATTTGAGGAACTCCAACGTCCGACCCACATAAACAATCTTCTTTGGAAGTTGAAAATATCACAAATATACAAAAGTTTGGATGTTACGTTAAAGAAGACATAACATGCTTCTGCTCTCTAGTCTGATGGCATCACTATTTCTTTAACAGCGGAAACACCCCGAACAGGTCCCTGCCTCTACAGACCAAGGGCTCACCCCCTAAGTAAGGGATGGACAGATATTTTCTTAGAGTACAATGCTGAATTATCCACAGAACAGAGATCCAGGGAAGAAAAAGTATGTGCAAAGTAATAACAGTGGCGTGTTGAGGTGTGTGTTGTAAGAGAATATAAATCGCTCAAACATGTGTGTAAATGACAATAACATGTTCAAAAAGCTCAGAGTTTGCATGTTACGTCCCCTTTAAAGTGATTTCTTCAAACAGAGGACTTGCTGTAAATCTGAATACTGCTTCATTTGCTGGATGAGGGCGTATAAACCATTTGTATTCACCTTGTCACAACCGTTCAGGGCCTGCATGTTCTAGGTTTTTTGTCCTATGGTGAACCACAGTACATCAGTATATGCACAATAACTACCTTCCTTTTTTTCACAGTTCACAGTGGTATCAAAGATGAATTCATGGGAGTAGAGGTGAGATATCATTAGGGAAGTCTACAAAGAGAGATAGATGTGGATTTATTTATAATTCCGTATTACCATTGAACACTCAATCACATTACATAAGTTAACTTTGTCACAACAGTATTATATACATATTCAAATTAGTCTAAACTCTCAAACAGACCGAGGCGATAAACAGGAACCCACCTTTCTGTAAGGAGCCTCCAGCATGGCCTCTACAAAATCATCAGCCATGTTGATTCTGCAAGAGAAAACAAGAATATATTTCTTATACTTGAACAGATCCTTTACTTGTCCCACATAGAGGAATTGTCAGTGTTGCATTACAGAACAGTAGGAATGAGGGCCACACAAATGTAAGATCTTTCTTATTCAAGTAATTTTTCCTTTTTATGGAGGAGGCGCCATCAAAAACAAGAGGTAAAACAAGCAGGGTTTAAATATATGTATTTTAACAAATTCAACAAACCTACGTAAAACAATAAAAAAATAAAATACTAAACTAAGTTTAGTGATCTGACCATGTCATGCCTATGATTTATTGCACATACAAAACTATGAAACTAGACTGATATCCATAAAATCTCTCCTGTGAGATCAATAAAGTCTATCTTATCTCTTAAACATACAAATAACATACAAGAACATCCACTTTATGAGCATCGTACTCCATTATCCCTGTGGACATTATGAAATGCGTTTAGTTTTTTGCTGTATTTGTTTCGTTCTGTTTAGTCTCATTCATCAAGTATTGTTAACGCTCCAGTGTAGCATCATGTGACCAGACACCAGGCACTGAATAAAATGGCAGCCGTAATTTTACGTAGTTGCGTTGGATGCGTGTAGGCCTGATAACCCCCCGTTTAAACAGTAGCAGGGGTTAAAATGAAATGAAAGTATGAAAATCGTGTATACCAAACACATATTGGAAGAGGCTCGAGCGCGTGACAAAGTTAGCAACATTTTAGCCCTTGTTAGCTATCTAGCTAACGTTAGCCGCATCGTCTGTGAATAACACGATTAAAGCCTAACCGAATATATATTAAGCGCAACACATACTTTAAACTAAATGCTGCGAAGACAAAGTACACGCACAGCAAGGCTGCATGAAGCTATATGGGGCAACACGGATTTCAATAGTAACATCATATTTGTTAAGAGTGGCCTGTTGTGTTAGCTAGCTAACTAACTAGCAGCACCGCCGCCATTACAAACAGCGTCTTACCTTCCGACGTGGCGCAACTCCCGAGAGCAATGGATACAGTCAGATTCACGAGCAGCCGGGTTATCTGAGCAGAAAAACCTCAAATAAAGTGTGAGTATTGTGAGAGTGTAGTAATAGTATAGTGTAATCCTTTGTGTTTCAGCGTGAGACTGTGGCGCGTGCGTCCTCTCCTCGCGTTAGAAAAAAAAATGTCTTTCTCAGCTCCGTGAGGGAGAAGGCATCGCAGCGGCGCCACCAGCTGGACCAGCAGAGTAACTGCAGCTCTGTGGGGATTGAAAGCTGGGGGACTACACCAGGCTGTCTTGTTGTAGAAAATACAACAATGAAAATGTACGTTATTTTCTAGCCGTGTCTAAATTCAGAGTAAGATAACAGCTGCATTTGTCTAAAAAGTAGGAAAACTCTTCTACAAGGTTATAAGATAAGATAAGATATGCTTTATTTATCTCACAAGGAGAAATTTACATGTCACGTTTGGCATGGATAGAACACTCAGATTGTGCAAAAGGAGGAAATGTGCAAACATGTTACATGCAGGATATATGTACAATAAAAGTGACAATTTAAAGTGGCAATCAGATATAGTGTCAATAGTAGTAGTGCACTTTTTTTTTCAGTCTTATACAGTGACTTAAAGTGACTTATTGTACAGTCTGACAGCGGTGGGGATAAAGGCCCTGCGGTAGCGCTCCTTCCTACACTGAGGGTGTCTCAGTCTCCACTGAAGGAGCTCCTCAGCTCCTCTACAGTCCTGTGCAGTGAGAGGTGTTGTTCATGATGGAGGTGGCTTTGACTAGCACCCTCCTGTCCCTCACCTCCTCCACAGAGTCCAGGGAGTGATTGTTTTAGCAACACTAGACGACACACTAACTAGATACATACAAATAAGTGTTCCAGTTATAGACAATGCTAGTTAGAGCAAAGGAAATTAGTGTAATTGCATTTAGTTTTATACTTTTCTTCTTTTAAGCTAAAAGCTTCTATTTTGTTTTATTAAGTTTATTAAGTATTTGTTAAGTAGAGAGTTGGGCTATATATTGTATATGTTATAATATATCTTGTGTTGTGTAACTTGTGATGCAACACTGGGGATCACAAAAGGATCTCTTTATCTTTTAATTTTATACTGTAGTGCATGCAATTTAATAATAATATGTGAGTCATTTGGGGGCCACAAAAATAATCCCCTGTTTTAACTTTTGGCACTTTGATACTTATCATTCGTATTTTTCTGTCAGCTCTGCTCATACCCACAACTATTGTGAATTAAATAAATAACTGCACATTAATGTTTATCTCGTACATTTATCATTTAAATCAAAATATAGAAAATACGTATATATTTTTTTCATTTTGTATTTATATAGTTCATTTCACAGTCCAATGCCACACAAAGCACCTTACCAATCTTTTTGTTACCCAGTCAGTTTGGCAATATTGTCATTTTAGAGGCAAATATTCCACCCACATTATTTCCTTTGCAAACATAAAATTATCCTGTTGCATTTTTTGTAAACGGGCTGTCCCTGTATTCAGAGCTATAATAGAAAGGTCAAAAGATAAGTGCATAAGTGCTTGATTATAGTAGTAATTCTCTTCATTTGAGTGCATTTTGACTATTTTAAAGTTATATCTGCTAAAGGAAGAGGCTGGTCCTGTCTTAAACCCAGCAAAAAGAAAGAGTGAGGAATAAGTCAATACTGTGCACTTTTGAACATTATCTCATCGCCTAAGTAGTGTAAATCCTAACCCCATCTTTGAATCATTAACTTCAAGTCAATGTAATTTATTTTTGTATCGCCCTAAATCAGAACAGTAGTCAATCGCAATCGTAAATCGCCAACTCAGATCAGAGAATCAAACCGTTTCAAACACTACACAAAAAAATAGAACTAACTCTTCTGGCCAAACTGGCAAAACCAAGTTCCAGCTTCTTCACTTAGAGATAACTGTTTGCGAGGCCCTATTTGTTTTCCCACAAGCCATTGCCAAAATGCACAATGAACTTAATGGTTCATGTTTATTGCTTTAATATTATGTTGTTTTCATCTTCTTGCTTGAAGGACATCGTCTAGACTGGATAAATGCACCACTCAATAACACCCCCTTTTTGACAGCATCTATATTTCTACCAAAAAATCCCAACAACAAGTAAGTCTTAATCCACATTGAAATCAAGTCTAAACCAGGACAGAATCAATAAACAAATGAGAGAAAGGAATACATTATACATATATAACTATAGGTTCGGAAGATGAGTTTCAAGAGCCGGATTTGGCCTCCAGGTTGTAAGTGTACCGCTGTTAACTAAGATGTGCCTATGTGGGCCAAGCAAAACATGTCCTATGTTTCTCACAGAGGGGCAAGGAAGCCTCAGTGGCACCAATATTCTTGAATGTCTTTTGATTCATTTCTTGAATTATCAACGAAGATCCTCTCTCGACACAGTGAAGAGTTTAGTCAGATTGTTCCAGCCTGGATAGCTGTGCTTTGATCAATGTTATTTGGGACCATTAGACAACGGAGTCCTCCATTGTTGTGGTGGCATTATTGAGTGGTGGACCATAGTCATATGGAACATCAAAAAACAGCTCATCATCAAAACACTGCTCATCTGACGGGGCTGCGAGGCCTGGAAGCTTCAGGACAAATCCAGTCAAGACACCTCCAATTGCAGACACTCCAATGGTCAATCCTACAGCTGCAGCCTGAAAGAGGGCTTGTGTTCGGGCAGTCCTCCCTAAACCAGGCGCTAAACCAGGCACCAGCTGCTGTAGTTTGAGCAGAGTTGGGTCCCCTTCCACTGGAGCTCTATTCGGGAATATCTCATAGAGGCTCGGCCCGTAGACCTCCTCACTCGCCCAGAGAATGGCACAGATTCCCGCCACACAGGATATGAGCCCAGTGAGGCCGTGCAGGTTGTGGATGCCACATTGGTCCTGTATCCGGCAGTGTCGTGCAAGAAAGGGACTGAAATACTTGTACCCCAGCATACAGACAGTCGCACCAGCCATTCCCAAGGCGTACGCAGCCGCAGGTGTTATCATCATGTCCACTGACGCGCCCACAGTCACGCCTCCCGCCAGTGTGACATTCTGAATGTCCGCCATTGTCAATTTCCCATTTTTTTTGAGCAGTGATGATAATGCAAACGCTGTCAGAGTGGAGGCACTCAGTCCAATGAAGGTATGGAGAATGGCCCTGTGTTGGTCATCACCTTTAAGGGTCAAGGCAGAGTTAAACGAGGGCCAAAACACCCACAAAAACAGGGTTCCCATTACAGACAGTAAATCAGAATTATAGCTTGTGCTTTCCTTGGCATGTCCTTTGTTCAATTGAGGTCTGTACAGAACAAATGTGACCCCCAAACCAAAGTAACAAGCAAATATGTGAATCAAAATAGATCCCCCGGCGTCATTTATTCGCAGATACTCATTGACCACCCACTCAGTAGCTCCAAAAATAGGCACTTCGCATAATGCCATTAGCAGTAGTTGTAAAGGGCTAGTTTTCCCCAGGACTGCTCCAAAGGATATCAAAACAACTGCACATGCAAACTCTGCATGGATGAGGTTCATTAATCCCAGATAGATCTGGCCATTTTGACTGAATTTAAAGTAACCTTGGACCAAAACAGCCCATTGAATAGTAAAAGTAGCAATGAGGAAGTTGAAAACGATGCCGCCTAAGCCATAGTTGCGAAAGAATGACAAGAGGCAGCCAAAACCTAGAAATATCATCACTTGACTGTCTGTGAAGAATGGATAGTCCTTGTACACTGCATTGTCCATAGGATTAGTCCTGTTGGTTTGAAATACCGCATTGGCTTCATCATCATAGCTCACAAAAGTAGCAAAAAGGCCAAAAAAAAAACTTTGTGTCAAGAATATAAAAGCAGGTAATTTGACATGGATATTAGTCCCGTGTTTCTTCATCCTGTCAGCTCTGGTTGTATTGATAAAAGTAGTGAAAGGTCAAACTCTCTCCTACTTTGGAACAGCATGGATTCATCAAATAAAGACGGTTGCCGTTGAACTTTGCTTGAAGTGGATGAAGTTCTTATCTGTTTTTCACGTGGTGTGAGATAACAAGGACAAGTTCTCTTCGGTGACAGATTTATGTTGCCACCATGTTTCACATATTTTCCAAGAATTTGTAAAGCTTCCTGATATCAATAGGCAGCAGTTAAGGACTTGTGTACGTGACTTTTTAACATCTTTTAATGGAATCCAGACCGAGGCCTAAATAAAAATGCAGTATATGTTTTATCATTTATTTTTATGGAAGTCCCCAGAAGCATTTAACAGTTGGTTGGTTTGAAATACAGCATTAGCTTCATCATCATAGCTCACAAAAGTAGCAAAAAGGCCAAAAAACTAACTTTGTGTCAAGAACATAAAAGCAGGTAATTCAACTCGGATATTAGTCCCATGTTTCTTCATCCTGTCAGCTCTGGTTCAGTGTGTTAACTATGCTTATTCTCTCTCATGTTGTGTTGATAAAAGTAGTGAAAGGTCAAACTCTCTCCTACTTTGGAACGGCATGGATTCATCAAATAAAGAGGGTTGCCTTTGAACTTTGCTTGAAGTGGATGAAGTTCTTATCTGTTTTTTCATGTGGTGTGAGATAACAAGGACAAGTTCTCTTCTGTGACAGATTTATATTGCCACCATGTTTCACTTATTTTCCAAGAATTTGTAAAGCCACCTGATATCAATAGGCAGCATTTAAGGACTTGTGTACGTGACTTTTTAACATCTTTTAATGGAATCCAGACCTAGGCCTAAATAAAAATGCAGTATATGTTTTATCATTTATTTCTATGAAAGACCCCAAAAGCATTTAACAGTTTACTAGACCGTAACAGACCGAGTAACTTCCTGAGCTCTTATGGCAACTCAAAAGTTCTAATTGAACAGACTTTGTAAAAGAAAGTTCTTGGACAGGATCAGAATGTGCAGCGATGAGAGTAAGTTTGTTCACATCACAACAAATAAACAATGCAGATTACTGGTCACAATGGTTTTTAATTTGAATAATAACATCGATGTTTAGATATGTAGAGAGATTAGATATGTCTGCAGATGAAATGAAATGAACACTTGACCCAGCAATGGCCCTAGGCTCTGTCAGGAGCAGTGGTCGCTGTAGTAACCGTAGTACAGCACCCGAGGACCCATCTCCAGATGTTGGTCAGGACTCAGGAAGATAGAGGCTTTTACATTTTGTACATGTTGTTAGTGGTTGGGGAAGCCGGAGCACCGGGAGAAAACCTATGAAAATGCAAACTCCACTCAGAAAGACCCTGTTCTGACTGGGATTCGAACGCAGGACCTTCTTCCTGAGAATTGAGAAAGATAACTACCATGCTACTGTGTTGAGGCTTGAAGATATTTTAGCAAAGAAACGGAACATCTCTCATTTGATCGGCCGTTCTGATCTGATTTCTGATTGGAAGATTAACTTGAGAGCTAAAATACCAAATTTAATAATAGCCCCTCCAACCACCACCAAACATTCACGCACACACCAGACAATGTGGGTCTTTCCCAAGGACACAACAGCAGTATGGCATTTTACAGCTGCCCCATCGTGGGGCTCCCAGAGGTCTCCCATCACAGTATTAACTATGCCTGGCTCAGCTTAGCTTGTGAGGTATCAAGGGATACGGCTTTTCCCACACAGGTGAGCATAGATAAGAATGCAATTTTTATTAAATTTTTACCTCATGGCAACAGAAAGACATTTAAATTTCAAAAAGTTTTCTAAAACTTGGTTCATCACTAGTTTTCACTCAAAACAGCTTCATCAGAAAGAAAAGTGAAGTTGAAATAAGTTCTCAACCCAAAGAGTATGGAGTGACTCAAATAATATGGCGGTCTGAATTTCCAAAGTAAACGTAAAACAATGATATGTTGAGTTTTACTACTAATCAATATATTACAAAATCAAACAAAAGCAACCTCTTCACTGTCACAAGAAAAATGCTATAAAGTTATCGTAAAATGATGTATTTATTGACGTACACTATCTGCCAAAACATGACTCTGGTTGCAAAGTGCCACTAACTTAACTAAAACCTTTCATCATCAAATCAAAGACATTACACGCTCAGAAAGAGGCTGTTACAGATGTTACATGTACATACAGCATATAGACATTTTATAGACAGTAAATGGGTCTCCTGAAGCCAAAGATAAAATAAATGTGCTTTTTCCGAGACCAGGAAAAGTCAATAAATATAATAAAACAGAGAACATCTAAAACAAATGTCTAAATGAACCAAAGGAAGTGAATCCACATAATATGCAAACTTAAAAACAAGTAATTTCTACATTATACTGATAAAGTGAAAGATAATTTGTTAAGTGCAATAAAATGATATTTTCTCTTGAATACAAATGTTTATACTGTATACAGTTTTTCAATGGTCTATCTCAAAAAGGTCTCAGAGGACATAACTAAAAAGATTGAACTGAAATTAAATGTATTGTATGGTTTTACCACATGAGTGACAATGGCCAGATGCAGCTTGTATTCTTATAGTACTGATTTTTTCTGTGTGTTAAAATTAATTGCAGATGCATTCCATAGAAGAGAAACCGCCCATGATAAACTTACTCCAAAAGTGAAATGTGCAAATACCAAAATTGATCATTTGGTTTGGTTAATCAATCTCTCTGTTTATCTCTGCTTTAATTACCAGTTAGAAAAATCGGGTCATTCTTCATACATTTTGTCCTCATCTGAAAGTCAACACAGCAGCGGACAAATGCAGTGTAATTTGGACCGGTGAAATATGACGAACATAAATCTAAAAAGGAGAAGAAAACTATGTCATAATTGTCTGTAATGATTGAGTTGTGAAAGGCTATTGTTTTAGGACACAGAAGTACACAGATGTCCAAACAGGGAGTGTGGAGTGACTATTGACTACAGTTGTGCTTCAGTTTTGTGGAGAGCTGGTTTAAGAGTAGATGGTTATGACCTCTCTGCCGCCACCGCGAACCAGCAGGACCCGGTTCAGGCCCTCGGTGAGAACCTCCAAGAATTCCATGTCTGAAGGAAACTGTTAAGGAAATGTACATACTGTGACATATTATACTAAATCAACAGTTTCAATCTTTTAACCATTTTACAACCATTTTAAACAAAAGTTTATTTTAGATCCATCCAATCAGGAACTTGTGGCTCAAACTGTCTAAAAGCTCCTGTCTCAGTCCTGTAATCTTATGATGTCATCACACTGACATCTTATTTAAAAAAAGGTATTGTCTATGAATTATTTCTCAGGTAAAATGTCGTTTTTTGCAAATTTACAATGTTCAAAATCGTTAAAAAACACAACAAATTCTACCACTCCCCCTGGTGGTAGAATAGGGAGTTGCTGGCAGAATGCATTTTTCATACTTCAACCTATATTTTCTGCTTATATTACTGCATACAAAGTATTAATTTTGTGACATGTGACAGTGGACTGAGACATACAAAGAAAAAAATGTTGTAGAATAAAAAATATAGGAAAATCCGATCTGGATTCAATGGAGTGAGGAAGCAACATTTCACATTTTCATTGCTTTTGTCTATTTCAATCCTGTGTCTGGACTCATCCTGTGTCTGGAGTCATAACATAACATTCATTACATCAGCGACTGCTCTAGTGTTGTTTGCCAGTGGTGGAATGTCATAAATAGAGTATTATTATTTTTGGTTTTAAAGGAGCAGTATGTAAAAATCTGGCCAAAAGTGGTACTGCAGCCACAGTCAATATTTTGTAGTCCTCTCCCACTGTCCCTGACTCTGGTTGCCAGATACACACCAAATCCAGCAGCAAACACAAGGAATTATTTTATCAGTTGTTTGTCTGTCTCTCACATTGCCATGAGGCATGCTAATGTTAAATTAATGTTTTTTTTATTTTTTTTATTTGGACATTTGAGATGAGAAAAACAAAATAAAAGCTATTTAATTATGCATAGATTACGCATAATAATAAATAAGCAATTGATGTCCAAAATAGGAGTGGGAAGAATGGATGTTGGAACATATTTCTTCAGCGTATCAACACCAGTGTTTATTCCCTATTTTTTAGACATACAGTACATAAGTCCCACAAGAAATAGAGACTAACATTATTTTAATTGGGGTACATGGGGTCTCAAATTATTCTTTTTACAAATAAGATATAATCTGCAAAAAACGTCTTGATTATTGTCTTTTACCTGATTTTGAGCAATCTGTCATAAAATGTAATATTATGCAAGTAGACACTGCCCGGACTCAAACCCAGGTCGCTGGAACGTAAGCTCTGTGGCTTAACCATTGGCCACCATAAGACTCGATAAATCATGCGGAGGGAAACGGGGTCAATCCCGCAAGTTTTGCATCACACAAAAACTTTTATCCGCTGTCTCAAGTTTTCAAAGGCTTCCCGATATAAATCCTCGTTTTAGTCTTTGTTTTGTCATTAATGATTTGAGAGTCATAACAAGACCTTTCTTAGTTCTGCGGCCACATGTTATTTTACCAGTGAGATTAGCCGCGGAGTTCTGGCAACCCGGATCACTCACTTCCTGATCGGTGAAACGGCGGAGGGTAGGACATCTAAATGAAAACAATAACAACTTTTACGGGTCGTAAAACTAATTTTGATATTCAAATATCTCGGCTGAACTACTGTTATCAGTTAAACATGTATTGGAAAAGAGCATGATTTAATAACACCTTTTGAAATATTGGGGCCATATAATGATGACTTGACATGCAAATATTCGTATTGCTACTTTAAGTACAAATTATATGTCCCTAAATTTCAGAACAGTCATGAAACTTGAAAATGTTAAAAAAAATATGTCTTGACTTAAAACATATTTGATTTGTAAAAGAATGTTTTTGACCGTCCTGTATTATAATGTAAACAAATGTTTAAAACAGTCTCTCCCTCACATATACATGTATTGTACTAAAACCAATGGGGAAAGAGCTCACGTATCAATTTTTTTTCATGTATTTTTATTGTGCATTGCAACACTCACACTTCCACACTATGGGACAAAGAAAACGGTTATCTTATAATATTTGTTTCTCCTGTGAGAAATCATTTCAATATATAATTCTTTAATCTTTATAGAGTATCGAATAGAACGTTTGAAACCCCCATAAAAAGAAACACACACATACTTTGATTAAATTTGACACCACATGATAAAACTGCTGTCCCTTTCAGTCTGGTTTCTTTTAGAGTCCTGGTGAGGAGCCCCTGCATGAAAGGATACAGTTCTCTTCGCCCACTCGGTTCCTCGGGGGCCCTGGCATGTTGAGCAGCACCAGTTTGGCCTCTTTGGACTTCTTGGTAATGACCTCATTCAGTTTGAGAGCCGTGTGCATGCGCCTCACGTCTGACTGGTTCCTTTGAGAGCAGAGGAAATACTTTTATTCATAAAGACAACAGGAGAGGAAATGAGGCCCAATAAGTAACACATGTACTTACAAATGTTCCCACTCTCTGCAGCAAGTTCAAGACAAAAAATGTTGATTATCAAAGGGGGAAGCATTTGAAAGGACACGATATTCTTTTGTTTTATGAGAAATATCCTATTGTAGATTCGCCAATATCTAAGTACCGGTAAACCCTTTAGATGCTGTTTTGTCCAAAAAGTTGATGAGAAACAGACAAATGGTGTAGCCGTGGAACATTATGAGAGATTGAGGACTGTCGAATCAATAACAGAAATAAAATAAGAAAAATGTAGAAAACTTTAGTGAGAAGCTAGCTTGCTGTATTGAATGTGTGCTTAATTCTTGAGCAATTCTGCTTTGGTGCCTGAAGTAATCATGTTCAAACTAAATGCGGCCATTAGTGTAATTTTGTGTGGCCCCCTGTTTTTCTAACTTAAATAAATCTTTGGCGTTTTAAACACAAGAATGTTCCCAGGATCATCAAGCCAACTTCAGCTCAGTCAATATGGACATGCAATACCTAACAAAACTCAGAACCTTAGGAATCCAGTTGAATACTTTATTTGTATGCAGACATTTACAAAAAAATTACAAAATAACTGACCTAAAACAGGACAAAATGCTGTATATATTGTTTTTTGATGTATACTCATATAAAATTTGCACTATTTTGGTTTTATTGATTTTTGTGCAGGACTTTGAAAATAGGTTGTTGTGCTATTTTGTTTGCTTACTTCTGTATACATGTTTAATTGGAAAGAACACGCTGCCTACCACTTTCCTGCAGGACAAAATAGCCACTTTTGTTGACGTGTGACTGCTTTTAAGTGACTGAAGTTCAATCTTTTGTTTGTCACATGCAAACAAAACTTTGCTCCGTGGGCAAACACTCACGGTCTCATGCTAAAGTGGTCTTTGCCGTCGCTCCAGGTGCCCCCTGCTGGTGAACTGGGGGAAGTGGGACTTGTAGGTGGAGACGCTGTACAGCTGTTTTTCATGTTGCCATCGGCTGCAGCCTGGTGTGATGATAAGAGTATGACATCAGACATGATCAGGAATTAATAGCACAAGTGGTAGGGGAAAACAGCGAGCCAAATCCATTTTTCACAGCTTATGATCATGTTGTAGTTGATTTTTGTCATTACACGCTCGAAGCTGATTCTCGCTTGTGTTATCATGGCCACTGTTATTGCTTTGTTCAACAATTTTTCTTCCTGAATTGAAGGGAATTGATCTAACATTTGTACGAATGTGTTTATAAATCTTTTTATTACAGTTTCTGGCACTAACTTAACGATTACAAAGTCATAGCATCTCTCTATTTCCTTCGCCCAGATGGTAAAGTTATCACGTTTGTGTGTGTGAGCAACATAAATCAAAAGGTTATGGGAACATGTAGTTGGAATTTGAGAGACATGAGCAAGCAAGAGTGAGCAAATAATTCAATAGTTCAATAGAGTTCCAAATCACTGTTGAGAACCTCTAGGGGGAGGCCTGTGGTCTACGAGTGTGTTTTGATACCTTTTTCTTTTGCCAATCTTTTATGCTAAGACAGCTGCTGATTACTCACCTAAATCTGGAGCATCTGACCTTTGTATTCATAAATAATTCACATGTTTTTTCCAACAGTAAAAGTAAAGTGTTGTGAACCAATAAGATCACAACATTCTCATATTTTTGCATACTTGTAAGAAAGAGCCATGTGAGTCACTATTGGACTTTTTGGGCTTTTTCACTTTTATGTCTGAAAAACCAAATGATGTGAAGGAGGCCAACAAAACATTTGACTGAAAACTAGAGATAGAAACGAACTATCCAAGAGCACATCACATATTTAGCCTTGTTTCCACCAGCCTAACTTGGCCCTACTCTACTCGGCTCAACTCTACCTCGATTGGGAACTTTTCCACCTGCCCTGTTTAAATGCTTCCAGGCTGAGCTAACCTCCAGTGATAAGCTGCTGGAAGCCATGGTTAACAAAGAACTACCATGGATACTGTTCTGTTGTGGGTCGGTTGCTAGGAAATGGTACCAGATACTAGGGCCTATAGTGGAAACACAACCAGGTAAAGTAGAGCCGAGCTGAGCCGAGTAGAGTTGGTCCTAGTAGAGAGACAGTGAATGCCAACTTGTTTTAAAAAAATGTTTATACATTTTTGCCAATCAATAAATTGCGCATAATAATGATCCACAACTGTTATAGATTGCCAGACGGGCTTCTTCACCTCTTCTGTGACTGTTGAGGGTTCGTCAATACAGCGTTGTGATCGAAAACCAGATCCGCCTTTTCGTCTAATGGATCCACGCGATGAGTCCGTGATGCTCTGGATCTAAAAAACAAAACAATATAATTCCTCATTTCAAATACAGACGTTTACTTTGAGCCCGTTACCTCTCTCTCCTTCTCGGTCTTTGTCAGTTGCATTTTCTTCAAGATTTGAGTCCGCTGCTCCATTATCAGTGTCTTCTCGTAAGTGTAGGCCGAGATGTCGCTGTCGAGCTTAAACATGAATTCATATTATTTCTGCTAATAACAAGGTAAATGTTTAGGTAGTTTGAATGTTACCATCTCCACCACTTCCACCAAGGCATCGATGCGAAGGTGATAGAGAAACAGGATGAGATCTTTCTTCATCTGGATGCTGTTATCGTCCATTTGAGCAACAGTGAAAATGCGGATTTTGCACTTCCTCCACACCTGTACCACAAGCACATTTATATTTATTATCTTTGTTATTATTATCATCATCATCATTATCATTATCATTATTATGATTATATTCTGTTGCTGCTTTATGATCAATCACAGACGACGTTAAAGCTGCTTTTTACCTTGTGTTGTCTGAGTAAAAACGGCAGCAGCATCAGCATCCCCCCGTCATGGACCACCCACCACACGTCGATGTGGCCCTCAGTGAACCTCTCTCCATTCGAGGGATAACTGGAGATGTTTTTAGGGACCAACAGAGCCAGGCTGGAGATAGTAGTTTCTCTGACCACCTCTGCAAATATAATCAAAGCTAAGTTAGGCCAAAGATATATTTTTCAAAGTTAACTATCGGTCTTCAATTACATCTCCAACATGAAAATATTATCCAAATATCGCCTTATTATCATGTCAAAAAATTTATTTGGTCAAAATACAAAAAACATGTAAAAAGAAATAATAAAAGAAAGCCACTTTTATACTTTTGGCTTTCTGGTCTATACAATAGATGTCAGGCACTTGCATCTCCTGTATGGGACTATGATGCACTTAATTTAATTCACTTCAATTTGTCCGTAAATTAATTGCTGTCCTAAAACCATTGACCTATGTTGGAAAATCATTCAAGCTTCTGACTACTCCTTTTTAGCTGTTCTTTATACATGTTGTTTATGCCCAAAAAATGTCCAACACATGTTTAATTATTACAAAGAACAAAATCCAACAAAACATCCCAGTGCTTATTAGGGTGCCAAGAGTGAGCCTTAGCAACTGTTGTCATGATCGAGACACGCAGGAGGAAAAAGCAAAACTTTCCAATATCTAACTCATGAATCTTTTTTCTTTTCATTTTTTCTTCTTTTTTCATTTCCTTGATTCATTTCAACTGAATTCAACATCCTACTGTATAATAGTGCTTTAAAAGTGACTTTATAGTTCACAGCTGTGTTCAATGCTGTGTGTTGCTATGGTGACGTCTCAGGTGGAATGATTTGGAACAGTAATAATTTGTCTGTATTGGACTGACCTTGGTATGATGATTAACAAAGAATATTTATGACTGATTACCAAATGCAATTTCAGATAGATACACTTTAAATCTACAAAGTATTTAAATATTTAGAGTTTGTAGTCCTTTGTGCAGTGCAGAATTACCTACCAATAAAGTTTCTGAATTGCTGGTTGTATTGAGGCTGTTTCCAATACTGAGGCCAGCTGACCATCACTGTGTTGTGTTTCAGGCCTCCGAGCCCCCCCACTTGGATCAGGTGGGACGTCCCATCTCTCAGACTGGAGGAGACCACCACCTGAGAGAAGCCTTTCACCTTCTCTGCCTCCATCAGCTTTCTCAAGGCCTGGACACACACAGTTATGCATAAACACAACATTAAGTGGATCTTAAAGCACATACGTGGACGCGGGACTGCAGGTGGAAATGAGCCTCTTTGCTATAACCTGGTACAATGCATCTCTCCCTTGTGTTAATTCATTGTACACTGTCCTTGTTCAAATAAAGAACATACCATATCATACTGGTCGCCTCGCTTCTGTCAGTGTGCCCCATGGCAGCTGTGGCTACAGTTGCAGTTTATCATCACCCAGGGCTGGACTGGCCATCGGGCGTACCGGGCAATGCCCGAAGGGCCGATGCCCATATTTGGGCCGGTCTGTCTGCCTCATACAAAAAAACATGTTTGTGAAAAGTGTAAATCCGTTGAGAACTGTGTGAGGGGAGCGCGCGTGTCCGCGGGGCACCTGCTGTATGTACTCGAACGGGATTCCACCACCTCAGCGGCCGCAGTGTTCCCGTATCGGCTCTGAGCTGGACGCGGGAACCGCTCACCGGGAGCCGCTCACAACACAACACGGTGAGCGCGTAGCCGCAACGTGACCATGTACCCAAGACCATAAACGTGCACAGGACCATGCGTATCTTTGCGTAATTTGTGCACCCAATAAATACACCGCTGCAGAAAACAGTCCGCGTCTCCCCTCTCCTCTAAATTAAAGCTCGGGTACCTACATTTTCCATTGCATTAAAAGTTCATGTTTGAGCCCAAAAGTAAAATGTTGTGAACAGATTAAACAGATTTAGAGCCAGCTAATGACTGACAATATGCATTTCAGATATTTTTGACCAATTCTCATCCCTGTAACAAACAATAGTGTTGTCTGTGTCCAACTCCCTCACTCTGAGACATGTTTATTACTCTGTTTAATGTAGACTATTGTACTTTATTTTATTGTTGAAACTGCAGACATCCTGATCCTCTACAGTATTTGCTTCCACATACTGTATAAACCAGGGGTCGGCAACCTTTAGTGCCCATAAAGTGGCTCCTGGAGCCTTTTCAAAAATGTCTGAAAATGGAGTGTGAGGGCTATATTTTATTTCTAGTTTCAATGTGGTTTCTGTAGGAGGAAAAACATTAACGTTTTTCAATGCTGCAAAAACTTGTATAAGTAATATTAAATTTTAGCATTTCTGTCAACGTAGTGTGTCATATCCTGTGACGCGGCCCGTGCCAGGCGGCTGCTGCTGTAAACAAACCGGCGTGTGTGCATTATAGACTGTGTGTGCGCATGGATCCCAAAGATACAGAGAGAAAGAGTCGATAAGACTGGACTAAGAATGAGAATGAACTTTTGCTTTCAGTCAATGAGGAAGGACTGCTTCATGTTTGCGATGTAATGAAAACAATAATGAACAATGAAGCTTTAAACACCGTTCACTGAAAGATTCATTCATCATAAAGTCAGAGCACCTATTTTCAGACTTCAAAAACCTCCACAGAGACGGTGAAAGGAAAGGCCATTAAGGACATTCAGCTCCAGCAAACTTCAGCCTGTGATGTGATCGATATGAACAGACAGTGATGCAGGTGAACTGAGCCAAAAAGCAGATGTATTTACTGTATTTGTACAATTGCATGAAGGCAAAAAAAGTTAAACTTAAAGCAGAGTTGTCACGTGGTGCGTCATTCTCTCCAGGACACGCTGCAATGAAAATACACATTTGATAATCATGAATGGTTTTTATGTGTTTGTAGCCTTTACTTTGTAATTTAGATATTAGTCTAATATAGCTAATATAGCTAATGTAGCTAAGGTAGCTAATGTAGCTAATGTAGCTAATACAGCTTCAGACCCTGTTACCTTCATATAAGCCTTATACAACGCTGTTTTTTTTTTTTTGTCAAATATGGCTCCTTGAACCTTTTGAGTTGCCTGGGCCGCTAAAAAGGAAAAAATGCCCGGGCCGTTTTTTTGTCCCAGTCCAGCCCTGTCATCACCGTGTATGGAGTGAAAGAATCAAGGGCGTAGGTTTGCGTGGGGACCATGGGGACATGTCCCCACCAATATTTGGTGAGGACTAAAAAGTCCCCACCAAAATGACATGATGTCCCGGGACCCGGACGGTCCGGGACACATGTCTTCCGTTTGTGCACACGTCGCGCCTCCTCCTCGCCTCCAGAGCAACAGCAGCAGCAGCAGCACGTGACCCGTTCCGTTCTCTGCAGTGATTGGCTGTCTTCTTCAGCGCCAAACTGAAGCACTGAGCGACTGTTTAATTTTTAAAGGTTAGCCAGCGTGAAGCAAGTGTTTTTTTTCGTTCCCTGAGCGTTGTAGCACGTGAGTAATCAGAGGAAAGTACTGTAGATCTATTACCATTCAAAGTACTTACGTTATTTCTAATCTGTCAGCGCACTGTTTAATGTTCCGAGGAGCTCACACGGCACAGAGACAGAACTGGCTCCAATAAAGAAACAGGTTGGTTGAAAGGCTGAAAAAATACTTATAGTGGCGTATGGGAGGGCAAACTTAATCCATGACGCCACGGCGGGCTAAGCAAGGGAGCAGACACTGATGACGCCCAGTCGGAGATATTGCACAGTATAATGAAGTTTATTGCGGAGAGTAGAAATGAATCAGGCACTTACTTGGAATGTTGCTATGTATGATGATGAAGATACCTCATTAAGACAGTGCAGATATTTTAATTGATGGAAACATGCGGTCAACAGAAAGTTCCTTCCCCAGCTCACCCCACCGCCATGACACAGGCACACACACACACAGCTGAAGTGAGCGCGTGCACTGAATAGACAACCACACCCACTGGACCCGTGCATGATACTATATGCGCGTGCATGTACTAGTCACATTCACACAGAAAAACAAAAACCCTAAATGGCTCCTACAATACTTATTGTGCTCTTACTATCCAAAATGTATAAGTGGGCGTGTTGTGTGAATCAGGATAAACTAGGGATGAAAATATTCCACGGATCCACGATTTACAACCTTTATCTGCTGATAATGTAATTTTTGTGAAATGTGTGACAGCGGGCACTTGCTGCTATTTGCTCTAAGCACATTCAAGAGATGCACTCGAATGTGCACGTCCTGGTGCAGCTGCTGCCGCTTTGTAATGACAGCCGCGGCGCTCAGTGAAAGCACAGCTCTAACATGGTACCGAGCTCGGACCATATGCAGACAGAACCATGTTGCAAGTGCGGGTCTCCCTCGTATCTCCCCCGTTTCTCCCCTGTGTCTCTGACATGTCTCTCCCCTGACTCTTCCCAAAGCGCAACCAGCGCTCCCGAAATTAAAGCTCGGATACCTAAATTTTCCATTGCGTTAACGATGCATGCTGGTTGTGCGCAAAACACACCACAACAGGTCATTTAAGTTTTTATTTTGCATACTTGAGAGCCCTGTGAGTCATTACTTGCCTTTTTGGGTTGAGAGTGGAATAAAAAAAAGAAAATATAGAAAAATCCACACTGTTACTTATTGCCAAACTCTTGTTAACTCATTGTATTGAGAAATACTATGTAACTTTTGACATTGGCCAAGTTATATAAATGATTCTGCAGTTCATGTATATGAATGTCTGTTTTTGATTGTCTATACCTTCTTATATAATTTAGAAAAAAATGCCACCTCCACAAAAAAAGATAAAAGATATCAGGAGCTTTTTTTAACAGTTGGAAAGTAAGTAAGAGAAAGCACAAGTAATAGCAAATTATGAATTGTGATGATTAATCTTCTGTTAACATACATAACTGCTTCTCATTCAGTCTACAGCTGAGTTTAGTATAGAAGGCAACACACTATTGCAAATATAGTGTGTGATTACACCACAAATTCTGGGGGAGAAACTCTGGACCCCGTGTCAATGGGTGTAGACTCAGGTCGTAGTGAATGTCCCCACCAAGATTGGAACCAAACCTACACCATTGGAAAGAATAACGACATGTAAAGTGTTTGAGTGTCCTGAAAAGCACTAAATAAAACTGATTCATTGTTAGTATTGTCTTGAATGTGATTACATGGGATTCCATATAAAAACTCAGCTCTACTTTTTCTATTTATTACGTTTTCTTTATCACGTGGTCTGCTCCCTTTTTAAGTAAGTAAGTAATCTTTATTTATATAGCGCCTTTCACAGACCAGAATCACAAAGCGTTTTACAATTGTTGCGGGCATTTGTCTCTCACTCACAGAGGGAGAAGGGAGTGAGGTTGCCAGAACAGGAGGCGCATGCCAGACCCTTTGTACATGTTTTTAGTGGTAGGGGAAACCGGAGCACCCGGAGGAAACTGAGCTAAGCTAGATGCGTGGGGCGTGAGTCAGTTTGACAATGGCCACAAAAAAAGGTCCAGAAATATGCAGTTGCACAACCAGGTACTGCCCGCATGAAGATTGACACCATTGGAGCTGCAGAAATAGAAGAGGACGACTTTTATGGACAATAGTGATAGAAAACTGACAGAAGCCACCACAGAGAAGACACTAATCTATACAAAATATTATCTTTGTGAAGACTGAAACTGCCCTGTCAGATGAACACAAGCTTTTTACTTGTTTCTCCCCCTTTATTTGCGGATTAAAGGGGGAGAAAGAAAAATGTTCACTGCAGTACCAACGATGGCCTCTGAGCACGTACTTGGAACCACCAAGATTTTTTTTAAGAAGGACTTCATTGGTTTGAAGTCCATCTGAATACGGAGTTAGAAGTACACTGCAAAAGCATATGGAAAATTCAAATCTTAATTTGAAAATTTTTTGACTGCTTTAAAACAAGATTTGCCAATGGAACAAGCAAAATTATCAGGTTTTAAAACGTTACAACAAATGTCTCCCTTGGAATAAAGGAACAGAGTAAATGGTTTGTGCCATTGACAAATCTTGTTTTAAGACAGAATGTACTCAAATTAAGATGAAAAACCCACTTGATTCAAGCAATTATTACCTCATAATTTAGATTTATTGCAGTGTAATAAATGTTCAGTCCAGCAAGAAATCACTCTTGTTTAGTCATGCATGGGCTGACCTGCTCTGCTCCCTGGGCCTCTGTGTAGTTGTCCAGGAATGTGCCTTGGACCGAAGTACCGACGATGGTGAGCCCTTTTCCCGCTTTGAGCTGATTGGTCAGAGAGAGGAGGCGAGGGTGCTCCACGTTCTGCTCTGAGTCCACATTAACCAAGACCAAGAGCTGAGGCCTGACGGAAACAACACGCTATTAGTGAATGTGTTTGTTCTTCAGTCTCATTCTTGTGTTGTTTGATTGTCTGATCTGATTTAGGGTTCTACATTGAAATCAATTGTTTGGTATAGTTTACTAGACCACAATGTCAACTCTCTGAACTCTATCAGGGTCAAACTTGTTCTGTAGACGGCTGTGTGGCTGCTGGTTTTCAGTCTGAACAATTTAAATATTTAAGTTCCTTGTGTACTCAGACCTCCAGTTCTTGGTGTGAGGTGGACCTTCCTCAAGCCTCATCAGAGCAAAACGAGCAGCACTCAATGATATGCCACGTATGCCGTCACCCCACTCCTTCTCAGCTCTGCAAAATAAAACAAAGCAGTAGAATCGCTTACACAATCACAAATATCGCAAATCGGTCCTTAGGTTTTCTCACATATTTATCTTAAATTGTATTTCTGCTATTGATTCTCTCTTTTTCCTCTATCTCTACAGTTTCAGGGCTCCACCTTTAGTCTGTTTCACGCAAAGCCTGTGTGAGATAACCTTATTCATATTTGATTTGATTTTTTTAGGGGAAGCTCCTTGAGATGCAGCATTTCATTTTTTAGAGGGACAAAAACATTATATATAATACAAAACAATGTACACATATAGGACAGGTTTGCTCCTTCCATACCCCAACAATAAATACTACATTCAGATAGTGAATGATGAGAACTCACCCACAGAATTCTATGTATTTGTAGATGCAGGTGGCGATGCCCATGGCCACAATGGCGTAATACCAGGAACACATGAACATGAGAGACAAACAGAGGCTCATTCCCAAGAACGAAAGAGTCCTGGAAGAGACAAATGTTGCCGTTAATTTACTTATTTATTGATTTATTAAAGGGACAGGGCATATTAATATACATTATACATGTAAATATGCCAGAATTAGCCTAAGGGCTATTTTCCATCTGTAGTCCCAGGACAGTTGTTATGTGTCCTCCTGAAGAGAATAAAATTACACATAACACAATCAGATAAAATATAACAAAGTGAAATATATACAAACAGTACCTTCAATAACACAAATAAAACATGATAGACATGAACACACAACTGTTACAAACTCAACAACAACAATGAAGACAAGTCAAACTAACAGACAAAAAACAAGAGGCCAGCAGGGGGCAGCGAGAGCTGATAAGTCAGTGCTGACAGCTTTGATATTCTGATATTCAATTAGCCATTTTTGAATGAGTTATATGTGTTGATGTTTCTGATTATTGTGGGGGTGAAATTCCTTTCATGGGCAGCTTTGACAGAAAATGTAATTGACCAAAGAGGCTTTTTCTCAGAGGGATGATGCAGTCGCCCTTTGCTGCTGCTCTGGTTCTCCTGAATTCAGCTGTACTGATGTGAATGAACTGTGTGAGTGGGGGACTGGGGGTGATGACAAACCATGTATTATTTTCAAGGTGAGGCAGAGATGTGAGTATTTGTCCATGTTTTCCCAACTGACTAATTGATGCTTTTGTAATAGTGGACAGTGATGATGTAAGAGTGGTTTGCGGTCCAGAGTTTTTATGGTGCGTTTGTAGAGGGACAGGATGGGTTTGAGAGTTGTGACATTAGCCTGTGACCAAACAGTTAAACAGTAGGTTAGAAGTGAAATGATCATTGAGTGCATACACATTTTTGCTGCTTGTATTGACATTTGGTGCCGGATGTGTCTGAAGTTGCTGAGGGCGAACTTAATGCGATTACTGACCATTTTAACACGATGTTTGAATGACAGATTTGAGTCCAGAATTACACCAAGATATTTGTGTCTGAAGTTGCTGAGGGCGAACTTAATGCGATTACTGACCATTTTAACACGATGTTTGAATGACAGATTTGAGTCCAGAATTACACCAAGATATTTGTACTGGGATATAGAATGCAGCCTTTTACCTGAAACATGAACATCAGGCTCATCAGTAAAGTGGATATATGTATAATATGGATTTTTGAGAAGAGCATCAAAACAGTTTTTGGTGTATTTAACAGTAGGCAGCAGTGCTTCAGCCATGCTGTGATGTGAACACAGCTGCCATTAACATACAGCACAGTATCATCTGCATACATTTGCACAGAGACATTCGGGCATTTTATGTACAGAGAGAATAATAGAGGCCCCAGGATTGACCCTTGAGGCACACCAGTTGAGACAGGGAGCGCAGGGAATTGGCAGTTTTGCACTATGACACGCTGAGAACCATTATTCAAATATAACTGGAGAAGTTAAAGTTAAATTTGTGTAGTTTAGTTAGAAGAATGTTGTGATTTACTGTGTCAAATGTCTTTCGTAGGTCAAGAAAGACTGTACCAACAACTCCTCCCTTGTCCAACAGCCCTCGGATATTCTCAATAAATAAGCAGGTGGCAGTTTCTGTAGAGTGACCAGCTCTGAATCCAAATTGCATTGGTGTAGTTCAAAGGAGGTGGTGTTGAGGTGTTTGATTATTTGATTTGAGATTTCAGCAACTTTGGATATTATGGGAAGTATACTCATAGGTTTGTAATTAGCCAAGGACTGATGGTCACCATTTTTAAATATTGGGACAACAACAGCCAATTTCCACAAGCTTGGAAAAATTCCCTGCAACAAAGAAAGATTGATTATCTTGGCAATGGGTTGTGTAACATTCAAGATTCAATTCAAGAATATATTTGCCATATGCAGTAAAACCCCAATGGAAAAAAAATTGCACGACCCAGTATGCACCAGGCAGAAGATATACACCAGAGCTCTTTCCACGGCGCCATATTTCATTATAGTGACTTGCTTGATAGAACAGTTCTTATCTCAAATGCCTCAACCTTATCAAAGAAAAACACATTTAGCGTTAAGGACATTTTCAATTTGACCAATGCTGACCGGAGTTCAAGCCCTATCTTTTATCTAAATGCATATTTCACAAAGTATTTTTTCTTGGGCTTGCTTTGACATGTTTAGCTGTGCATGCAACTGAGGGATTTTATATTATAAAATCTAATTCTAATCTTATATTCAATGTATTGTGATTATTGATGATTTTAATGCTATCTTATTTTGCAGTTTGAGTTTTGAGTTTGAGTTGCCTTGTGTATGAATTGTGCTGTACAAATAAGCTTGCCTTGCCTTGCCTAAATAATAATACGATAAAAAATATCTCACCAGTGATAAAACTTGAAGCGCGGCCTCCAGTTTGGAGTTCTCAGTAAGGTTTGTAGAGCACAGGCCAGATTCACAAACATATAGCACATCAAGAAAAACCTAACACAGAGAATAATGTTACTAATAAGCAGCAATCAAAAGCATGAAATTTATTGTTTTTTGTTGGCACATGGAGAGGATGGGAGCAACGGCATCCAGAGAGGCGATGAGGATGCCAATCTCGCAAATGCTGGCAGTCAGTAGTAGTGCCCAGGTTGGCTCTCCGTTGGCTTTTCCATGTCCAAATACCTGGTGCAAGAGAAAATATTCAAAAAAAATTCACTCCACTTCCAGGACTTGGAACAAAGGCTTCCGAATAATATCCTCAGGGTGTCTGCATGTTTAGTTTGATCTCAATTCCTAAAAAGTGGATTATAGTAAAAAAAATTTCTAAAGATAAAACAAGAAACCAAATTTATTAGCTTTGATAATGTTTCTCATGCTTACTCTCATTCCTATACAAAATTAAAGTTGGGGTGTGTGTCTTTTGAGCCACAAAACTAACCGTATGTAATAAATTCTATAACTATCACTGGGGTTCACATGTATGTACTATTTTACCTTGGTCATGGAGTAAGATCTGATTTCTTCGACAGAATGTGGGCTAGAGATGGACCTTTCTTACAAGTATGAAAAAAAATCTCATAGAATGAAAACAGTATGGAGTCTCAATTTAACAATCTCAGTTTGTTTGTGTATACTTTTCACCTTAATCTACTTGTTTATATGTTTTCTTGAATTTTTTAAATTTTTTTTTATATGTTCTTATTGTCTTGTCTGTTGTTGTTGTGTTTTTTTGTTCGTTATTTTTTTTGTCTTTAATTAAATGAAAGAATATCTAAACAGTATGTCGAGGTCTGATTTCCTCTCAACATTTTACTTTGAAAGACCTTTGACACAAACAAATTATTGTCAATGAAAAGAATAGTTAGATATACCCCAGCCTTTTCTTCAGAATACATGACAGGTTATCAGAATACATCAGCAATGCTCAATATCAACACAAAATGCAACCAAAATAAGATAACTTGTGTGTGTTTTCTTGCACAGGCTTCACTCACTCTGAGAAAAGGAATGATGCCGTCTCGAGAAATGGCCTGTAGGAGGCGTGGAGCTCCTGTCAAACTCTGCAGACCAGCTCCACAAGTGGAAAAGAACGAACCAAACACGATCACCCACGGGGACGGCCACGCCAGAGTCCCAATGACCAGGTTTCCATTCACCCCTTCACCAAACCTGCAGAGAATGTCTTAATAATCAAATGGGAAGATGCACTCAACATTTTTGATATCATGAATGTATTAGACCAACTTGTCTCGCAGGACCACACCCTCAATACAAGCTCCAAACAGCACCACACAAGACATATCTGAGGTTACAGAGTTAAGTCTTTATCCAGAATCCCAGGGACCATGGTGTAATTCAATATTAATGTTGTAATTTATTGGCTTCCTTATGTTTGATGACAGGGATACACACTATGGATGTGGTGGAGATGGCTGCAATGGTGCCGATAGGGATAGATTTCTGAGCGTCTTTCAAGTCTCCTGACCGATTTGAGCCTGCCATGATGCCTAAAAGCAAACAAAAATGATAAAATTATGCATAAACAAGCAAAAAAGCTACACTGCAAAATATGATAAAAGATATTGTTCAAATTTGGCAAAAAACATATATTCTTCTTCTGAATATTTCTTAATTTGAGCCCAATCCCGACTGCCTTAAAACAAGATTTGCCAGCAGGACAAGCCAAAATATTTTGTTTTTCAAAATGCAAGAAAAGTTTCCCTTGGAATGTTCTTGAAATAGGTCTAAATGGCGTGTGTAACACTTGTATAGTTAATTCACAATAATCAATTAGGTTAGGGCAAACCTTGTTTTAAGACAGTCAGAATGTACTCAAATTAAGATAAAACTACTCAATTCAAGCAATCAAGCGACCTCATAGTCATCCTTTCTTGGTTTTTTAATATGTGGTTTTGGATGAGGACAGATTTTCTTATGGAACTCACCTGTTACAGATGGGAAGTATATACCCACTAAGAGTGTAAAAAAGCTGGTGATGTCTGCGAGCACGTAGCGCCCAGAGGGGGTGGTGGCGGGGCCAACTGTGTCCGGTTCAGACAAAACATCTTTCTTCTCCAACATCATTCCCTTTTCAAGATACTCACTAAAAAGGTTTTCTGCACAGGGGAAAAATAGAAGACTGGATTTAAAGACAGCCCTCGTCAAGAAGAAGATCAAGATTAAGAGATCCTTTATTCATTCCACAGTGGGGAAATTTCAGTGTTGCATCACAAGTTACAGAACAGTAGGAAAGAGCAGCACACAGCTGCATCAATAACAAGTACAAAGTATAACAATTTTGCATTTAGCAAAATAAGAGGTATATAAGTATAAAGTACTGTTTATTCTAGTGCAGTGTCTCCCAAAGTGGGGTCCGCGGCCCCCTGGTGGGCCGCGAGGGTACTGCAGGGGGGCCGCGGGAGGTCATAAAAAAAATAAAAAAATAATATAATTATTTAATGTTAAATTTAACATTAAATAACGTCAAATATTTGACTTGAATAATCCACTGTAATCATTTTTGTATTACAATGTTTGTAGCAGAGGCTATTTCCCCAAAATAAAATAACCAGAAGAGCCTATTCTTAATGTTGTCTTCTTGGTTATTATTTTGGGGGGCCACGCAGACCCGTCAGATTTTTAAGGGGGCCTCACTGTTACTGAGTTTGGGAATGGCTGTTCTAGTGGACTTTAGAGTTTAGTTTTTCATTTATTTATCCTATATTAATAATATAATAATAATAATAATAATAATATAGTAATATTAATAATATCAATAATATAGTATTATTTTGATTCTCTTAGATAATTAGGATAATGCAGCTCTGGTTCACACTCCGATACAGTAGGTAGCGAAAATGCACCTTCATGTTGAGTGCCACTAAATAAAACCAGATTCAAATTTTATTTACAAATTAATGGCCCATATTTGGGCATTGTCTGGTCCTCCCGGTTCTGCGCAGTGGACGGGATCCCATGATGCTTTGATACTTGTTGTCTGTCCAATGTCTCCACCAAGACATACTAACCCCTAACCCTCCATTTCTGCGTCGAGGGGTTTTTATTTGATCAATAACATTTTATTTTCAGATTTAATTTAATCACGTGACAGAACCTGACTTTTTAAAGTAACATTCTCAGAGTAGAAAATGTATTGAATGGATCATACCACAAGATGTTCCCTTGATCTTATTAGGAAACATCTTTTTACATGTAAGAGCTGATTGACTGAGTGCATGAGGGCTGGCCGACACTATAGCAAAAATCTACCTTTTAAATTGCGATTTAGGGCTTTACAAAAAAAAAAACTGAATTGAACTGAATTTGTTAATATTTTGTATCTTGAACTGTGCATGGAGCAATTGTAGTTTGTAATTCTAGTTCAGTAGAAGAAAGAGAGGAGAGGTAAAGTGCTGGGCTCTTTGAGACAAAACAAGCTTTGCTTTTACCGTTTTCTGATAAGATAAAACAGCATATTGTGGTCAATCTGCTTTGTTCACAACATTTTACATTTACAAGACTCTTTCGGTTGGAACAAAGACAATATTAAATATGAGGGGAAAAAGTTGAGGTTAGATTAGATTAGATGAGTTTATTCGATTCCCGAGGGACAATGATGCAGCCAGCAGCAGAAAAACACTTTCACAGCAAGACTGGCAAAACAAATATTTTTCTAGAAAAACTAAAAAAAACAATGTTCAAATGAATGTTATGTTATGAAATGTTTGTTCAGTTTTTACAATAACTTTTTATGCTGTTGTGAAGAAGGAGACACGACACTGTTATTGGCTATATGTTTAAAATATTGTTATGTGTTAATCGGCTGTAGAATGGACCCCAGGAAGACCATTTGAGGAAGTTAATATGATGCAAAGAAATAAATAAATAAAGACAATCAGTACAACGCAAGAAACTACAGCAGAAAAGCCCAATAATCATTCCGACAACAAAGCTAAAAGTTCAAGTAAAAAGCGCCACATCATTTATGCATAAATGTTTGTATCCCAGATTAGGGGTTGTGTTCAAACTTGGTCTAATTGAAGCAAACTCTGATGCACTTTTTTAATATGCCTCATTTGTGGAGAGGTGAATACTCCAAACAAGGGTAACTTGATCCACTTTTCTCATCTGCCAGCTATCTATATTTGTATCTATAAAGTTGTATGAAGATCAGTTCTGGCAAAAAATTTATGGTTTTGAAAGGTTTTTTCCTGAAACTAAAAAAACAACACATTTTGGTACACATTTTTGTCACCAAGATAAAATAATTACTATGACCACACGTCTGACTTGCAGGAATTGGTACCAGCCTTGGTTGTTTCAGATTTGCCTCAAAATTGTTATTCGTGTTTGTTTCAGACCCACCACAACGTACAGTCTGCTTTACTCTAGTCTCGCGTACATAAAAAACTGCCATGCAGCCGACGTCCGCTTTTTCGCTGCAGACTTTAGGAGATCACCATGGCAACAGACGACATGTGACGCTAATGTAAATTAAATGAGTAGGAGTACAAGCCTATGGTATTCACCTGATACCCGATACCAGTATTGGTGCAGCCCTAGTTTTCCCCTCATATGCAGATGGGGGCGTCAGTTCCCCCTATGCTGCGCTCTGCGGTGCTGTAAGGGTCGTTCTACACCGCTTGCAGCTTTAATTGTATTTTGACATTAGTTCTGTGGTTTCATTTTCAGTTTTACTTCCTGCCTTGTTCCCCTGTTTGTCTGCCCCGCCCTAATGTGTTTCACCTGTGTCTCTGTCTGTATGTATGTGTCGCTGGTCCATTGTCTTTGTTCGTCTGTTTTCCTGGTTTCTGAGTTTCATTTGGATCTTAAGTTTCTTTTTCCCTGGACTTTAATTTTATTATCTTCATTAAATAATTATTATTTTAGCATTCTTTTGGGTCCCCATTCACTTCACCTCATGACATCTTGACTCTATTGCCTGTATGGAGAGATTTACTGGGGCTGGGGGCTAACCTGACAGGATGCCACTGGTCACTCCTGGGATTCCTTGGATTTCTGTCACATTGTTGTTGGTGAAATACTCGTCACAGGTGGCGTTCAGAGAGTCAGAATCACAGAAGGACAGCCACAGTTTGGTGGTGATCGTCTCATTCTCTATTTCAATGACCTTTGCGCACACGTCATAACTCTTGGAGAGAAGCGTGCGGTTTCCCAGAAGACACACACTGCAAGAAGAAATCACAGATAAAATGTACAAGTAAACTTAGAAACACTTGAATAAGTTAATTAAACATGACACTTTCATCTAACAAAAAAAAAAATTGAAATAGATATATTTATTGATCCCTGTGTTTGTGTAAGCCCTCAGTCGTACAGGGATTAGTCAAAGCGAAGGAAGGTTTCTCACCCATCATCTGTACTTCTTAGCAAGTTTTCCCAAGGAAACGATGTTGGTAAAGTCGTTTCTGTAGAGTTTGTTTAGTTTCTCCAATATAGTGGTCAGTGCACTCCTCTTCACTACATTTAATGGAATACACCACATTGCTCTGTTTGTGAAACAGAGCAATGTGGTGCAATGTGGTGTATTCCATTAAATGTAGTGAAGAGGAGTGCACTGACCACTATATTGGAGAAACTAAACAAACTCTACAGAAACAAACAACTTTACCAACATCGTAGAGAAAACTCTAGTGGACCACAGTCGGCTGTTCATCTCCACCTCAAGGCCTCCAACCACACTGGCTCGGGAGAAGAATTGGTTTGAGAGAGGGGTGAAAGAAGCCATTTTTGTGAGGAAACAAATACCTTCTCTTAACAGAGGAGGAGGGTTAAGATTTGTTTTGCCTCGCATCTATGACGACATCCTAAAAACAACGGCCTAACTTGGGACAAGGTCAGTGACATGCTAATGAGTTAGGGTCGTTAGCCTCAGCAGGGTCGTTAGACCTGCTCCCTTCTACATCAAACAGACCTTAGATTGTTTATGAGTTAGTATCAGGATTAGGGTGTGGTAGTTATAAATCTCCAACGCGCGGCCTGAGAATTCATTCCCTGAAGAAGTCCTTTGGATTGAGGACGAAACGTCGGGAAAACTTGCTAAGAAGTACAGATGATGGGTGAGAAACCTTCCTTTGCTATTGATCCCTGTATTGCTTCAGATTCTGGGGGGGCAGCAGAAACACATCATACAATCTTAAATACATAATTCCAAAAGTTACTAACAACTGTAATAAAGTGCACATGTTTAACTGTCAGTCTTGCAGCAGAAGGGACAAAGAATCTCTTAAAACGTTCAGTTGGGCAGCGCAGTGAGAGGAGCCTGTTGCTATGGTTACTCCTCTGAGTGGCCATAGTGTTGTGTGTGTCTACAACACAGACATTTCCTCCCTGTGTTTTCTTTATAATTGGAAAGAGAAAAAGGGTGGAGCAACGGCACCTTGGCTGTCCGATACTATAATTACTCAAACGTGAATGAACCATCTCTGAAAGTGCAAAAAATCACAAGAGAAACACCTAGAGCATGGTAAAAAACAAAAACTGGTAAAAATCACCATTTTGAGGATTCCTATATAGTTTAAAAGTCTTACGGAAAGAGTGGCGGTTCGATGGCTGTGTTGATGACTCCTGCGTAGACAGCCACAATGGACAGGATCACGCAGGCGAGGAAGACCAGGGCCAGTTTATTTACGTATTTCACTCCCACAAAAACCACCAGAGCCATGAAGCTCAGGACGATGGTGCCGTAGACTCGCATGTTGTTGAGGAGAGCTAGCTCGGCCTCCGCGCCCTCCAGACCTTCCAGCTTAAAGATGGCAGCTTGAGGAACTATGTAAATCTGTGGGAGCAAAGCATCCAATCCAACTAATTAAAAGGGCTAGTCTTAGGTTTTTGTTTCTAAATTTGAAAACTACCAGCTCCAAATACAGCCATGTGATTGTAAATAACTGAATTTCACTCAAGAAAGTAACTAAAAAGTTGGATTAGTATACGGTGGCTGAGTGGATAGCACTCGTGCTTCTCAGCAAGAAGGTCCTGGGTTCAAATCCCCAACGGAACAAGTCCTTTCTACGTGGAGTTTGAATACTTACTTACTTACTATACAATTCTGATCTTTTTAAACTTTTTTTCTTGTAAAAGCTAATCTGCAGAAGTAAACAAAAAATAGGCCAAAAAATACATTAAGCTGAAAAGGAGTAATAAAGCCAAATTGTTTTTTTTATAACACAGCCACACAGAGGCCATTTTTTTCATAATTTTACATTTCTTACCAGCAATATTTCTATACATCCCAGAATGTACATGGCTCCTGCGAACGTAGTACCCAGATAAAAGCAGATCCCGACAGCTCCTCCAAACTCCGGGCCAAGAGAGCGAGATATCATGTAATAGGAGCCTCCAGCTGAAATCAAACAAGTGAAAGTAAAAAAAAAAAACATAAAAATAAATAATGCTATTTACAATAACATAATTTATAACTCACCTGGGACAACTCCATTAGTGGCAATTGCGCTCATGGAGATAGCTGTAAGCATGGTCTGAATGTTCAAACAGGGCAGGGACACAGACACAATTTAAATGAGTAGTTTTTAACACAGAAAAGCAGCCCCAAACGGACGCCATGTCACATCTGGTTTGAATGAAAGTTGACAGAAATATACATGTTTGGACGGGGGGACTGGGAAGTATGGTGTTGCAGCGGAATTTTTGTGAGTTATAGTCCACTGAGGTCGGACATGAAAAGATATATTCGCATTTTAACTTACTGTTTTTGACACAGAGAAGAAATGTGTGGGAAGTAACTGGTGATGTGATGTGAATGGTCAAGGAATACCCTCAAGCTACCAGGAAATCAAGAATGCTGGTGGTATAGTCTTTTGGAGACTTTTTAGTCCACATTTCAGTTGTTTTTTTAAAGGACAACTCACCCTCAAATCCACTTTTTTTTGCTGATAAACGGTATAAATGAGTGTCCAATAGTGTTGTCTACATATCCTGGTCATAATCTTGTCACTTTGGTGCAAATTAGTTGAAAGTTAGACTTTCTGCCTAAAACCGTCTGTGAGGCGCCATCTGCTGGCGACCTGTATTACTACATTTGAATTTTGAATCTGGCGCCAACACTGGCACAGAAGTTGGACCTGACGTCTGCAAGTTGGACCTGACGTCAGCAGCCCCCCGCCCAGAGCAATATAAACGGCCCAGTCTCGTTCACGCCCCCTTTAGTCCTCCAGGCTACGCCCATATAGGCCCCGTCCCAATACTCGCACTTCCACCCTCGCGCCCCTCATTTGCGCGTTCCCGATAAAGTGTGCGAGTGCGTAGGGTGTCCCAATTCTCCAGGGAGGTCTTTGGCCCCGCCCCCTTTGCGCCCCTGATCCACACTTCGCCGTAGCCTGCATCTATGCACACTCTGGCGAAGGATATTGCCCATAATTCTTTGCGACGGGACACCAAAACGACGGGAAAATGCAATTAAATATACATTTTGAAATATATATGCAGTATGTGTGTAAATAAGTTTTGCTATGTTACTTGGAAAGAAGCATAAACGTCTGATGAAGAATTACGGACATTGTGTTTTAACAATTTAATAACTTTTTAAAGCAAGCGTTTCTATAACATTCAATTTAAACTTTACACTTAGTACAATAATCTTAGAATGTATAAAAACTGACCAGATAGTTAGTTACCCACATTTAACTTAAAATTATACCGCTATCTCTAATTAAAAACAACTAATATAAATGTATTATAACGTGTGTGAAGCAATTCATATTGTTTCCCAAAGGGTCAGACAAAATTACCTTTAATTTTTATAAAGTTTAGGTCTTAAAATGACCATCTCTTGACGAGTCGATGACGTAAACTGCACTCAGTGTGCAATGTCCCAATTCCACCTTTTGTGCACGCTTGCAACCTGCGCACTCAAACCCTTGCGCGCACTTCAAACAAATGCACACTTCATAGGAGGGCGTAGGGTGCAGTGTGGGTATTGGGACTGGGCCTTAGAGGAAGATTTGAACAGGAAATGTGAGTAACGTAAGCTCCGAGGAGCGGGGGTGAGAACCACTTTAAAGAACTCTCTTAAAAACCTGGATTGGCCCCTCTAATTTTGACCAATAGAAGTTTTTAGATGAATGTAGATAGAGGAATAGAAGGCCATATATTCAACATGTGGTGCTACTTGTGGTGTGGGATGATTTCACAACGCTTTTCATTGCATTGTACCAATTCTATTACACAAAACACAAGCATATGTTTTGTGTCAACAGACATACAGCAGTATGTCATGTTTTCATTTTAAATTACATCTCTTAGCCAACTTGTATATATCATATTTGGCCTTTTCTGAACATTGTTTAGGTTGGAGTAGTTCTAAATTGACATGATTTCCATGATATTTACGTTTAGGACGTTCAAGATGATTATCCAATCAGAGAGCAGAGTGAGTTTTGCATTTGGTTTGCCAGTTTTTCAGATGTAATTTATCTGATTTTTGCGTTTTTGTTGGCTTTTTTTTTTTTAAAAACATTCGACAAGCTAGCATCTACACGTATTTAAATGAAAGCATATGCATAAACAAGTAGTCACAGAGTTTATACTGTTTATTGCTAAACTCCAGCAGGTGGATTGCATCTGTAGTTAGTAGTAAATAGGGGTGTAACGATACATCTATTTAATCGATGTATCGATGTGTCTCCCCTTGTTAGGATTTAACAGACAGAGACGGATCGTGGTGTGCCAAACTCTGGAAGTTTATTTAAGTTTCTCTCAAGTTCCACTGGTTTACTCTGTTTCTTTCTCCCAGACAGAATAAAGGCAGTACACAGTTTATATAGTCATTGTCACGTCACACATCGAAAGACATACGTGTCACAAAGAGACAGTCAAATCATAGTCATAACATGGAGTCCTTGTAGAGTCCTTGTACAGTCCTGCACGTAGGCCATATTGCTATCTAATACTAATACCCTCCCCTTTGATCACATAATCACATGTGATCATTCAATTTGATCAATCAATAAAGTGGAAAAAGAAGAAAAAAAAAAATCCTAAAAAAAACTTTAAAAAATTATTAAAAACAAAGAAAATGTATGCATTAAACTCATAATCATCAAATCAATATCAGTGGATTTTATCCTCTATCCTGGGAAAAAACAAACAAACAAAAATAAAGTAAATAAACAAACAAAAAACAAATCAAAAAATAAAAACAAACAAACACTATTGGACACACAAGAACTCAGCAGATTCAGTCAAAACACAGACAAAAACGAGCTGAGTCTCAAATTAGAAGCTAATTTCACTTTTATTACTCTACTATTATTCTAATGCTGATTGTTTACACTACATTTCACTTATTTCACTTTAATCTTAGACTGTGTACTTTACTCTCTATTCACTATAGTTTAAACTATTCTAATCTATTTAAAAATATGTTTGCATATTTGCTTCTATTGAGCCATATTCTTAAACATACATTTTAATCTAATAAATCTCTCTGTAGTTTTACACTCTCATTATCAGTGGCTTATTGTTAGTGGGATTTTGTTCTATCTCTCTTCTACATTCTCAGGAATAAAACTGTGAACACAGTAAGGCAAATGGTTAATATTTACACTTCTATAGTGGTCAGTGATTTATTACTTTTTATTATCTAAAGATATTATTGTCAGGCAGTTTGGGATGAATGAACATCATTAATCAAATTAGTATTATCCTTACAAGAGCTAATCTATTTTAGCAGGTTTGGGGTTGGGGTCTACAATGGTGTTTGAATTCTGATTCTAATCTGTGCTGATGAATCTACAGCTTTTTAAACTTCTCAAAGATATCTAAATATCTACTATTGTGTTTTTGTGCTATACACAAATACATCAAAATGCTTTTAAATGCTTTTGAATCTCAGTTGGTTCTAATCTATCTCATTGATCTAGGCATTAATCTAGGCTACACTCATATGGACTTTTTGTATTGTCAACATTCACTCATGTGTGAACACAAGTGAATTTGGAAGGTATCTAATAAAACGGTACATAAAACTGTAATTAACTTTATCTATTTTTTAAGTAAATGTTTGTGAAATGGTCCCTTTACCATTTGATATTAGCACTGGCTAAGAATATTCTCTATTTTTGAAAGCATCTATGGTTGATGCATTTATCTACTGTATTTCTATTTCTACACTATTGTGGCTCCAAAGCTTGGTTGCAGCTTGAGTCAAGGCATATTTCTAATCTAACTCTTATGTGGAAATGTTTATGAACAACAAAGGAAGGACAATTCTACTTTTTTACTACTATTTAACATCTACTAAAACGCTACAATACTCATACTTTATCATTTTCAAAGTTTTTGTCTGTCAGATGTCTGAATACTTAACATGTATATTGCATTTGTCACAGTTTCTGGTTGTAGCAATAGCATCGGCAATAGACGTTTTCATTGGCTGGTTCTTGTTCTGCAAATGTCTGTGTCCAATAGATCATCAGATGTCCAGAAGCTAGGGACAAACAAAAACAAAAGAAAGAATCATGAGTATCTCTCTCATTTAGCACTCATCAATGTATGATTTCAATAATATAAACATCACTCCCCAGTTTTTCTCTCAGATCCTCAGGTCCTCAGGGTCCTCAGATCCTCAGATCCTCAGATCCCCTGAGGGTGAGTCTCAGTCGTCATCAGGTCAGGTCATATTTCGAGAGATGTCATCTTGGACATCAGAAGGGTCCAAGCCATGGTTTTGGTCTCTCCAGATGCACATCAGAATCTCCAGATACAGTCTTTTCAGTTGAAGCACACATCAGGTCATTTGCGATGCACTTCTGGTCAATGGTGCAGTGTCTCAGTTCCTGTACACAGCTTGTTATGCAATAGTTACTTTCTATGGTTAGTCTATGGATTCTACTTTAACACAATTTCTATTCATGCTGTTGCTTCTGTCTCTCAGACAAAAGCAAGCGCAGTTTACTTCTCTAATTTGTGTTTTTATCATATCTAATTCTAATCAATGTAATTACTTCACACAGTACAAAATCAACAAATCAAAAGTGTCAGGACAGAGGTCAATTAGTCCATGACAATATAGAATTCAAATGAACATTTCTGGTCTCAAAAAATACTGATTCAAATAAAGATTCAAGTGATAGACAATTGAAAATGTGTTTACATTGGAGTAAACTTTTAATGCTTTTTTCCTCATGTTCTACTTTTTCATGTATCTATATGTAAATGTGAATGTGTGAGTGTATGTGTGTGTATGTGTGTGTGTGTGTGTATGTGAATTTTGGGGTTGTGTCTCCAGACTCCTCGAACCACCTGCAGGTCTCAAAGGTCACACTGTGGTGATGCAAACCAACTGGACACACTTTCAACTGCCTCTAGGTCTCTACCTGACGCTCCACCCATCACTGCCTCCAGAAACCTCCACTTTGTGGCCCCGGTCTCACTCCCACTTACTTCTGTAGTGGGGGGAGGGGCGTAGAGGTGGCATTGTTGCCCTTTGCTCTTAGCTCTGTGGCCTGTGGCTGGGTGG